CACCATTAGGAAGTTTTTTTTCCACACATATTGTCTTTCGGTCTCACTGAGCAAGTCTTGTAAGGTCCTAGACGAGATACATTTATCATTTTAGAGTTACTTCTTAAAATAATGAAGTACATCTTCTTTTCGTATTTTCGTATTTTCAAATATGTATGGTTTCCATGCGTATGTCTTATAAGAGGCTCACCTTGATTATGCTACATGTACTGTATTAACCTTTTTCCCCTTTTCTTCCTTTTGTTATTTTATTGTTCTTCCTTTTCCTTATTTCTAATTCTTATCCTTGTCTTTATTCTTCTTTTTCTTTTCTTAAGTTGTTATCCTTCTCATTCTGTTCTTCCTTCTTTCCTCATGCTTTCCTTCGTTATATCATTAAAAAAAAATGTCTACTTTCAACTTCCTTAATTGTCTAAATAGTTATGCTTCTTTCTTGTTATTATGACTAAATTAGGCTTCTTTCAATGTTTAATAGTGAACAAAAGAGATGGAGAAGAAGAAAAAATATCCCAACGGGGCCACCCCTGGAACTACATAGAACAACTTATGTTTTCTGTTCGTCAGATTTTTCTGCTTCTATTGAAAGGGTGGACATCCCTTTAAGTCCTATCCAAGAGACTTGGTAATGAGGATTTGAAAAGATACTCTCTGCTAGCCTCAAGATAAGCAGCAACAACAATGATGGCAGAAAAAAAGCAAATGGAATACTTACAGGGCTCAAATTAAATTTTTGTCCACGGGGGCTCTTCCAAAAAACAAAAAAAAAACCCGTGAACCTTCTCACGAGGGCTCTTTTAGTGCTGACGGGGGCTCTTATTTTAATACAAATTTCCATTGGATTGGTACCCATGAAACTCCTAAATTCCTTGGTATTTTATCATTATCATTTATTTAAGTCGGCATTCTCCCTCTTGGAAATTTACTTGTTACATAGATGTATAATTTTATCCCCGTGATCAGTGGCGGATCCAGGGGGGGGGGGGCCTGGGAAAAAAGAAGGGGGAAAAAAAGGGGGAATTTTCTTCTTTCTTTTTTTGAAAAAAGAACTGTTCCTTTCCCACTTGTATCACAGAGAAACAACAGTTTAAGTTAAGTCTAACGTTAACGTTAATTTGTTATTAAAATGTAGAGTACAGCCCTTGGCCTTAAGCCTAATTTAGGTCGTAACTGTTACTGTTTGAAAATCTAAAGTAAAATTAGACGGTTTTCATGGTTAGACCAATTAAGTAATTGAGAAAAAAAAAGTTTACCCGTCACTGAGACCAGGTCAATCAATCTTCTGGATCCATTATTATGGTCTGACGTTAGTAGATATAAGGTAGATGCAGGCGCGGATCCAGCGGGGGTGAGCGGGCCTTGCCCCTTCCCCCCCCCCCCCCCCTTCCGCAAAAGAGAGAGAGAGAGAGAGAGAGAGAGAAGGAAAAGAGGGAAAGGGAAAAAGGAGAGAAAGGGAAAGAAAGAGGAGGAAGAAGAAATGAAAAGGGGGAAGAAGGAGATCGGGGGGGGGCCGGGCTTTTGCCTCCCCCAATAAAACAAAATAAGAGAGAAGGAAGGAAGGAAACGGAAAGAAAAAGGGAAAAGAGGAGATAAAGGAAAGGAAAATTGAGGAAGAAGTAAAGAAAAGAAGGGGGATATCATGCAGTTGCAATTTTCCCGCCAACAAGTTGCGGATGGGGGTGGGTCAAAAGGCCTTTGCCTCCCCCCGCCCCCGCTAAAAAAAAAAAGAGAGAGAACGAAGGAAAAGGAAAAAAGGAGAGCTAAAAGGTACCAAAAAAGAGGAAGAAGAAAAAAAAAAGGGTGTAAAGAATTTCGATGCGGTGTTCGAGTAGAATTCTGTGAGATGATGATATACTCTCTCGTAGCTTGATGTGACGAAGTGTCTCTATCCAGATATCTGTTGATAGTATTATAGAATATAGAAGCCTGATATGACCTTCTGCTCGTAACCGACAAGTCACCGCGTTAAAATTAAATTGCAAATAGTGTTCAACAACACGATGGTGGATGAAACTTTATAATATTCGAAGATATATGACCCTCAGACCATATTGTTTCATTATTTTTTATTCAATCAATCAACGTGAAAGAATTGACTTATCATCGCACTTCAATTTATTATTTCACCTTCTAATGTACTTTCATTCTTATGCATCACGAAAGAACACTGAATTGGATTCTTCAATGTTTGTTTTGATTAATTTCCTCCCCTTTCCTTCTCCCTGTTTAATACTGATAAAATTTTCAATTTTTCTTAATCAAGGCAAAATATTATTTTCATATTTTCTTTATGCAAGACAGGGAAAGAGAGAGAGAGAGAGAGAGAGAGAGAGAGGGAGAGCCTGAGAGAGTGAGAATTTGTTAAGTGAGAATTATCGAGTACAACTATGAATTGCATCCTTTTCAATATTATTCAATTCGCTGAAAATATTCAGAATATGAATATGATAAATCCACATAATACACCAACGCTGATCAACGCATCCAACGCTCCAACCATAGCCCATATGCCAATGCACCATATTTATCAAATATGAAAAGATTTTTAAATGAAATTTGAAGAAAAATCAAATTTACAATGCACTGACAGGCATCAGTTGAAATCATGATTTCTCTGTGACTGGATTAGCACTAGTTTCTGAGGGACCAGTCACTGAAGAGGAGATAAAGAGAAGGAAAATTGAGGAAGAAGTAAAGAAAAGAAGGGAAATATCATGCAGTTGCAATTTTCCCGCCAACAAGTTGCGGATGGGGGTGGGTCAAAAGGCCTTTGCCTCCCCCCGCCCCCGCTAAGAAAAAAAGAGAGAGAAGGAAGGAAAAGGAAAAAAGGAGAGCTAAAAGGTACCAAAAAAGAGGAAGAAGAAAAAAAAAAGGGTGTAAAGAATTTCGATGCGGTGTTCGAGTAGAATTCTGTGAGATGATGATATACTCTCTCGTAGCTTGATGTGACGAAGTGTCTCTATCCAGATATCTGTTGATAGTATTATAGAATATAGAAGCCTGATATGACCTTCTGCTCGTAACCGACAAGTCACCGCGTTAAAATTAAATTGCAAATAGTGTTCAACAACACGATGGTGGATGAAACTTTATAATATTCGAAGATATATGACCCTCAGACCATATTGTTTCATTATTTTTTATTCAATCAATCAACGTGAAAGAATTGATTTATCATCGCACTTCAATTTATTATTTCACCTTCTAATGTACTTTCATTCTTATGCATCACGAAAGAACACTGAATTGGATTCTTCAATGTTTGTTTTGATTAATTTCCTCCCCTTTCCTTCTCCCTGTTTAATACTGATAAAATTTTCAATTTTTCTTAATCAAGGCAAAATATTATTTTCATATTTTCTTTATGCAAGACAGGGAAAGAGAGAGAGAGAGAGAGAGAGAGAGAGAGAGGGAGAGCCTGAGAGAGTGAGAATTTGTTAAGTGAGAATTATCGAGTACAACTATGAATTGCATCCTTTTCAATATTATTCAATTCGCTGAAAATATTCAGAATATGAATATGATAAATCCACATAATACACCAACGCTGATCAACGCATCCAACGCTCCAACCATAGCCCATATGCCAATGCACCATATTTATCAAATATGAAAAGATTTTTAAATGAAATTTGAAGAAAAATCAAATTTACAATGCACTGACAGGCATCAGTTGAAATCATGATTTCTCTGTGACTGGATTAGCACTAGTTTCTGAGGGACCAGTCACTGAAGAGGAGATAAAGAGAAGGAAAATTGAGGAAGAAGTAAAGAAAAGAAGGGAAATATCATGCAGTTGCAATTTTCCCGCCAACAAGTTGCGAATGGGGGTGGGGCAAAAGGCCTTTGCCTCCCCCGCCCCCGCTAACAAAAGAGAGAGAGAAGGAAGGAAAAGGAAAAAAGGAGAGCTAGAAGGGACCAAAAAAGAGGAAGAAGAAAAAAAAAAAGGGTGAAAAGAATTTTGATGCGGTGTTCGAGTAGAATTCTGTGAGATGATGATATACTCTCTCGTAGCTTGATGTGACGAAGTGTCTCTATCCAGATATCTGTTGATAGTATAATAGAATATAGAAGCCTGATATGACCTTCTGCTCGTAACCGACAAGTCACCGCATTAAAATTAAATTGCAAATAGTGTTCAACAACACGATGGTGGATGAAACTTTCTAATATTCAAAGATATATGACCTTCAGACCATATTGTTTCATTATTTTTTATTCAATCAATCAACGTGAAAGAATTGATTTATCATCGCACTTCAATTTATTATTTTACCTTCTAATGTACTTTCATTCTTATGCATCACGAAAGAACACTGAATTGAATTCTTCAATGTTTGTTTTGATTAATTTCCTCCCCTTTCCTTCTCCCTGTTTAATACTGATAAAATTCTCAATTTTTCTTAATCAAGGCAAAATATTATTTTCATATTTTCTTTATGAAAGACAGGGAAAGAGAGAGAGAGAGAGGGAGAATATGTTAAGTGAGAATTATCGAGTACAACTATGAATTGCATCCTTTTCAATATTTTTCAATTCACTGAAAATCTTTATTTTATAATTCCACGGAGGCGATTTTTAATTTTGCAATCGCCCCCGTTGACAACCTGATTGGGGGCGATTATGGAGCTCCGGGGGCGAATCGCCCATCGCCCCCGTGTATTTTGAGCGCTGAATACTTATAAAATATATATTGCACCAAAGAAAAGCATGTATATGTATAAAATGTGTCCGTAACATCCTATAGGATTTCATACATAAGTTATTTTGGACAACTTATGATACGAAACGAGCTACTATTTTAACTTATTAATTTTATACATGTCTGTAAGGGACCCCACTGGAAATAAGCTCTCGAGCTTTCGTGGGTTATCCTGTTCAAGCTGACTTTTTTTGATCTGTTATTATTGTATATTGTTGTATGTTGGAAGCTTGTCGAATAAAAATCAATCAATCAATCTACTTGTTATTCTTCTTCCTCCGCTCTATCAGAGATCAAGCATACATACTGCACGTCAGACGTACGAAAGGGGGCGCTTTACAAAAAGGAATCGCAACGACAAATGGCGACTTGACAACGGCAAGCTGTTCTCTCGTACCGCACAGAGCCGTTCATCATTCAGAGTTTGTGAATGTGAGTGTTATTAATTTTCTCAATATGTAATTCCAATCCTTGTTCATATTTCGTCGATGTCATATCTCAGATTTTATTGAGAGCATCGAGTCATATTGTGCTATTTAATTTCCTAGCCGCGTACAATACGCATTGGCATTGACTCTCTATGCTTTGCTGGAGTGGCTCAGCTCAGCTCAGCTCAGCTCAGATGCAATCACCGGATCGTGCGCAGCCCCAATCGCCTTGCGCCCCGGTGCGATAGGCGTTGCCGTTCCGCGGATACCGGTAGAACTTGAAGCTCCGCTGAGCTGAGCTGCAGCTGTGCGGCGTGGTTGTGTTTATGTTTAAAAATCCTGAGCTAACTCGTTAGATGTGATCCTTGTGGCTATATTGTGGTTTGGGAGACCACTCGTTCGTATATGCAAGTACTCACTTGTGACTACTCAGACTAGTCTACAGCTACATCATCATGGTCTAGTAGTAGATCTAGAGTCAGAGTGAGAAGTGAGAGTCAGACTCAGAGTGAGGGTGAGACTCTTTAGTGGGATGATGAAAAAGCAAGGGCGACACGTCGACACCTTGCCGATATCTGTTTGTTAAAGGCACCTTTCCTTATCCCTAGTGACTAGTCTCTAGTTGATTCCGACAAAAATTGGATGAATATTGCTTAGATTTTTTGTTTTTTGTTTGTTTTTGTTTTGTTTTGTTTTGTTTTGTTTTGTTTTGTTTTGTTTTTTTTTTTGGGGGGGGGGGGGGGGGGCTATATAGACCCTAGATAGAAACATTGATAGACTAAGTCTTGAAATTTGAAATATATTATTCTGAGTTTAAATGTTTTTTTCTCAATTATCCAACCATACAGTAATGGTGAAAAACGATCGCAAAGGGAAAATTATAAAATCGTTCAGACACCCTACTTTGATTAAAGTTGAAGTGTTAATGCAGTGACTGCAGGCATGGCATGTGTGGTTTCACCGTGATTTTGCGCCCAAGAGTTCGCCATCGCGCATTTAACATCCTACATGTTTGGTGAAAGCTCCTTGGCTCTGCTGTGTTTGTGCTGAGTCAACACGAATGATGTGATATTACATCATGGTTTCTAAACCCATTTTTTCGCAATCTCTTGAAGGGAAAGATGTAAAAGAATACTTTTTTTGAATATTTTAGGACTTTATTTACCTGTTATTGTCATTTGCAAATTTCTTTTATTTGAATGAAAGGTCTCAGTCATTATATCTTGCTTGTATATTCTTCACAGATATATAGCTGCCATGGACCGTTAAACCAGTTTGTGTCGACACTCGAGTGGTTATTGAACCAGCTTCTCTGAGGACTCTATCATGTCGTCGTCTCTCCAGCAGTCGCTATCACCACGTGTGATACCTCTCCTGAAAGACTCGCAGCAAACACCTAATAAGACACCACATGCTCACATCTCCAAGTAAGTTCAATTGCAAGAGAATCATACTCCAGTGGCGGATCCAGGGGGGGGCCGAAACGGCCGCGGCCCCCTCCTATTGGCGGCGCAAAAAAAAGGAAAAAAGAGGAAGAAAAGAAGAGGGGAAAAAAGAGAGGAGAAGAGAAGAAAAAAAGGAGAAGAGAAGAAAAAAAGGAGAAGAGAAGAAAAAAAGGAGAAGAGAAAAGTAAAGAAAGAAGAGAAAAGAAACAGAGAGAGAGAGAGAGAAAAAAAAAGTAGAAAATAACACGAAGAACGCCCTTCCCTCCCACTCCGGGGTCGGAGGGACCGAATTTGTGTTCCCGAAATCTCCCAACAAAGTCCGGCCCGTAATACACAAAAATGGGGGAAGAGAAAAGTCGGGTGAGAAAGGGGGAAAGAAAAGGAAATGGCGCTAAGTGACAGTAACGACGAATAAGGGAAAACTGTAATCGGGAGATTTGGGGTCATTCCAGAAGGCTTGACAAACGTTCGTGAATAGAGGGGGCCGGGCCGGCCGCATAAAATATCGAGCCGCGGATTCCAAGTTAAACGTTAAAAACAGCCCCTGCGCTACAAAGGTCATCACTCGTTAGTGAGAAATTTGAAAAGGGCACCATATTTTGGATGTCTTTTGAATAGAAGCTATATACTCATATAATTTGAAATTAACGGTAGGGCCGCTTTACAACTCTTATTTTGCCCTTCATTTAAATTCAGCTCATACTGACTCGATTGTTCTTGTATTTGAACTCCCCCAGGAAATTTAGAAATATAGCTCGAAAGAAATATAGCGGAAAGAACGTACATATTGGGCTTAGGGATTTTCTAGAATGCATAATTTCAGCATTCAACATTGCAAAATCTCGCTTGGCCGCTACTCCCCGGCCCTCGCCCGATAACACAAAACTATGATCTGACGCTCCCCGGGCGTGATTTATCCATTTTTGGTGTAATAGATCTTTCTTTCTTTTTCCCGTTCATTTCTACTGACCTAATTGTGTGCTATTACAATCATGATTGTTTCATTTTCCCTTTAAAGCAGGCGCGTAGCCAAGGGTGGTAGGGGCAGTAAGAGGACATAGGACGAAAAAGGAGCAGACAAGGAAACATTTTTGAAAATTCTGACAAGTCGAGAACGGTACAACGAATCGTCTTCTTTCTCTAATAATAATGTCAAAGCTTCCGCGCTTCGCTTGGGAGGGGGGCCGAAACTGAATTCAGACAAGGATTAAGAGTCGTTAATGGTACAACGAATCTTCTTCTTTTTCTAATAATTTAATGAAACGTCCAAGCTTCCGCGCTTCGCGCGAGAGGGGGGGGGGGAGGAACTCAATTCAGACAAGGACAAAGAGTAAAAAACGGTACAACGAATCGTCTTCTTTCTCTAATAATTTATGAAAGGTCAAAGCTTCAGCGCTTCGCGCGGGCGATAGGAAACTGAATTCAGACAAGGATTAAGAGTCGAGAATGGAACAACGAACCTTCTTCTTTCTATAATAATTTAATGAAACATCAAAGCTTCATCGCGCGAGAGGGGGGAAACTGCATTTAAACAAGGATTAAGAGGGGAACGGAACAACGGAACGTCTTCTTGCTCTAATAATTTCATTAAACTATGAAAGGTCAAAGATTCCGCGCTTCGCGCGGGAAGGGGGGGGAACTGAATTCAGACAAGGAATAAGAGTCGAGAATGTTACCAAAAAAAAATCGTCTTCTTTCTCTAATAATTAATGAAAGGTCAGAGCTTCCGCGCTTCGCGCGGGAGGGGGGGGGGGGAATGAATTCAGACTAGGAATCAGAGTCGAGAATGGTACAACGAATCTTCTTCTTTTTCTAATAATTTGATGAATCGTCAAAGCTTCCGCGCTTCGATCGAGAGGGGGGTGGGGACTTAATTCAGACAAGGACAAAGAGTCAAAAACGGTACAACGAATCGTCTTCTTTCTCTAATAATTTAATGAAACATCAAAGCTTCCACGCGCTTTGCGCGGGAGGGAGGAAACTGCATTTAAACAAGGATTAAGAGTTGGGAACGGTACAGCAGAACGTCTTCTTTCTCTAATATTTTCATTAAACTATAAAAGGTCAAAGTTTCCGCGCTTCGCGCGGGAGGGAACTGAGTTTAGACAAGGAATAAGAGTCGAGAATGGTACCCCAAAAAAATCGTCTTCTTTCTCTAATAATTAATGAAAGGTCAAAGCTTCCGCGCTTCGCGCGGGAGGGGGGGGGGGAACTGAATTCAAACAAGGAGTAAGAGTCGAGAATGGTACAACGAATCCTCTTTTTTCTCTAATAATTGCATGAAACATCAAAGCTTCTGCGCTTCGCGCGTAATGGGGGGGGGGGGGGGGGGGACAGCGAGCTGCCCGAATATGAATTTTCGATATATTTTCTCGTTTTTTTTTGGTAATAAATAACGCTTTCACAGAATACATATGCTCAAAATTTTGCTCGAATTGTGAAACCAGAAAATTACTTTTTGGGCAAGAGGCTATAGCCCCCCTCCCCCCTAGATGAACATGTCAAAAAAATTGTACCGGTATGTTGCTTCTAATATGACCTTGTCAGTATTGTTATGTTGAGTTGAAAAAACGGTATGCGCAATTTTCAAATTTCCGGCCCCCCCTATTGGAAAATTCTGGATCCGCGCCTGTACTCTGTAGTTCAGTTGCTCCCCAGGGAGTGGAGAATGTGCATATAAATTGTGTGTGGTTAAGCCTGAATTCGATGACCGGGGCAATAATATATCTGTGAAGCGCTTAGACACATCATTGTATCTATGTATTGGGCACTATATAAAAGCGAAATATCATTATTTGTTATTTGTAATTTTTTTATAATTTTATGTTTTTTAAATATTTTTATTATTTTTATTTATTAATTTATTGGTTTAAAAAACAGGTCAAAACCAACAACAAAAGATCTATTATCTAAGCTTCTCACCAGGTAACTCATAAAAGAAATGTAATGTTAGAGTTTCAACCTTTGAATGATCGAAAATGCAGCTTGATGTTTCTGGAACAACAAACATACTTCAGACCCTGTCTAATAGAATATTGGATACAACGATTTGAATGCATTTGATTTCTTCTTTTTCATCTTTGAATCAAACAACTTTGCTATCACAGCATGAAAGTCAAGAGGTAATGTTGAAGTCATGTGTGTCTACAACTTCTGTTCGTTGATTAAACGGATTATTTCAATCTTGTTTAGTGTTGTTCAACTGTATGTAACCGATTAATAATAATAATAATGATAGGCATTTCTATAGCGCCGTCTATCTCGATATTCTATTCCGATGCACACTGATCATTACCCCGGCTTTATAGCCTTCCTGCCTTTACAGTGCTCTAGCATTTCATGGAAATAATTCCTGCCAGGTATCCATTTACCTCACCTGGGTCGAGTGTGGCAAATGAAGATTAAAGTCTTGCCAAAGGACATTAGTGCATGAGAAATGAATAATTAAAATTTTTAATCTACAGTTTAATTTCTCGAATATATCCCCAGCCATAAACTTTTATGTTTGTTGAATTCCTACAGGTATGCTGACCCTAAGCTGCTCTCATCAACATGGGCATTGGATATCAGAAAGGAAATTGACCAGCTTGAGGGGAATGGTCAGCGGCCGGACAATTCCTTGGTCAATGACCTGATCACAGAACTCAGTGCTGCATTCATATCAGCCTTACAGAGGAACAGGTAAATAGTTTGCTTGTTTGTTTGTTTTACCTGACCGCTAAGAAACCATGTGTTTGCTTGTGAGGAAGCGACCAGAGGGCGACGGCTTTAAAGCCCCACTGCCCTACTTGTAGCTACTTGCTCCCTCTATATAAAAAACTTTCCCAATCGGTGCCTGTTGGTCCCCCATGATCCTCTATTTCTTATGTTATTTGAGAGCTGAGTTGATGAGAGAGCCCCCTGTCAGTGACCTCACTGTGCGGTATAATCCCTCCTGGCCAAACTAGTGGAGATAAGCTTTAAGTCTCCTCTGAGAGACTTAGTAATGAGGAATTGAGGATTAATGCTTTACCAACGGGCACTAGAGCATCGACTTGGTTTTGAACCTGGGACCTCCCGGTTATGAGACTACTGCTCTCACAGAGCCATGGCGCCATTGATAGTGAACCCTTTAGCTTTAATATGTCATGATGGTGACTCCATAATTACTCTGGCGTTTGCTCTGTACTTTGTTACGTCAAATATGCAGGGAAGATGTGCAGTTAATATAAAAAAATAATGTTGTTTAAAAAAATTTGTGGCTTACACCCAGAAAATAAGATTGTTTTTTTTTTCTTTTCTGACTTGTTTTCAATTACAGATCGATCAGTCGATCTTATTTACTGGGAGTAAGCCACAAATATGTTTAAACAATTGACATTTCTCCCAGGAAGCATTACATTTACACAAAAATAATAAAGTATTTCATAAACATGTATAGATGAATTTAATCTGCATCATAGGTGATTACAGAAATCAACAAATGTTTGAAGAACTTGAATTTTTCTTGACCTATTTTTGTGTGATCAAGATTATGAAAGTCCCTTGGGCTTTTATTGAAAGTGTAGTGAAGTATGGTAAATAAGTAAAAATGAGTATTTTAGTTTGTGCAAATTTTCTTTAATTTGGACCAGTCGGAATCAGTGGCTTTACCTAGCAGAGGTTCTAAGGATGTGCATGCCGTATTCTCAATACCTACAAGATGATGACCAGGTATGTATTTTTTGCTTTGCGAAAAAGACATTTTAAAGTGACTCGGTTAACATTGCCTTAGATTCTGAAACAAAATCCTGGATTTAGCTCATGCTGCAATCATAATTATAAACCTTTAGGTCAGTCAGGAATCCAATGACTTTTACAAGCAGATCGCCTGTCTGATTATCAAGATATTTATGATTGGAAATTTGAAATTTCATTCTTTGTTTTCCTAACGGTTTTTTATAACACTACAGTCTATTGGGGAAAATGAGTATGGTAAAACCGGTCACTCAAAGATTTTCAATTTTTTGAGGCAGTTCATGATCATTTTGAAGCGCTATTTTTTTAAGGGCTTGAATATTACACCATATCACAGACACTGATAACACGTAGGGCCATGCATCTCAGATTTAACATTGTTAAACAATGCCTTTAAAAGGCAATGTAATGGGTAAATGTCAATTTTCCTTCTAATCATAATCAGTTATCTTATTTACATCCGGTTATTAGAAATGAAACTTTGCTGAAGTTCATTTAGTTTCATCCTGCTGGATGATCAAATTACAAGAAGCAAATTTTGCAAAATTGCAATAGTTTAAGGTAACAGTAGGTAAATTTGGGTTTTTCTTTTTGTGATTTTTTCTTTTACAGAAATGTATCAATGAAATCTGATTATTTAAATCTTGCACCTACTGAACCTTTCAAGTTACTATATCCAAATGACTCGACCAGAATTGAAGCCTTGTTTGATTCAAAGATTACTTGAGGGCTTCCGATAGATATTAGACCAACTAAATTGTTTAAAGTAGATATTCATTGATTTTAAAAACTAACTTTATTTTCATTATTGCAAAGTTGAAACTTTGATTAGACTAGGTTATCAAATTCAATGCTTGGAAACATTTGAAGTAATAATTATGATAAATTAAAAAACGCTTAAATACAGCCCCGGCATAGCACCTGAAGAGCTCTTTGAACGCTGCTGAGATGTGTGAGATCACAGTATGGACATGACTTGCACAAGCAGACGATTTCCCATGACATCTCACACATTTTCAGTGCCTGCGTTTTCATCCTCTCTTGAGTTCTTTCTCTTACTTCATTACCATCAGGCTAAATGTATAATCTATTGCCTCACTCTAAACCCCACGCATGGTTTTATTTTGATGAAAAATGCAGCGATACAAAAATAAAGGAATATGTCGCTTGTAAACAAAATCAGATGCCATTGTATATTCAGCTGCATACACTGGGGTATGTTCGGCGTTTCAAGAGGGAACAAATGCCGTCCATAATATCATTCCGGGGCTTTTCAATTTAAAGGTCTGGTTTCTTTGATTGTTAATTAACCCCTATCCTGTGTATTTACAAGCAAAAGATTTTAGTTATCAGCATCGGGTCATATCCCCTTTTGAATGGTTTGACATGCCATTACATTTGTATACACTAAACTCATTATAATTTGAGAAATAATAGCTTTGCAATTATGTTCATTCTCTATTGGATGTCGTCTGCTTGGGCAGTGTTGGTCCATATAGTGACGTCATTAAAACATTGTTATTTTTCCGGCGAATCTCTCGTATATCCAAGCTGCTACGGAGGTGGTTGTATTTGTATTTTTTATAAATCACCCGATATGTAGTTGACCTAAAACTTGTACGATGGCCATCTGTTAGTTTACCAGTTTCTAGTGATACATTAGTTGACATATTTGTGATTTTCTTTGAATTTCACCTTTAAAACTTCAGCATTCTTTCTGTTCTTCCCAAGCTCTGAGAAAGCAATGATGTGAATAAAGTGGTACAAATTTGCAAAGACTTTGATATTTATTAATTTTTGTATAAAGTATGTGGACCTAGCAATTGTATAAAACGTTTGGTTTAAAAAGATAACAACAAAAAATCTTATAAATCAAATGCAACTTGATTTTCAACCAATAGGACTTGCGTTTAACTTCTAGTGTTGCATTTAATATAAATGCCACTTTTTATGCAACAGGACCATGATTCTTACTTGCTCCATACTTTTCTATCCCTTCTGTTATCTACATTTCTCTTTAATACCATGACCACTCATTCATACATACATGTATCTATGTATCATTATTTCCTATTCCCAGCTCAAGCACTATGTGAATAGGATATATTACCAAGGAAGACAGTACAACACTCCAACTGCAGGATCAGATCTAGATGACTTGGTGGCCAAACTCTTCCCAAAAGTAAGCTTGCAAATTCAGAGATTTGTTGTGGTTCATGACAGATAGTCCCAACATTTGGTATTGGTTAATTCTATTTTGTTTCTGTGCTGAGTATTAATACGAAAGCTTATTACAGGTTATTCAGTTACTAATACTAATTTTCAAGCAATGACACCCATCGCTCCATTCATACTACCTTGATTTTTTGAGATTTTGAGGTGTTCTTGATGTTGAAATGTTTGGTATGACATGGTTTAGCAATACTATCTATCAGATGAGGTGCCTCTTGTAATAATGAAAACAAAACAAAACATGTAGACTACCTATTTTTTCCATTCAGAAGTATTTATAATGTTGAAATATTTGGTACCGTATATGATCTTTTTTTTCATGGGACAGTCCGTACTAGCAGTTAAAGAGCATCCAGACTACAGAATCTTTTTGATTAGATGTATTCATAATTTTGTTGTGACACTGTGTACTTCACAAATAGCCTTCACAGACCAGTCAGTATATCTGTAATTTTCATTCACAAGTAGCCATGATGTTGATTTTGGTAGGTGATTCCTGTTTCATGATATGTGTTCTTGTGACATGCTGTACTAGTATTCAAAACATATTCAGGCTACATTATCTATTATATATTTCTCGTTCACAAGTCCTCATAATGATGAAACATCTGGCGAGTATTTCACAAAGACTAAGATCGACTTTAAGTTGGACTTAAGTATGGCAGGCCTCGTTCATGCCACTGTTTTCTCTCACTATTTCCTGGCATCGGTCTCTCAAGGGACTTACAAATCAGGGTTGCAAATCTACAGAATTTACATTTTTTGACAATTCATTATTGAAGGAAAAAATATTATCTTAAAGATCATAATGTTGAGAACAACCTGCCATAGTTAAGTCCAACTTAAAGTTGATCTTAATCTAGTGTTGTAACAGATATTTCCAATTCCGTTTAACCGCTAGTCAAAACAAGACGGTTTTCGGTTCAGCGATTTAAAAAATAATAAAAAAACGGGAAAACAAAACCGTCCAATTGAAAACGGATAGTGCTATGGACGGTCAGATACCGGACGGTTAGACGTTTGACCTCAGCACTATCTTAATCTTTGTGAAACACCCCTCTGGTATATATGCACTATTTTCTTGTGGTAGGCTGTTATATACTAGCAGTCGGATTGACTGATGGAGACACGTTGTGGTGAAGAAATATTCACACAGACATGAGATTGAAATGTGTAAAGTATAAAAATCTGTTTTTCTTGTGACAGGCTGTACTGGCAGTCAGATAACATTCATACTACAGAATATTTTTGATTAGATATATTCATAATTTTGTTGGGACACTGTGTACTTCACAAATAGCAGTCACAGAACATTCAGTATATGTGAAATGTTGAAATAAATAAAATTGTTTTTCTTGTGACAGGCTGTACTAGCATTGAAATCTACAGGAGGAGATGCCAAGGATTATCGTAACCCTCTCACCCCTGCTAGGTCACCCACCGGCACATCTCCCAGATACAACCCACTCTCAATGTCTCTACCAGATGGAGCAGATCCCTATACGCTGGAAAGACCAGTGAGTGCATAGGCTGTTGATGATGTTTTTTTTTAAATAGTTTTTCTAAGAGGGGCAGTGGGATAGGAAATATGTGGCCATTTTTAATATACTTTAAATTAGTGCTTGAATTGTTTTAAAGCCCCACTGCACTAGTTTGGCCCAGAGGGATTAGACCTCCCTGCATAGACATTGACAGGTGGTTATCTCATCAAATATGCTCTCAATTAACATATGAAAAAGAGGATCATGGGGGACCAATGGTCACAGATTAGGCATTGTTTGCTATATAGAGGGCGCAAGCTAGCTATAAGTAGTGCAGTGGGGCTTTAAGACACATTCAGATATGGAGATAAACATATAGGGAGCTTTACATTTCTATGTCTTAAGATCACACACATCAGTGACCCTGCAGCTTTGCTTTGATTTACTTGCATATTTCTGCTTTTACCCCCCTTTTGGGGCAGTTGAAGGAATCATGTCTGCACATGTCTTTACTGATTAAGTATACTATTTTAGGATCGGGTGATATTTTAGTCACTATGTCCTTTGTGATGAAGACGTTTGGTAAAAATCTAGATTCATATAAATATATTGTAGCAATTGTGAAAGAAAAAAGTGCAGATTATCCTCTATTAAATTGCCCTAAAACTCATGTTATCTGTTTTATCTGTTAAGAATCTTAATCAGCTGTCTCTATTGAAATTTTGTTGTTTTTAGGAGTCTCTCGTATAGAAATATATATTTTTTTCCCACTTATATTTCATTTTGTGATTTGCAGGGAGATGAGGAGAAGCACACTCCAAGAGGCATCAACCTGGGGCACATACGGGAGGTCCTCCCATCGGTTGTCATGGAAACCACTAGACGTGAGTCAGATTTTCATTCATACTACGTCTCACTTTGGACATTGTGTGAATTTAAATTTGTTCCATGTATGTATGTACATTGTAGATGAGATCTAAACTGGGGTAGGATTTTGTGAAAATGTTTGTTATTCTTACTGCATCTATTCTAGCCTGTTGGCTGTGCACACAGCAAATCTCTGTCATTGGGTTCTAGAGAGGCATGGCCCACCTGGTCCTGTCCAAATCCCCTCTGGACCAGAACAGGGCCTCATTTTACAAAACTTGTCATCAGTGACAAATAACAGTTTTTGTTATAATCTACCGAAATCCTTGCTTCTGATTCGTTATCAGCAGATTGGTCACTGATTTTTGTCATTTGTCATTGAAAAAAGGCTTTGTGAAACGCCCCCCCCCCCCAGGACTATGCAAAGTCTTCATGCATAAATGGGGCTACAGTGAGAATGGAGATAATGTGTGTAATTGTGAGGAGGAACAGATGATGAAAGCTTTTAAAAGTTTGAAACCTCCCATCAGAATCCTGTACTCTTAAAAGATCTGGGACCCGTTTCACAAAGCCTTTTTCAATGACAAATGACTAAAGTCAGTGACAAATCTGCTGATAACCAATCAGAAACAAGGATTTCAGTAGCTAATTATAACCAAAAAAAACTGTCATTTGTCACAGATGACAAGTTTTGTAAAACGCCCCCTGGAAGGGTTCATTGACAAGGTCAGATCCTGCTTCCAGGCACTGGACATGGCTTATGAGTGACAAGAGAAGAATTAAGAAGCCAGGGCACACAATGATATTTTCAAAATAACTTCATTTCTCCTGCAGATGAGGCTGTTTGGAGCGAAGGCCTTGGTTTGACAGCTGCGGCCATGAACATAGACCTCAACGACAAGGTGCCTTCTCCGCGCATACCAGCACCCCCGCCCAGGCTTCCGGACTCTTCTTGGAAAGTTAAAGGGCCCCCTCTACGTCAAGAAGACCTGGCAGTCAGTGAAGCTGCTGAATCGGTGAGTCACAGAGGGAAACATGTTTCTTGACGCCCTCTGTATATAAATAAAAATTAAAAATATACAGGGATACCAGTTTTCAGACAAAAGCCTGATTTCAGGCCTTGTTGATTTATTTTCTGGCCATACATGTAGTTTAGGCTTTTTTGTGTACAAAATACCTCATTTTAGGTAATTTTCAGGCCCTCTGATCAATTCTAACTGGCATCCCTGAATAAAGCCAAACTTTTTAGCTCAAAGAGGTGAACACAAGAAGAATATAGGGGAAAAAAGAAATGTAAGGAAAAGGTGACGAGAAGAAGGTAGGAAATATATATGAAAAAGAAGATTAAAGAGGGAGAAAAAATATTAAAGATTATAATTAAGGCACTGATGGGAATGGAGATTAGAAAGAAACAGAAATTCAGTAATTTTTGTTTCTTGTACATGTTATGTACATACCTTGAATCGATCTCCACATTTACTCTACATTGATATGCTTTTCTAAAAGAAGTGTTTTTATTCAAACTATTTTTATAGCTAGTAGGAACAGCAGAACAATATTACGGAGCTGTTAGCCATTAGATTAATTTTTTTGTTTCCCATGAACATTGAATGCTCATTGAAAACCTACAAATTTAAACATGTCAGAATACATGGATTTCACATTTTCTTTTTAATTTTAACATTTTTCACCCCAGGAACTAAGTGAGGTTGTTCCGCTCACCGGCAAAGAGGTCGTGGAGATGTTTGGCAAAGGTCGTCACCTTGGCAACGCCAAATTCATCTATCTGAACCGTACCCCAACACGACACTTCATGCCCTACGAGTTCACCGTCGTGCCCAAGCACAAGGCCAACCCCAATGAACACTGGATCGTGTCGTGCTTCGGAATCATGCACAAGGTCAAAGGTCAACCAGCAAACAGCATGAACCTGTATGACTGGCACAGAGAAGCTGTCCTGTGGGGTATCCTGACTAAGATTCCATTCTTCAAGTACTACCTAGTTAGGAAGTTATTCAATAGGTGGGTTAATACAATCGTTATAAGAATGCAGTAAATCATTTTTGCCTCATTGACACGAGAAAGACAACAACAGAGATGCCAACCAGTACGATTAAATCGTATTTAGTGCAATAATAAGAGTGAAATACGATCTTAAAATCTTAAAAAAAGATTTTTGATCAAAAAAAAAAAAGAACTTTTATTTTCATTTTTTAAAACCCATAAAAAAAAAACAGAATCGCATAGAAACATGTAAGAATAAACCTCTGCAACCCCAACAAAAACTTTGCTTTAAATTTTAAATTAAATTTTAATGAAAGAGCAAACATTTTTCTGAAATTTTACTGGTCCGGGGCTGACGGGCTAGTGGTAAATCTGATTTTTTAGGATACTCAGTCTGTTTTTTGTCTCGCCTGCGTAGCAAAAAGCGAGACATAGGCGCCGCTTTTCCGGTGACGGCGACGGCGACGGCGGCGTCAACATCAAAAACTTAACCTAAGGTTAAGTTTTTGAATTTTTGATATAATTTTTAAAGTATAAGTTCTTAGTCAATGAAACTTGGACTATAGGGTAATCAATTATCCCCAATCATGTGAGTAGAATTTTAGATCACAAAGTCAAGGTCAAAGGTCATTTCAGGTCAACAGACTTGGACTATGTTGTAGCATCATCATCGAAAACTTAACCTAAGGTTAAGTTTTTGAATTTTTGATATAATTTTGAAAGTATAAGTTCTTAGTCAATGAAACTTGGACTATATGGTTATGAAGTCTCCCCAATCATGTGAGTAGAATTTCAGGTCACTAAGTTAAGGTCAAAGGTCATTTAAGGTAAAAAAACTTAGACTTTGTTGTGGCATCAACATCAAGATTTTCAAAATGCTTCTTCTTCGTTATTTTTCAACCGATTTTGATTCTGATTGTTTCATATGATAGGGCTAGGAGGGGGATTTAAAATTTCTACACAGAATCGTGAAATTCATTATCTATGCTAATTTATGCAAATTTATTCAAAATCACAAAAAAGGCTTCATCTCCTTCATTTCTTGACCGATTTTGATTTGGTTTGCTTTATATCGTAGAGCTAACTTTGGTACACTAAACTTCTACACAGAATTTTGAAATTGTTCTCCATTAATTAATTATGGTAATTTATGCAAATTTATTCCAAAAATAACAAAAATTGCTTCTTTTCCCTCATTTCTTGACTGATTTTGATTTGGTTTGCCTTATCTGGTAGAGCTAAATTTGGAACACTAAACTTCTACACAGATTGTGAGATTTTGCTCCATTGATTATTTATGGTACTTTATGCAAATGAAATGAAATTATGTCCCTTCCAGGGCATCAAATTTTTATTTTTTGACCAGTTCAAAAGTGTACCACATAAAATTTACGATATTTGTTGTTGCGAGATGCGGATGAGTGCTACGTGATTGACGTTCTGGTTTATCATATTGAATTGCGTTATGCAGGCGAGACCGCAGAGAGCGTTTCCCTTGTTTGTGTCAAGAGGTTGGTATCTCTGCAACAAATGATAACATGTCTGAAAATGGATATTTTTGGCTAACAAATTTTTAGATATGACCGTTATAGTATATAGAAAGATCGATGCACTTGCAATGTTGAGGCGATATGATGTATGCTCAGAACCATTATGGGCTACATGTACAGTAAGACTCACAAAAGTTGGTTTCGCATAATTCACCTAGATTTCACCAAAGGGGAAGCAAAAACAAAACTCATTATATATAAATGGTTTATTAAAAAAAGGTCATCGCAGCCAACAGCTGAATTGCGATCCATTTCACATAGATACAATACAATTGCAATTCAAATTCAAATAACACAAAATATGACATACATGTATATCAAAAATCATTGATCAAATTAAATTTGTTGTTAAAAAAAGAAGAAGAAAGGTGTAGGAGAGGGAAAGTTAGAGTGATGAGAAAGAAATAAAGAGAGAGAGAGAGAGAGAGGAGGGGGACGAAAGAGAAAGACAGGGATGAAGGGGGAAAGAGACAGACAAAGGGGGTCCTTATTATTACTAATGAAGGGAGATGGCAAGAGACATTCAGAATTGCAGAAAATCGAGATAAAAACAAGATCAAAAGTCATTCACATTGTGCAAACTTGAACTGTGAAATTCTAAAAATACAATTTATATTAGTATTATATTTTATTAAGAAGATTTATTAAGTATGGAAGTATCATCGTATCTATGCATGTTTTTGTTGTAGATGGAGGTCTGGTAAGAAGCACCAGGAGTTCTGTAACATCAGGAAGAGGGTCCATGAGAGTCTCCTGCTGGCTGTACCAGGGTTTGGAGCTGCCTCCATCCAGATCTCCAAGCTCCTCCAAGAGCTAGGCACCGTACGCTTTCTCCCCCTGGAGCTCGAGTAAGTCATCATCTCTTATTCTTAAAGCCCCACTGCACTACTTATAGCTACTTGCGCCCTCTATACAGCAAACAATGCAAAAGGGGTACCTGTTGGTCCCCCATGATCCCCCTTTTCTTATGTTAATTGAGAGCTGATTTGATGAGATAACCGCCTGTAAGTGACCTTGCAGGGAGGTTTAATCCCCCCAGGCCAAACTAGTGCAGATGGGCTTTAATCTATTTATTGTAGTATAAGATAAATGTATTCTTAAAGGGGAAGTCCACCCTGATATTTAAGTTGGCTTTAATAGAAGCGGAAAAGTGAGAGCAACATGTCAGTGAAAGTTTGAGCATAAACCAACTAGAAATTGACAACTCTTTGACACTCCATGGATAATAAAGGAAAGGTGAGCAAATGAAGACTTCAATCTGGCATACTCAAATGTTACAAATCAACAGGCTCTTTATCGTGTGGAATATAATTCTAACCGTTTTATCTGTATTCAATTATTTAATGAAGGAATGACACCTGCGTTTCCATTTCCGTTGACACTCGTGTGCAATTTTTAGCTCTATGGCTGACTGACTAAACTCAGTAATCTTTCCTCTTTTCCTCCCTCAGCCATTGCTTCACCCTACCTGAATTTGAACACAGGACTAAGATGATGTACAAAGCTGGCCAGCAGATCCTGAACAAGTTCTTTCAGTAAGTCCTTTGATTCATGATATATATATATATACAGTCAAACCTGTCTATAGCAACGGCCCAAGGGAAACACAAAAAGTGGTCTTTGTAGACAGCTGGTCTTTGTAGACAGGTTCCTTTAGTACATGTTTCAATAGGAAACCATTTTCAAGGGAAACAAAAAATGTGGTCTTTGTAGACAGGTGGTCAGTAAATCAGGTTTGACTGCATGTATATAGGCAAGCCAGCAGTAATCAGGCATGTGTATTTGCATTTGGACATGTTACAAGAGAAAACTTCCACTTCTATTTCCCTGTTTTCTGAGTTAATTAGGAGACATTGCTCAAAATACTTTCTGTATCAACTTCTTTTTAGAACTATTAAATCTGGCGTATTTCTTGTTCTTGGTTATTGGTACAGGCCCTTTATACATTATGTCAAAAAGTACCTGTATATACCACATACACTTATATAAAGTTGATTATCATTGTTGTTATTTAATTATTAGTCATTAATTGTTGTAAATAAATTTGTGGCTTGCACCCAGTAGATAAAGATCACATGATCAATCTTGTAATTTAAAACAAGTCAGGAAACAATCTTGGAACCAGTGGGATTTGAACCTGTCATCTACTGCTTGCTGGACAGCAACACTATTACCAAGCCATCACTGGTCCATATAGCACAACTAGAAACAAATACCTCAGCTCTCCTGACTAATTCTGACTTTTTAATATTCATCAGTCTGCGATTAGAACAACCGCTTTGAATGTATAAGCTTCCTGGGAAAAGTTTCAATTGTTATAAAGAATGTTTAAAAAATTTGTTCTCTGATATTGTTCTCTTATTTATAGCTTTTTGAAATTGATCTTGGATAAAGCCTGTGAGGACTCCTATGAGATGCTGGACTTTTGCAAACAACAAACCAAGAAGGACAAAGCCCTATTGTGAGTATCGATAATTATTATCTACTTAAGGCTTCCAAGTGGTACAATAAATCAGTGTATTCAATGTCTTAAGCGCAGTAACCGCAAAACTGACCAATATTGTTTTCGTATTGCTCAGTCATCCAGGAACTTTAACTATCGATATATATATCACACAAAAATAAAGCCATATTTACTGAGGTAAGTCAAATTTTGTTATTTCGCTAGTTTAGCCTGATATAGATACTAATAATGATATTGTAGCGCTTTGTTTTCGTTTAATACAAGAATATATTGCTCTCGCTATGACAATATATTCTTGTACCACACTCAAAGCCATCTAATATTATATAAGTATTATGTTGTGACTTCTAATCAGTTATCTGAAATACAAAGTAGGTTTGCTGACAGTAATCCACTGTTTTGAACTAAGTTTACCATACCACTTAGAAATACAAATGATTGAAAGACAAAACGGTAGTCTGAGAGACATGCCCAGACGCCAGAAAGGTGTACATGCATGTTCATGTTCTCGCCAGGAAGGCCAAGGCGTAGTATGTACGCTCCGCATGTTTGGCCTTAGCCCCATGCACTCTTGTACGGTGCAAGGATTTGGAAAGTGTTTGGGAGTGCTGATATTCGATGTGTATTGTTGACCTCCTGGCTGATGATGCATCTAGATGTGTTGGAGAACTGAAGGGCTATTAATTGTTTCTTTTATTCTAACTCTGGTGTGGCCGTTTCTCTACGACGCAACTTTGTTTAAGCGGTTTTCAGTTTATTTACAAGAAAAAAACTTATTTCCATTTTTGCAGTATATTCAAAAGAATTTGTTTATTCTCTACCTCACTGGCATTTATTTAGAAGATTTAATGAATTATTGTAAGTTGTTAGTAAGCTGAAGTATGGTTTAAGATTTGGGATTCAAGTATATAAAATGTTTCCAGTGTTTTCAGGCTTTAAAGGACAATATGGATCCCTTTGTGCAAGGCTTTCAATTGAAAGAATATCTATGGTGTACACTATACAGTTTAACACTTGCTTTCTTCGCATCTCTGCACGGTCCCTTGGTTGCAATTTTGTACAAAACAGTATACACCGCTCCACATAAGAATTGCTTTTTGCAATACAGTGGCTTTCCAAAATTACCCATTTCTGGGCTCTATTTCAACTCTTTTTACACAGGTAGAGATTAATCTTGCAGACTTGCACTGGAAAGTGAAAATAATCATTAAGCCTTTTGGTTTGCTATCCCATGATGAATGCAATGTGGCACAAGGAGATTATATTTGATTAAAATGAGGTGCGCACATTTTATTTGTGCATCTACCCAAATAGGTGAGATTTTTAATTTCTTTCTTCATTTTTCCCCTCTAAACTCTAGTTCCAAGGAGTCATTGTTTGTGCAGAGACAGAAGAAAGAACAGAGAGAAACCAACCTACTGAAAGCACAGAATGAAACTAAGTGAGTTATTATCATGAAAGTTCAACTCTTTTGGTGTTGTATATATGTTTGAAAGTTACGCCTTTGGTCTTTAGCTGAACAGCTCAATCTTTTGAAAGTATAGAATTTTTGTATTCAAAAGTATAATTTTCAAACTTACTGTAGTTATGGTTTTGAAATGACTTGTCTGCCAATTTTGCCATTTGGTCAAGAAATTACTAGTATTGAAAATATCATTTTAAGTAGATTCTGCAGGCATTCTGTTTTACAGGTATATTCTAGATCAAATTTGTTGTATCTTTTAATACATACTCATGAGTGAGTATGCAGTCTTTGTTGCTAGCAGCTTGTTTCTTTTCAGTACAAATTGCCATTAATTTTCTTGTAAAATAGATAAACAAATATTTTTTGCCAAGGCAGTTGTTTTTAGGCAGTTCACCATTCCAGGTTAGAGCAAAGCATTGGAAGAAGTTACTGTAAAAATCTCATGATTGAAATACATGTATGTATTTACAAAATTAAACAAAATGAATGCATTGTCTGTTTTTTTAACGAATCATAGGCGTCTTGGGAACTTTGTTCTGCTGATCGATCAGATCCTAGTTTGCCATCTTCTTGCCTTGAGCCGGTACAACATCTGTACCTTTGTCAGGCACACCATGGTGGGGAGCATCGATGCGCCCCGGGAAGCCCTCTACAGGGCCAAGCTAAACTTTACAAGTAAAGGTAAGATTGGAGTGATAGAGAGAGAAAGAGAGAGAGAGAGAGAGAAATGCATGGTGAGCGAGGAGAGGGTATTGTAAAGGGCTGAATGAGAGGCTTGTGTTTGCTTATGCTGATGAGAGATGGAGAGAATTGCAGAAAGTGACGGTAGGAAAATAGAGAGAGAGAGAGAGAAGACTGAGAGAAGATTTTAGAGAAGATATATGTGAGAAAAGTGAGAGAGAGAGAGAGAGCAAGAGAGAGAGAGTGAGGGAGACAGGGAGAGAGAGAGAGAGAGTGAGAGAGGGACAGAGAGAGATCGAGAGAGATAAAGAGGGAATGTTGATTAAGAGATAGAAAGGCAGAGAGTGACAACAGGAAAATAGAGAGAGAGAGACAGAGAACTATAGAGAAGACAGAGAGAGATTGTGAGAAGAGAAAGAGAGAGAGAGAGAGAGAGAGAGAGAGAGAGAGAGATATTAAGCAAAGGGGGAAGAGAGATACAGAGTAATGATTATGAAGACAAATTTGTCCAAACAAAGAAGGTTAATCTTAACTCATTGTTTAATTCCGGCCATTTATTGTGATATTCATTGTGATTCTCTTTCCAGGAGCGTTGACTCTGTACCCATCCAAGCAAATGTTCTTGGATACAGTCGATGCAATCCTCGTCAAGCTAGCAGACATCATCAGTGATGCAGCCAGGCCTATTGAGGAGGTGACGGCTGGATGGATTGGAAACCAGCGAGAAAAACTCTTCCACAAAGAGTAAGGTTTTTTTAATGTTAATTATCACCTTTTTCTAAAAACACACCTAGACCTTGTCCTTGGATGAGGTGCAATTGATTTTCTACCTTAAAGTCCTCCAATCACTTGTAAAAGCACAATGGGTGGTATTCCAATAGCGTGTACTAAGTTAAGCCTGGCTTTACTTAGTCCACACTTTTATGGATTTCCTGTTGCCAACTCATTTACCCTGTACAGATTATTTTAACCCTGCAATGAAAAGTGTCAAAAAAACTACTTTTTGCCATGAAATTGGAAGAAAAAGATTATGAGTATGAACTGAATTTCAACACAGTATTTGGTAGATTATCGTTGTCATGAATATTGAAGGAGGAAGATGAAACCTAGCATTCCATAGAAGTGTGAACTAAAATTCTTGTTTAGTCTGGACTTAGTCCGAGCTTAAATTATGAGAATACCACCCATACACTTTAATAGTGATCTCATATTTCAAACATTCATAAATAACTCTTTTATTAATTGGCCCATTTATTTTATACTTTTGCCATTCTGTTTATCTCATGAATCTGCTTTTATACAAATAAACTTGAATATTACAAAGGTTGGATTACCCTTTAATCTTGCATACACTGTGTGCACGCAAGCTTGAATACGAGACATCATATGTGTACTTGTATATGTTCAGTATATAGTACAAAGTTCTTTCCTATGTTGTATTGTAGTGAGGAGGAAGAGGAAGGTCGATCCCCTTCTAAATTGTCGGTCAAAGATGGTGCTTCGCTTCAGAGATTGATTTCTACAGCAGCAGAACGACTCCAGGAACCTCTCTTGGTTGAGCAAAGTAAGTGTTATAGAATCCTTCTATTTACATTGATAGATATATTCAGACCTGTATATAAAGACCGCTGAAGGGTGATAAGAAAAGCGATATTTATAAGCAAGTGTTGAATGTACATGATATTATAAGGGATTTGTCAGTAATTCTAGGAAAACAACAAATTCAGTTCAGTTCACTCAATTCAACCATTTAAAATCGCATATACAAAGCAAGTAATACAAATAAGAATACAAAATAAATGGTTAGGATGCCCCTAAAACCCAAGGCTTGAAGAAAAAAAAGGATACAGAATTATAAAAAAAAAGAACAAAAAACAAAAAAACATTACATTAAACAGAAGAAAACTGAAGAAGAAAAATGGAAAGAAGGAAACAGATAAAAGAGAGAGAGAGAGAGAAAGAGAGAGAGTGGGGGGAAAAAGGGGGGGGGGGGGTAATACATGCAGGAAGAATCTACATTTTTTGGGGGCATAACTAGTTATTATTGAACGGTAGAGTTTAGTTTTAAATGAAGTAATATTTTAGCAAGAACTTACGTCAGGTGGTAACTATTGGTTTCAATAAATAATTCCATTTCAAATCACAATAATTTTGCCATGTATTGCATGAGATGGGCTGAAATCTTTTTGAGTAGCATAAACACCAACTGGGAAGATCTTTGTCATCCTAAACTCTCTCTGTATATCATCAAACGATCAAGCTACTCATAAAATATGCGAACACATTTGATGTGAATATTACTAATAGTGGGGACTCCAAGGAACTTTCTATGAGTTACATCAGTGCAACATGTCACTTAATAGTCAAATATGTACAAATTAAAAAAAAGATAATGTCTCTCTACATTCGCAACAAAGTCGGTCATTATAGTTGGAAAACTATTAAAACTCTTACTAGTACATGTACTGTATACTTCACATTATGATGTATTTGATATCTCTGATGATGTGGTGTTCTTATCTTTCTTTTTTACAGAAACTCCCAGGAAGGAGTCTGACAACCTAGGGGTCGCGACCCCCGAACTCTGCAAGAAGACCGACCTCCAGGAGGACTATGTGGTCGTTGGAGAGCGCATGGTTGGACAGTACAACCCGCTCACTGAAGGGAGTCTGGCAGACAGACTATTGGCAGAGTGAGTATCATTTATTTGGAGATGAGTGTGTGCGTGAGAGGACTGTGAAAGATGTAGAACTTGGTAACCAGTCTAGATTCCAGTCTGAATGGATGGCACAACAGTAACTGTTTGTGTAAGAAAAAAATACTTTTGTTCATGATGCACCAGTATCTTGTTTTGTTTTTGTTTTTGTTTTTTAACTTACATATGGAAGTATTAGTTATAACAAACTTATTAATAGATAAACAAAAATGGAAAGGTAATTATCCGTTTATGGATTTATGAATTTAGTTTGCAATTGTTTTGCAATTATTATATTTTTTTTCCATTGGAGTTTGGAATCAATAGTTAATGTCATTATACAATATTTGAGGGCCAACATGACATATTTATGTTAATGTGTGACAAGTTAAAAAATTGTGTTTAAATAAATCATCTTCAGATCAGAGCATCTTTGAATCAATCAACTGATCACTCAATCAAAGACAACATTTTCATGGTCTAAAATAAACCTGAATATGTAATTGCAGCTAAACATGACAAGTTAAGCCTCCACTAAAAAAAAGAAGAAGATATTTGAGTTGTAGTGGACCACATGGTGTTTTTGTCATTTCACATTTCTGTACATGATTGTAAATAGCCAGTTGGCTTTGATGTTATCCTTGAGTACCCAATACAAAAAACAAACAAAAAAAAAAAAAAAAAAACCCTGATCACTCAATCGATTGATTTCTTGTTTTGGTTGTGTTTCAGTGAGGAGATATCATCGGCCAGAGAGCTAGAAACAGAGATCATCACAGCGGCCTTGGAAGAAATTGATAGTTTCTGTGACGACCATTCGTGGCTTGCTGATATCCACCGCTTTGCTCGCAAGTGGAACAAGGATGCTGTCATGCAATGGAAAAGAGCACAGGCTTACAGCATAGAGGTGGGTCTAGTTTGCTCTATTGTCTATAATTTATGATAAGATGTGTACATTTTAGAACAATGTTAAATCTGAGATGCATGGCCCTACGTGTTATCAGTGTGTGGATATGGTGTTACAGTCAAACCTGCTTTAGTTACCACCTGTCTATAAAGGCCACATTTGTTGTTTCCCTTAAATGGTTTCTCATTGAATCATGTACTAAACCTGTCTACAAAGACCACCTGTCTACAAAGGCCACTTTTTGTGTTTCCCTTAGGTGGTCACTTTAGGCAGGTTTGACTGTATATTGAAGCCCTAAAAAAAAGTTGCGCTTCAAAATGATCAAAAGTGCCTCAAAAAAAGTAAATATCATTTAGTGACCAGTTTTACCATAGTCATTTTCCCCAATAGACTGTAGTGTTGTAGAAAACGGTGGGAAAACGGGCGGACGGGTGATTTGCTTGTAAAAGTCATGGGATTTCTGACTGACCTATAGGTTTATAATTATGATTGCAGCGTGAGCTAAATCCAGGATTTTGTTTCAGAATCTGAGGCAATGTTACCAAGTCACTTTAAGATATTGATGTGTACATTTGAGAAAATTGTTTTAGAATACTATACAGTGAAACTTGTATATGAAGATCGCTCAAGGGAGACAAGAAAAGTGATCTTTATAAGCAGGTGGTCTTTATGTACAGGTTCCTTTAATATAGCAAGTACTCATGAAATGCCATATTAGTCAAGGTTGAAAAATCTTAATCTCTTCAATTCTACTTTTGAACAAAAATGGCTTTCCCAGACCAAACTAGGTGAGATCCGTGACTGGTGCGATCAAGTGAAGAATGCGGACCGCAGCTTTGTGACCCAGAACGGACTCTTCCATGTCGACTGCGGGGCCATCCAGGAAGACCTCGTCCCTCTTCTCAACAACGCATTCAGGGATCTTCTCAACTTCACGGCCAGTGAGGCCAAGAACCTCTCTGTGGAGTTCATGACTGAAGTCAAAGGCGTGGTGATGGTGAGTTGCGATCAGCCGGGCCCTGTATCATAAAACTTGTTATCAATAACAAGTAAAAAGCTACTGTTATAAGCTACTGAAATCATGGCATCTGATTGGCTGAAAGCAAATTTGTCATAGAAATTCAGCAGTTGTTATAGAAAACAAGTTTTATGAAACGGGCCCCAGATTTATCTGCTGTTGTGTCAGTAATCTGTGGATAATTAATCAGGGCTGGTATTCAATTTGATACTTTATTTAAGTAAACATTTTACTTAGCATTTGGCTTAGCTAAGTAAAATGTCTTAACTCGTATTCAGGTCACATTTAAGGAATTTACTTCTGCCAGCCGACTTTACGGCAAAGTACTTTCTGATAAGCTTTGAGACATCACATGGTAAATCAAAATTGATGCTCAATTTACGTGTTGCATTAAATGCACGCTAATGTAATTGTGCGCAGCTTATGACTGTTTATAACCATATAACCATAAACCTGCCAATCAATGCTTCTAAAATAATTGGCTTATGTCTGCTAGAGAGCTGTCTTAAATGTTAGGGTAAAATACTTAATAGCTAGAAGTTTCAACTGAATACAGAAGTTGGCTATGTATTTTATCTAAGCTGAAAACTAAGTAAAATTTCTCACTTAAGTTTTGAATTGAATACTGGCCCAGTTACTTCAACTCAGCCTATATATAGAAGTACTTTATTTTAACCATCATGATACCAATTCTAAGTTAGTCTAGAAGTAGTCAGAATCAATAGATTTCATTTCATAACCAATTTGTTTATTCTCTCGAGTGCTCTACTGCTATATTTTTATTTTCTGTAGGTTACAGTTCTTAGCATTATACCAGTCTGAGTAGCTTGGTTGATATACTAATTTTTTATTCTTATATTGATATTAACATCACCCTACGTGTTTTTCATTACTTTTAGAACTTAATCTATACAAAAGTTTCATATTTTTATAGAAATTTCTTGTTGATGTAGCTTTACATGTATGATTTATTTGTCATGTATATTATGTGCCGCATCTGGTAGGATCTTGATTTACTCTTTCCTACATAATTCAAAGTCTTTAGATTAATAGTAAGAAAAGAACTAGTTCTGTTATTTTTCAGTGTTTTGAATTCTTGTTTCTTCTGGAGTATGGAATTTTAAAATGCACTTGTTTACTCATTTCAAAGTCTTATATAGGTCGAGAGGAAAGGTTGCTAGGCAAAACCTTTGCTGTAGGCAAATCGTGTACATTTTTCACCTTCATATTTTCCTACAGTTTATAGTCTTCTCATCCTCTAAAATGATATGAATATCAGCCTTAAAAATATCTGCAATATGATAGTAAAATTTTAGAATTCTGTAGGCGTAAACTTTCATGTGATGAGTTGAGAGTGACTATTCTTCATTCTAGTTTGCTTTATAGTTTAGTCTCTACAAAATGCACAATAATCTTAACATTTATATTACCCACTCAAGGCAAGATATTTTTAGATTGATGGTAATTAGGCTTTCACTTTGGTAGGTATATTAATCTTTTTTATATGAATAATTATGGCTGACTCTGTCTGTCTCTCATTCTGTTTCCATCATAGAGTAGTCCTTTAAAATGCACAATTAATATCAATGTTACTTCCACAGGAGATGCTACAGTGTGGCCCTTATAAAATCGCCGTTCTACGAAAGGTGACATAGAGTATTTGTACTTGCTTGTTGTGATATGTATCCAAAATGTCCTTTTACGCTTCATCCTTGCTTTTTTCCCTTTATCCCCAAACGGAAAGAAGACCATTGGGTTACAGTTACTTTTTCTTTTCCCGGCATCCATGTGACTCTTTTCCAAATGTATACTCATGTTTTGTATTCAATGATTTTCTTTGTTTTTGTCGATGAAATAATAATGATAATAAACCCCTATTTGTGCAGCTGCAATCCATACTAATTGTATTTCCACAGAGCTTGAATGAATTGTCCAGGTAGAGAGAAAGAGACAGACATTCATTTTGAAGTAAAGATGTTGTTTTTGTAACAAATGAAGAATAACAAAAATAAATCACATTTGTGATGATGTATTAATGAAGTTAGAATAAGTGAACAATGACAGTGGCAGAAATAATAATATTGGACAACTACTAATCAATGTTCTGGAGCTACACATTTAGGCCTTGTCTCTTTCTCTCCGCTTCATCTCATATTGCTTGTTGTATCAAAACAACCAAATCTCAGAACTATTGGTAAATACACGTATCTAGGTTATCTACATGCATGAAGGGCTTTACAATAGTTGTGTTTCATAAATGACTTTGGGGGAAGATTTTTTTATGATAAAAGAAATTGAAACAAATGTTTACTTGTAGCGATATGTGACACAAATATTGCAAGTCGCATGTCGTTTTGTATTAAACTGGGAGAGCCATTGGATGCATGGTAAAGGTTACATAACATAGCACAGACATGAATCCTTTATATGGGAGGGGAGGTATTGGGATTCTATTCTATGCATTTAACCAGCCTGTGGATCTTCCACTCTCCTCTGTAAGGTTTTTTTTATATTAAAAAAAATCTTTTCTGGTGTACTGGTTCTTCTGTAAATCTCAGTTTTTCTATGTATTCTCTAAGTATTCTACAGTTCCTATCTTATTTTACAAAGGTCCCCTGTCTGCCTGAAAACACTAACATATTTGCTCTGCATACTGTAATTAGGTACATTGTATAAGTAATATATCAGGAGATTTATGTATTAGCTTGCTTTTATTTTCTTTAAATGAAATTGATTTTTATGGTTATTTTCCCCTGCTATTGTGTATGAGAAATGCTACTTGATCGATACCTGCTTGTTAAAAACCCTGTGGTGACAGTGGTATGCTGTGTATGGAGAGGAGTTTGATCGGTTTTGCTCTATTTTCATTTGTTCCTATGATCTAAATGTGGGAGAGCATGGTAAAGTGTTGACTGGAATTAGTTTTTAAACCTATGGCTCTATCAACTGCCTCACATCCATTTGCTATATTGACACATGTGTATATTATCTGCTGCTCATGTTATGCATGTACATGTACATATAGTCAAACCTGTCTTTAAGTGGTCACCCCTCTTTAAAGTCCACTTGTCTATAGTGGCGATGGATTTTGTCTACCTTTAGAAATAAATGTGTGTTGTAGAACCTGTCTAAAAAGGCCATAAGTCTACAGTGGCCAATTTTTTTCTGTAAGTGGCCTTTATAGACAGGTTTGACTGTATTAAAATATGAAATATTGCAATATATTCCCTTATTTGCTGCAATGCTGTTATAAAACGTCTCATTTTATGGTATTTTCCCGTCCATTTGTGGATATACATGTACATGTATGTAATTTGTAATATTTTGTTGCATTGCATGCTCTTATGTACCATACTTTTCATAACTTGCTCTTAAAAGTTTGTATTGTGCTGGTGTACATGCATTCTGTATAGCATTGTAAATTGGAAAGCAGGTATACTGTACATGTATTTCATATAGTTATGCTTTATACCATAATAGATGACATTGAATCATTAATATATAAAAACATAAATGTGATCTTTAATCAGTGTATTGTGATGTTGAAGATAAAAACATTACATTTCCCGTATCTTAATGTTTTTGTCCTATGTGTGTCACACATGGTACAACTGGTTTTGATTATTTTTACCAAAATACAATTTTCTTTATAAGTGACTTTTCTTCATTTTTTTTTTTTTTTTTTTACTACCAAGCAAAAGTTATAGAAAGGTCTACCAAAAAAAAAGCTCTTGAAAGACATGTAATATAATTCTCACTTTTTTAATAATGGAAAGATTATGCCTCAGAAATAATTACTTCCGATATTCATATTACAATAATCTTGGTAATTTCAAGGTCATAATTATTTGTAATTTATTGAAAAATGTCTATGCCATTTTGTATGTATTTATGTATCCATACAAATTGCATTTCTTCATCTGATTTCTAACATTTATTTCAAATTGTGTGTCCCTGAATTAAAACAATAAATATATTCAACTTTTATTTTAATCTAGGGTATGAAAGAGAAGACTTCCGATGTGAAAGCTTTTGCTGACTATGCCCAGCAGTACAACAAGTACAAGATTAAGATGCCTGAGCTACAGAAAGAAGTAGAATATGTCAAGTCTCTATTTGAGGTGAGTCAAGGTTCAACAGCTTCATCATTATCTATTCATAATTCATGCTAACATGTATGCATAATAATAATGATAATAAATAATAATAGTGTGGCGTAACCGGGCTCTGCCGGGGTAGCGTTCTGCCTTGCAGTCTTTCAAAACCCGGTCCACGCTCTCGACAATCAATTATCTCCCTCGGTGGGCTCTCACAAAAGTATATCGTGTAAGAAATAACGTGGACTAGCTCTCATTCACTTACTCCCGCAATCACTGAATGTCTGACAGGACTAAAGAAACAACACTTGCACAGTATCTGCAGTTCAAGTAACTTTACTCGTTCCTAATTGTGACGAACCTGTCGCAACGACAGCTCGACGCTGACTCACAGATCACAACTACATGTATACAGAACCTGTCCCAAGACAGCTCAACACTGACTGACTGACATCTCACGATGTACCATATATATTTCACAATTAACTATAACGCCCTCTACATCTTACTAATATACTGGGCTAGTTATGTTACAATAGGCATTTATATCGCGCAGTCTATCTAGACAATTCTATTCTGAGGTGCACAAGAAAAGTAGAAAGAATGAGAGAGTTTGGATTAGTGTCATAGTGCCAAGTACAGGTATTGTTAAAAAAGATAAGATTTCAGCTTGGATTTAAAGGTCTCTAAGGAAGTTATGATTCTCAAATTAAATGGTAAATTATTCCAAAGAGAAGATGCTGCAGCTGAAAAGGCCCTTTCACCACAGGCTACTTGTGTCTTGGGGATCTTATGAAGATTCTGGTGTGATGATCTTAGACTACGAGCTGGTGTATAGGCATTCAAGGGAGGTGGGGGGGGGGGGGGGAACCATTCGGCCCCTCCTTTTGAGCCTTTGGCGGGCTGGCAGAATTCCCGCTTTGGGAATGTCCTGAATTTTCCTGTCGAAATGCAATGCAGGTGCATGTAATTAGAGATAATACAGTTATTTTAATAAGTAGATGTACATATATTTTTATGCTGGTTAATTGTAACAAGGAAAAGCCTAAGTCTTTCATGAGTACATAATTTATGTTTCTGAATATTTGTTTTTAACTTATGATTTGCTTATTGGTCAGTTTCTAATGGTGATAGACTATTTGAACAACTCTGAACTCATCATACTGAACCCTGTACCTATATACATAACCCAATACCTAATTGCAATCATAACCCTTAAGTTGTATGTTCGATGAAATAACAAAAATGAGCAAACTTTCCCAGAGCAATTAACTGTTGGATCATCTCATTTTCAGACGTGTAGTCCAATGATTTCCATGTCAACATTCCTATCTATGTACTAGGTGATCCGTCTGAGCTACCGTTCATTGACTCCGGAGGAGGAGAAGTGTGAGGAAGGGGTGTGGCAGAGCTGGGAGGCCTTCCTTCTTCAGCTCCAGGATGCAGCAGAGTTCGTCAACATGCAGACCCCCATCCAAATTGGCGATCTTGATGAAACCTACCAGGTACTTTCAGAATTTGTTCACTTAAAATTTTAGTTTTTAGTAGCAATAACGCCATAAATGTTCTTTATATAGGTGTGCATGGTGAGGAAGATGAGTCAGGAAAACTTAAAAAGGTACACCACATGTGTTGTTCTTTGAAGGACTGGGGTATTCTTTCTTGTCAGGAGGCCATCTCTTTCTTCGAAAGATCTACAAGTCCTTGTTAGGAGGCCATCTCTTTTTTTGATAGATCTACAAGTTCTAGTCGGAACTGTACCCATGAAAGAATTACACGAAAGTTCTTTTAAGAACTACCTGTAGTAGCACATCTCTACACTCATGACGTATCTGTTTAAGTTTTCCTGACTAATGATACTCGGTATACTTTTTTGTATTGATGTTCATCGGTTATTGCTAAGTCTACAATAACCGACTCTTATTCAAAGTTGCAACATCACTGATGATAACTTGAACCAGATATATTTGCATCAGAAAACTGTTGAGTATTGTCAACGACGGATGTTTGCTCTGGGGTAAGGAATTTTGAGGCTTTCCTATGATTCAGTGTTTCTGATTCAATTATATCATGGCATTTAACTTATGCAATTGATACAATTCATTTTATTGTTAAAGATTCTTTTCTAATGGAAGTTTCAAGTTCGAAAGTGTATTTAGTAAATAGGGCTTGATGTTTTCCTAAATACACAGAAACAGGAAAAATATATAATATGAAAAATGAAATTACGTTTGAGAACAACATGTTAAACTATTTCTTTGCTATTCATTATTTCAAATCAGCATCTATACAGTGAAGCCAAAAGGATCTCAAGTGAGGCTTCTAAAGGTATCTTCTTGTTTTCCTAAATACACAGAAACAGGAAAAATGTATATTATGAAAAACAAAATTACGTTTGAGACAACATGTTAAACTCTTTTGTACGCTATTCATTATTTCAAATCAGCATCTATACAGTGAAGCCAAGAGGATCTCAAGTGAGGCTTCTAAAGGTATTTTCTTGGATCCATCTCAGAACCCCATGATGATCTTGGACAAGCTCACTGAGGTAGGGTATCTTCATGTGTATTCTTTTTTTTAAGATGACCAATCACTAAAAAAAAAAGAAGCTTTGCTCTGTTTTTGTCTGGGTTGCATGCTAGTAAACTATATGAAAAGAGGGGGGGGGGGGGGGGGGAGGGGAGGACAGCATAGGACTGTTATATGTTACATTAATTAGGTTGCATGCTATTAAACTCTATAACTCTATAAAAAGAAGGGGGGACTGTATAGGGCTGTTATATGAGTCATTGATTTTGGTTTTTTGAATGTTTGAATATTGAAAAAGGGCAACTCCAAGTTATATGGTATCAATTGGTGCCAAAAGTATCATTTTACTTAATATTTGGTCTGATCCAAAATCTAGCAGGTATTGCAAACCAATATGATCATTATCAAACATTTCCCTCACCTGGAGACCCTCTGAAAGACGAGGGGGGATTTCTGGAAGGGTTCATGGGTTTGCTGTGTACGAGACTTGTACAACCATTAATGCTATTTCTGCGAAGTCTGGTGTCAGCGAATTATGACCTACTGCACACAGAAGCTGACTACCATCTCCCTTTAATTTTTATTCTATAATAAATGGAACTTTTTCTTCGTTCTTTCTTTCTTTTTAGCTCTTTGAAAAGTTCACCTCAGTGACCACTAGAATCAACGAGTGTAGCCAGCACAAGTTCAAGATCACCGGTCAGAACTACAATGCAACCGAGCTGACCGCTATGCTCCAGGCCATGACCGTCAGGTCCAAACTATGGAAGTTTGTAGAGGTCACGACAGGTGGCATTATGGATTGGAAGTACATGCTTTTCAGAAAGGTCAGTCCAATGAGAAGTTGAAGTGTTTGCTTGCATGCATGTGTAAGAGTATTATAGAATCAGCAGTCCTTTAGGGAAGACTGCTTTGACATTTTCACTGCAGTTGTATTACTTATCCTACAGTGACAATTGTTCTGTGGTTAATTTCTGAACTAAACTTAACTAAACTGAACTGACTTGAAATGAACTTTGAATTTATTATCCAATAATAAACAAATAACAATATGTATTATACAATAACATAAAAGGATACAATTTTAAAGGAAATTTAAAGAATAAAAACACTGTACTTGACCTCAACCTAACCTATAACTTAATCACAACCTAACCCGTGCCTATATATTTGACATAATAAAGTCAGTTGAATATGTTGGCAGAGTAATTTTGTCTGCGTTCTATGCTGATAAACTCTCTGAAAAGAGAAGGCCCAGGTGAATATGAGGCAGTGAATCGGCCATATGGACAGAGCAATGTTAATAGTCTAGAACGCAGATAGTCCTAACTGTTTACAGTTTCTTCGGCTAAAGCTGGAATTGTAATATTTCAAAGCACATTGAGGTTTCAAATCGTATTGTGATTTGAGCTATTCTTAAAGCCCCTCTGCACTAGTTTGGCATGGAGGGGTTAGACCTCCCTGCAAGGTCACTGGCAGGTGGTTATCTCATCAAATCAGCTCTCAATTAACATAAGAAAAAGGGGATCAACGGGTACCGCTTAGGCATTGTTGGCCATAAAGAGGGCGCAAGTAGCTACAAGTGGTGCAGTGGGGCTTTAAACGGTGTTCTTATTATTGTCTTACTCATTCTTATCGTTATTTCATTGATTTGAATGTCAATACAGATGAACGTGGCTAAAGCTATGACAAAGGTGACGGACTGGCAGCAGGCTGCCGGGCAGCTGAAGCAAGTGTTGCCCCAGGGTGACCTGGTACTGGCCCATTGGTACCAGCTACTCTCAGACTTCAAGGAAGACTTGCCTCTTCTACTCAAGCTATCCAGTGATTGCCTTAAGGTATGTAACAATAATAATATTCCGCTTTTACATGTATATAGCGCCCTATACATCATTGAGGTGTCTAAGCGCTTTACAGATATATTATTACCCCGGTCATCGGATTCAGGCTTACCTGCACACAATGTATACACATTCTCCACTCCCTAGGGAGCATTCCAGCCAGTCACCATTTTACAAGCGCACACTTGCTCATCCAACCACATTAACTTTCGCATCCTACCCATATTCACTCTCTTTGTATGTTGCTTGAGGTGCGATGGCTCAGTGGTTGAGCAGTGGTCTCGTAACCAGGAGGTCCTGGGTTCAAGACCAATTTACTCTCAATGTTGCCCGAGGCACAATGGCTTAGTGGTAGAGTAGTGGTCTCGTAAACTGGAGGTCCTGGGTTCAAACCGATTCACTCTCTTTTAATGTTGCTTGGGTGGAATGGCTCAGTGGTAGAGTAGTGGTCTCGTAACCGGGAGGTCCTGGGTTAAAAACCGATTCACTCTCATTTAATGTTGCTCGAGGCACAATGGCTCAGTGGTAGGGCAGTGGTCTTGTAACCGGGAGGTCCTGGGTTCAAAACAATTCACTCTCATTTAATGGTGCTCGACGCACAGTGGCTCAGTGTTATGAGCAGTGATCTAGTAACCAGGAGGTCCTGCGTTCGAAACCAAATTGTTGCGCTAGTCCCTTTGATAAGGCATCAATCCTCATTATCAAGTCATTATCAAAGGAATTGTATAAAGCAAGCTGAACAAGGAGAATCTGTGCCTGATATACATTTTCTTTGTGACAGTTTATTTCCAATCTATTTGTGGACTGTAAGTTCAGAGTTGTAATTGATCCGCTGCCCATGGTAATACTGAATAATGCTTTGAGCATCTTCAAACTTGAAAAGAACTATTAAAATACAGTTATTATAATTGTCATTTTTATTTCAAGTCTCGGCATTGGAAGTCCCTCTTCTTGGCATTGGGGCAGTTGTACGAGCCTGGGCGTCAGTATTACGTCCGGGAACTCCTCTCCTACAATCTGAGTGAACACAGCTTTCAGATCAATACCATTTGTGCTGGGGCGACGGCAGAGTTTGATCTGGAGCAGAAACTGGTGAAGCTCAGGAAGGTCTGGGAAGAGAAAGAGTTCAAACTTGCCAAGTACATCGCTCCAGGGAAGGAAACGTTTGGTGAGTAGCTTGGTCTTTTTGTTTTTGGTGGTGGCTATAATGGTGGTGGTGGTGGCTATAATGGTGGTGGTGATTGTGATGATGATGGTGATGATGATGATGATGATGATGGTGATGATGATGTGGTATGGTGGTGGTGCTGGTGCTAGTGATGATGATGATGATGATAGTGATGATGATGATGATGATGATGATGATGATAATGATGATGATGATGTGCTGATGATGATGATGATGATGACGACGATGACGACAACGATGATGATGATGATGATGATGATGACGATGATGATGATGATGATGATGATAATGATGATGATGATGATGATGATGATGATGATCTTGGTGGTGGTGGTGTTGATGGTTATAAAGGTGTTGGAGGTGAAAGAATTTCTACATGCCAAGATAAATTGCACCAGTAAAAGAAACATTTGGTGAATAGCTTGCTATCATTCATATAATAATAACCTTGATCTTTATGTTGATCGAGATGATGGAGGAGATGGTGGTGGTGTTGGAGACAGTGAAAGTGATAATGATAGTGATGGTGATTGAGGTAACAGTGATGCTGATGGTGTTGATAATGGTTATGTGACAAACACTATGATGACGAAAATGATGAAAGTGGTGATTGATGAGTAGTAAGTAGTAGATGAAATAAATATGCCAAATTGAACCCATTCTAGAAAGCTGTAAGCAAGCTACTGTGAAGTGTAATCTTAATTTTGTTATAGGTGTGAATTGCTTCAAACCAGACACTTATGCGAATTGTGTAAATGTATATCGATTCCTTACTGCCATGTAGAGAATTCACAACTTTGAAATTCTGCAACAGGGCAGGTCCAAACTTTTTGGATTGTGACGTACGGGACATTCAGAGACTTTAAACAAGAAGTAACAACAGATGAAATTATTTATATGGCTATCTTTTCGTATGAGTCTGTGGCTATTATGGGCTAGTTCATTTGTGGAAAGTTTTAGTTCTTACCAACTCTTTAATTAATTTGTAATGTAATTAATGAGCTGCGTGACGTACGGGATGCTGCAAACCGCCCATAATAGCCAAAGACTCATACCAAAAGATAGCCTTATAAATAATTTCATCTGTTGTTATTTCTTGTTTAAAGTCTGTGAATGTCCCATACGTTACAATCCAAATAGCTGCCCAATAATGATACATATACATGCTCTAATACCTGCTTTTGATTTCCTAGTTTTACTAAGCTCGTAATGCTTAGCTACCCACAAGTTCCATGTTTTGTGTTTCCCATTTATCCTAACTTTCATCTCTTTTGATCACTTTTTCCAGACTTTGAGATGAGTGACAAGAAAGGTGGGAGGAAGTCAATGCCTGATATGTTCACACTGATTGGACATGAACAGCTCAAGTACCTTCTAGAGGTGAGTAGATTAGTGTCTGAAAAGTTCAAATTCAGATCAGATTGGATTAAAAAAAGTGATTAGGGTTTAGATAATATCATGATTGATGTAAAAACATTGAACATTTTTAAGTGCATGAGACGGTGAACCAGTGATTTGATTGATACGCTTTTCCAATTTTCATTATGATTCAAAACCTGTCAATCTATTAAACTTAAGTTTCACAGTACTGGCCCCAGTCTTTGAAACAGTTTGGATTAATCGCAAATCATCCAATCAATTGCAGACTGACAAATTCATATTTCTGTAGCACAGAGGACTGGTTGATAACAATTTTTGATTGATTATTATTTATACTGTATGTCTAAGAAAGAAGGGGCTGTGTACTTATAAAGCTTGACGTCATATATCATTATGGACAGGATAGTAAATATGAAAGCTTTAATTGTTACATTTTTAAAGCCCCTTTTCATAAGATACAAAGCACATAATACTTTACAAACAAACATTGAAAGAGAACATTATCATACAAAGCTTTTAATAAAACCTTTTAATAAACTTTGACTCCTGTTCTCATGATTACAGGATAACCAGCTGACTCTTCAGAGCATGCTTGTGTCCCCTCACCTGGCTGACCTTCGACCTGAAGCAGATTCCTGGGCATTGACCCTCAGACAGGTGGAAGACGTGTTGGAGCTATGGACCGTCTGTCAGAAGAAGGTATTAAACAAGGATTTTATGTTTCTACATGGATTCAATACGATAGATTCGCAATCTACAGCGCCATCTAGTGTTTAGTCAATTTCACATGATGCCTCATGGGAAAAGGTCAAGAAAAATATCAGCTATGGCTTCGTTATACACTAGGAGATTAGGGGATTTAATCAAAAATTGGTGGGGAAGGTTTGAATAGCTTATCCAGCGTTAAAGTTTGTACTGATTACAACATTTTGTATTGACCCTACTCATGACATGTTGGTCATTTTAACCACTTTCGATTGACCATCATGATCACAGCTATTAGTCAGGGATAATTTTTCAAATCGTTATTATCAGCAAAGGAGATTTAACGGGCCTGTTCTATGTAAACATTGCTCCGATGCTAGAAAAAGTAGTCAATTAATGCATCAACAACAAAATAGCAATTTAAGATATCGACCCGTGAGGTGAAATATTGGCCTGTCGTAGCTTGCTGATGGGGCGCTGTTAAATGTGAATCACCGATATCACTTACATATCATATTAATGGGAAATAATAATAAACTGGTCTATTCAATCTAAGGAACATTACTCTGGATGCAATGTCACAGATACATGTACCTCAAAGACTTGAGACTGTTTTGAACTTACCCTTCACCATATCCATAACGCTAGTCCCTTCTCACATTTTCTTATTACCTCTATGCAGTGGTTATACCTAAGCCAGGTATTCTCTGATGAGATTGTAGGAGAGAGCCAGTCAGATCTAGCCAAGCAGTTTGAGGGTGTCGACCAGAAGTACCAGGTGAGTGCCTCACAGTTATTGTGGTTAGATGAGCAAGTGCGCTTGTAAAAATGACACCTGGCTGGAATGCTCCCTAGGGAGTGGAGAATGTGCATACATTGTGTGCGGGCAAGCCTGAATCCGATGACTGGGGTAATAATATATATCTGTAAAGAGCTTTGAGAGGGCTTGCGGTCCTGAAAAACGATAAACATGTATAAGAACAAACTACTATTATTACACTGCAGCCAGTGGTGTAGCTAAGGGGGGATGGGAGCCTACACGAAAAGGGGTAGAAAAGGAAGAAAGAAAAAGACAGAGAGAGAGGGAAGGGAGCATGAAAATATGATACCACCCTGTCCTGGACCCTCCTGTCAGCTGATGGCCTTGCTAGTGTCCATGTAATCTATCTAGTCAGACCATGCAGTGTCATCTTCCTTGATCAGTGCCTGCTTAAATGGCGGGACCCATGCTACAACACACTGTCTACAGCTACAACTGTTGTATTGTATTGTATTATATATATCACATTAGTATGAACACGTCTATGCCTTTCAAAATCTATAACCTGTGGTTAAGCTTCCACTGTCCTTTAACAGCAAGAGATACCTTACAAAAGATAGATCACACTAGGTACCTATGTGTACATGCTACCCTTCGGTAAGGAACACTATGGATGACATGGCATGGCTACAAAGGACATACATGTCTAGGCAATCATTGTATCTCATTCTCTCACTTGAAAGTGATGTGAAAGAAAAACCATGCATTGAAGAAATAAGCCATCCTGCCATGTGCAAGTTACCTGCACTGGGAAAATTTGAAGATTTCATGAACATTAAAGTGACTCGGTAACATTGCCTCAGATTCTGAAACAAATCCTAGATTTAGCCCATGCTGCAATGATAATTATAAACCTTTAGGTCAGTCAGGAATCCCATGACTTTTACAAGTTGATCGCCTGTCTGATTATCAAGATATTTATGATTGGAAATCTAAATTTCATTTTTCGTTTTCCTAACAGTTTTTATGAACACTACAGTCTATTGGGGTACATTGTAAATGAGTATGGTAAAACAGGTCACTCAGATTAATTTACTTTTTTTCAGGTACTTCATAATCATTTTGAAGCACAACTTTTTTAGTGCTTCAATATTACACCATATCACAGACACTGATAACACATAGGGCCATGCATCTCAGATTTAACATTGTTAAATGATGCCTTTAAGTAACCATACATTCTCTCTTTTGTTTCTGCTGCAGGAGTTCATCACGACCGTGGTTGAAGACCCAAAGGTCCTGTCTGTTCTGAGTAAGAGAAAGGGCACCAAGGGATACCGAGAGCTGCAGGGAGATAGTCTGACCAAACTACTCAATAACCTCATCAGAACCCAGGCAAGTACTCGAAAGGAACCTTTTAGAAATGCATGACTGTATAATGATATAACTGTATATGAATATGTCTAGATTTATCTGTTGAATATGATTTGATTTTGGTATAACACATACCTTTCTTACATAACCTCTTATAAATTTTTAGGTTTAGAATACAGCTCAGTGGTTAAAATGTTTATATTTCAATTGAAATGTATTTCAAGGCATGCTTAAGCAATACAAATGAATCATCCTCCACTGTTATCATTTAATTTATCACTTTCTATCACTCTCTAGATTTGAAGTAGAGTATCAGATTTTTTTGACAACTTGTATCGGAACAGGTTGCATTGGATGTTCCATTACATTCCTCCAGAGATTGTGAATTTAGGTTTGATTGATCATTTGCATTTTTTAATTGGCAGGGCTAAGGATAATGTTTTAGCCAGCTTAGACCCATACCGAAATATGTAATTTCTTCTCTTACATGACATTTATTACTTTTCTTTATATCAGAATGACATTTTAACCAACTTCAGCCACCAAGTACTCCATTGAAGCAGCTCTTCAGAAGAACCCATGTCTGTCCTTCCTCCTCAATCATTGCCTCATAGATCTCTTCTCTAACATGACATCACTTCTTTTTCTGAATAACAGGATGAAGTTCTAGCCAACCTGGACCCATTCTCAGCCACCAATTACTCCATTGAAACGGCGCGTCTGAAGTACCCACGTCTTTCCTTCCTCAGTAATCATGAGCTCATCGATCTCTTCTCGAATTTCAAGGACAGGGCTAGGTGGATCCCTCAAGTGAGGGCGCTATTTCCAGGAGTCCGTCATTTAGACTTTGAGGCTCCGTCGAGCTCTGAAGAGGGCATGAGTGCCCTTGATCTGCTGTTGAATGGTGAGGATTTAGTCTGGTTTTAGATGATTCCTCCTGTAGTGATTCCTTCATAAAAATTAATGCAGGACTGCACTACTCGTAGCTACTTGCGCCCTCTATATAGCAAACAATGCCTAAGCGGTACTCGTTGTTTCCCCCATGATTCCCCTTTTCTTATGTTAATTGAGAGCTGATTTGATGAGATAACCACGTGCCAGTGACCATGTAGGGAGGTCCAATCCCTCCAGGCCAAAATACTGCAGATGGGCTTTAATTTCAATTGCGTAGTTATTTTTTAGATTAAATAATAATTCAGTGTATGTGTAGTCTCCATCAATTCATATGCTCTGATTGACTTGATTGCAAATCCAAATTATCATCATACATTATGTACAGGTAGTTTCAAATTTGTTTAGCAGAGCTCTCAGAGAAGCTCACCAGTCCTTTATATAGCTCTTCTTAACTCTTATTTCTTTGGAATAACTTGACCTATAAACAAAATAAACTTCTTTCTTTTAGCTGACAAGCTTGAAGTGACGGCCCTTCGAGGGTGTTTTGATGAACGTCTGAGCCTAATCTCTCCTCTACCTTCCAAGCCCTCTCCTCCCACCTGGATCAACTCACTGGAGATCTCTATCAAGACTACCATGGGAAATACACTGCACTCATGCCTGGAGTCAAGGCTAAGAGAAGGTAAGAATACTAACCTTTCTCTCTTAAACCCCCTTCGCCCCAAATAAATAAACGAGGCACGATGGCTCAGTGATCGAGCAGTGGTCTTGTAACAGGGAGGTCCCGGGTTCGAAACCAAGTTGATGCGCTATTTCCTTTTGGTAAGGCATTAATCCTCATTACCAAGTCCCTTGGAGTGGACTTAAGCAGTCGGTCCCCCGGTTGCTTACTTACAAGCATGCATGCTTTCTCAGCAGTCAGGTTAAACAAACAAACAAACAAACAATGAAACAAACACAAAAACCAGTATATGCAGCTATCTGTATTAAAGTTGGTCTAGCGGTAAAGTCAGCGGTAAACTCTCTGTTTTCACCTAAAAACTGATTCTGATTAGACCCAGGTTTGAAACTGAGTCACGTCTTTTGAATGGTGAAGTTAAAGACTGGTCCCCAGAAGTAAAATAATTATATCTGAATAATCTGACTTTTATAGAGCCGATCGCCTGTCTGATTATCAAGATATGTATGATTGGAAATCGAAATCGAATTTTGCGTTTTCCTAACGGTAATTATAACACTACAGTCTATTGGGGAAAATGAGTGTGATAGAAAAGGTCACTCAAAGATTATTACTTCTTGAGGCACTTCATGATCATTTTGAAGCCCAATTTTTTTCTTCACAGACACTGATAAACACGTAGGGCCATTTATCTCAGATTTAACATTGTTAAACAATGCCTTTAAATAGAGTTTGTTCTTACACCCACAGGCATGGTGACTGGAGATATCCTGTCAGAGTTGAGTGCCTTAGAAGAGAACCCCACAGCAGACCCTGACGTAGAGGCTCAGCTTAAGAAAGCCGTTCGTCAGAGCTTCTCGCAATGGCTGCTTCGTTTCCCCTCCCAGTGTGTGCTTACAGGGGAAGCGGTGATGTGGAGCAGAGATGTGCAACCAGCTGTCAAAGAGGGCGATCTTAAACAGCTTGCTCAGATAAGGTGAGTGAGGTCTTTTACCCCTTATTCCCATTCCCTTTCATGCTAAATACTTTCATAAATATGATGCAATGATTCTGCAACGTAAGCTTTGGCCACAATTGCTTCCCTGTCAATCTCTTAAAGCCCCACTGCACTACTTATAGCTACTTGCAGCCTCTGTGTAGCAAACAATCCTAATCGGTGCCTGCATGTTGGTCACCCATGATCCCCTTTTTCTTATGTTAATTGAGAGCTGATTTGATGAGATAACCACCTGTCAGTGACCTTGCAGGGAGGTCTAATCCCCCTGGCCAAACTAGTGCAGATTGGCTTGAAACTAACCAAATTTCCAACTACAACCCTGGAATGAACTCTAACCCTAACCTTAACCCTATACCTCTGATGAAATGTTGCTGGAGTGAATGTTGAATCGCCAAAAAAGTGAACTTAACTATGATGACCCGTTCTCTTGGCATATCTGATTGGGATGTCAGAGTATACTACTATATTGGGCTCCCCCTACATTTAACAAAGAGTACATTGGGTTCTTGATGTGCTTAGGATTACTTTCCTGCACATTGGACCTCTAACGATTTACCCAATGGTTATATTTTACCCAAAGTTTTTGTTTATTTGCAATTTCCAGATCTTTTTTTTCTCCAGATTTATCCTGATTTTCCAGATTTTCCAGATTTTCCCCTTATTTTCTCTATTCTCCCCTATTTTTCCCTACAGTATTTCCCCCCAATTTTCTCCCAATTTTCTTACTCAAAAGGGGGGGGGGGGAATGTTGTTAGATGCCATTTTTTTGTTTTTTGTTTATTTGCCTAATCACAGGTGTCATAATTGTGTGCATCAATTCATTTTATTCTTTTAAAAACTTGACAGGGATAATCTACAGAGGCGTCTTGATCAGTACAGCCTGATCTTGAGAGAGAACTGCCAGTCTCAGGTGTCGTCAAACTCTGCAGCTCGTCTTCAGATTCTGATTGGTTCGTTGATTGAGCAAGGCATGCACCATCGAGACATTGTAGAAGGTAAACATCATAAGTAAGGCAGATTAAGTATCAAATTCTTTATTCTGTACAAATTACTGAAGTCATAATCTGGATGCTAGAGAGCTGATTGCAAGGAATAGGGCTTTGAAGGAATCCTACATCCAACCCCAGAGTGTGAGGAGAATGGATGATATACGGAACTGATGGTATGATGATGATGACAATGATGATGATGATGATGATGATGATGACTACTTCATTATGACATAGAGTCATGTGCACGAAGTAAAAAATTAGATATTTGAATGATTTTGTTTCTTAATGTATAAAGAAGCCAATCGTCTTACCAATTTTTATATATATTCATCTCATTGTTAACAGATCTTTTGAAGAAGAAAGAGCTGTCCAACAAGGAATTTGACTGGAAGAAGCTGCTGCGCTACGACATGGACTTCAAGACAGTCTTGTGTGCTCAGTCAGTGGTGGATCCTGACCAGGAGACTGGGAGGGAAGCTACTAAGTCCACGATTACCATGACCGATGATGTTTCAACGATAACTGATAAACCACAAACACGAGGTATATCACATACACTAATTTATAATATTTGTAATCCCTCCCTCGGATAGGACATTAAATGGAGGCCCTGTGCAGAGAAGAGTCACTTCCTTTGCACGTTAAGAACCCACTGCACTATTTATGTAAGAGCAGGGGGAAACCCCTGTGTAGTGGTCCACCTGCACACCCCAGTATAGTACGACAATACTCTGTACAGAGGGATGTACTCAAGTGGAAGAAGAAAGAAGAATCATAGAAGATGCATATAGGAGACGCAGTCAAATTTATTGTGTTTATCCATTTTAGAAAAAGAACACATTTTGCCTATTCTAATATTCTAAAACTAGTATGCTATTATTTTGTCTCCTAAAAATATTCTATCTTGTTCCTTTTGCAGAAGCTGCTTTAGGACCTCGTACCAAGACCGTGGTAGGGACAGGTTTTGCGTTCGGGCCTCTGCGGGTGTCCCAGCTGGGAGCCACTTTCTCTTACGACCATGAGTACCTGGGGCCTGGGCCTCGCCTTGTGGCCACTCCGTTGACCGACAGATGTCATATGAGCTTGACCACTGCAATGAGGCAGAGACAGTGTGGTGCGGTCATTGGTCCAAATGGTGTGGGAAAGACGGAAACAGTCAAGGAACTGGCAACTGTGAGTTGGAGATATTTAACTCGTATTCAATATTGTTTAGAATTACATTGAAAATGAGGATAGCAGTTCACACAGAGAATAGAATAGTTCATTTAGTCTTTTATTGTACTTTTGTTTTTCTTGTTGCTATTTGTGCCAGTTTCAGTGTGTATCATATATTTTTTTTAAATGCAAAGTTTCATAGTACAGACAAATCTGCATAATATGCAATAGAGAGCTCAAAAGAAGCAAAAGTAGAGGCAGGTAGACATAATTATTAAAAAAAAATATTCAGGCTTTTAAAATGGAATTTTTTTCAGTGGTCTTTATTGAGATTTGGTATTGATGATCAAATGTTTGCTCCAGCTACAATTGCTCCAGGCTTTCATTAGTAAGGTTAGGCCTAGGTTGAGGCTTATGCTATGGTCACATTACCCAAAAGTTGCCTGCTCGGCGGCCGAGCGGCGAGTTTTCAACCAATTCTGCCCGGCGGCTGCTCGGCCACCGAGCGGCGGCCGCCCAGGCATCGCTCGGTCGCCGCTGAAGTTTTAGCGCGGAGTTAAAATTTGGGCGGCGCCTGCTCACTTTTCACTCGCCGCCCAAAATACGCTCGGTGCCTGGGCGGTCGCCGGCCGGCACCGACCTAATTGCTGGGCGATGCCTAAATTCCAGCAGCGACCGAGCAGGCTACTGATCGGTCGGTCGCTGCTCAGATTTGTGACCATACATGTAGCATTAGGTTAAGAAATGGGGTTAGTTGTGGTGTTTAGTCCAGGGTTGAAGTTAGGATTTCAGGAAGTTTAGGTGGGTCGTGTCTTACTGTGATGGTTGCCATTGACTCAGGTTTGACTGAAATACACATACTTTTCATTTCAAGTTCAAGTTCAATTTTATTTAATTCCCATAAAAGCATACACATTAATGAAGGGTACCATAAAGACCAGGGCGGTCTTGAAATGGCTCAAATGCAAGAGCAGAGTATATTTACACATTTACTTACCTGAATATGCAACAACAAAAAAAAAAAAAAACCCAAATAGATGTTGAAAGATTAAAAGATGTATTAACACAGATTTTATCTCCTACCTCTATACTCCTACAGTTTATGGGACAGAATCTAGTCACATTGGACTGTGCAGTGGACAGCAGTATCGTGACGGTCAGTAGGTTCCTAGCAGGAGCGGTACAGAGTGGTTCCTGGATGCTCTTAGACAATGCTGACAGGATGACACATGGTGAGTCTGATTGATTGATTGATTTTACCCGATAGCAAAGAAAGCAAGTCTTTATGTGTCAGTTAGAAACCTGGGGAACCCATGGTTCTAAGTCCTATCCAAGTGACTTTTTGATATTTTAGATTAATGCCTTGCAAAAAGACGTGAGCACGTCGACTTGGTTTTGAACCTAGAACGTTTTGGTTACAAGAATGCTGCTCTACCAATGAGCCATCATGCCTCCTCCAGTAATATAGTAGTCATTGATATCAATTAGGTTTGAAGGGTACATGTATTTCCTGTTTGTTTTTATATTTGGTTTGTTGAGGCTGACATTGTGTAGGATGTACAGGGTGAAATGTGTATGTAAAGACTGCAGGGTAATCTGTAAATTGTAATGGCAAGAGAGCAATGTGTTCAGAAGAATAGAATAGTTGCAGGACTGATTTTGCATGAATGTGTGAAAACAGAGAGATAGAGAGAGAGAGAGAAGGAGAGAGAGAGAGAGAGAGAGAGAGAGGGAGAGAGAGAGAGAGAAAGAAAGAATGAAAAGACTGAAGAGATGATAGACCTACGTTTTAAATGTTCATCTAATGTAAGAATGCTGTGTACTACAAGAATATAATTGTATTTATGTTATATTTTGGAATGGCACTTACACGTTAACATTTTACCTTGCATTGCAGGTCTTATGGCAGTGATAAGTCAACAGTTGGAGTATTTATGTCATGCTTATCACATTCTGCAAGATACAAGCTCCCTCTACAGTCACAAAGGAGCCAGTAAACATGACTACAAGGTAACTATCATTTCCTAACAGGTTGTGAGTACAATCGCTATATAAGTGAATAGAAACGTTGTATAGATCATATCACATAATGATTTAAATTGATACAAAGTTTCAAATGGCTTTATAAATCATACCCTGGCTTTTGCTCCAGCAACAATCATTTGCACTCTGTGTATTCAAGCACACATTGTATTTCTGAGTAATGAGTTTAAAAAAAAGAAGATAGCTGGATTGAGCAAGTAGTTGTGTATTGCATGCTTTTATATCTATAATAGTAATACGCTAAGGCTCCGCGGGGGGGGCATGACGTCTCCGCCAGCCTTTGTATTCTATTGTTTTTTAATGAGATCGCCGACCCAAGTTGGTGCAGCTATCTCCTCCTGAACCCTGCCCTCGGGGTACCCGTGCCCGGTGCCATCGTCCGCGGGAGAGTCTACTCTGTCGAATTGGCTATACTCCGCCCGAGGTCCTCCACCGTGTCGACGTCCAGGGCGAAAACAGACGCGATATGCATAATGCAGGATATGCGTGACGACAGAGATACCTCATGGATATTCAACATTGCATCCGTAGACACACGACCGATGACTATCCTACACAAAAATCGGTCGTAAAAAAACTTGAACCATATTCCATACCTTACCTGGCTTACCATGTCGCACGCAAGTACGCCAAAACACGTACATTTTCGCAGGTGCGAGATCGAGACGGAGCGTAGGGCTCGAGTTTTTGGCGGTCGATTTTGTTTTGGTAGAAGCTGAATCTAGACCATGAACCACTAAACATCGCGAAACTGCAATCAATTTCCATCACGAATTCACGATTGCTGCAATATTATAAAGTTTCCATAAATAGAGGTATGAAATTAAAGCCTATTTTGTGATGTTCTCGCCATGTTTACGTAATTTTGATAATCATTTCTTCAAAGTAAAGAAAATCAGACAAAATCACCGTAACTGACACGCATACAATACAGTGCATTGCCACTGTGTAGTGTGTGTGAGATGAGCTGAGTTGCAGTTAACTCCAGGAAGCTCCAATACCGGCAGCGCAGGCGTCCGACGCCTGCGGCGCCGGTGTTGAAGTTTCCTGGAGTTACGCTGCAGTTTATATGCAGCAGTGTGTGAGTTGAATTCGAGTCGAAGAGATTTGACACTTTGAAATTGTTATCTGTTGGTTTGCATCATTATTGCCGCGATTTCAATATAGTTTCGTGAATAGATTTACGAAACCTGAGCTTAGAATTAGTAAAAGTATTACTAGACTCCAATGTCTACGTTTTTAAAAGACTGTTTGATTTTCTTGTGAAAATTTTACTTTGAAAAATGATTATCGGAATTCATGGCCAGAAATAATGACTATCTAGGGTCTATTATGTTACAGTTCTTGCATCAAATCAATGCATGAAAACTAAGTTATTGAACTAGAAAAAGGGGTTTCTTTTTTAATAGGCAATTATGAAGCAGGAAGCCCGAAACATTAGCCTACTAAACAAATCTCAACAAACTGTAGGCTTATCCTTTGATGAATTAATGAAAAAGTAGCCCCAGAAAAAAGAGCCCCCGAAATGGAAAAAAGAGCCCCCGAAAGTTGAAAAAGTAGCCCCCGAAAATTTCCAAAAAATTTGAAATGGAGCCCCCGAAATGAAAAACTTAATTTTTTGCCTGTTCCAGTGGCTGAAAGAATAACTACCGGTACAGTTGGATTGTTTTTTTAATTTAATATAAGGCCAAATTAAAAAAAAAACATGCTTATAGCGTCCTGTTTTTTCAAAAAATGGGAAGGAGGAGGCCCTTTTTTTTTTCTTTCAAAATGGCCGCTCCGTACATTTTTCCTGACATTCGGGCTATTTTTCAAGATGGCGGCCGACAATTTTTTTTTTTTTTTTTTAAATCAGAAATACATTTTAGCAGTGCTTTTCATGTTTTTTTTCTTTCAAAAAAAAAAAAAAAAATAGGAGGCGGCCCCCAAAAAGGAAGTGGGCGGGGATGCTGTTTTTTTCTTTCATAAAAAAAAATTAAAAAAAAAAAAAAAAAAGAGGAGGCGGCCCCCAAAAAGGAAGCGGGCAGGGACGCTTAACATGTATATTTTTTAATGGCCTGAATGGCAAAGAAAGTTCTTGGTGGTTTTAATTTAGACAGTCTCTATACTATTTACACCCCCCGCCCCCCTCTAGAATCCCGCGGATTTCCGCGGGTCCTGCTAGTATATATATAATCAACATGTTTACTTGTTTTTTGTTTTTTTTATAAATGTAATGCTTCCTGGGAGAAATTTAAATAGTTTAAACATATTTGTGGCTTACACCCAGTAAATCGATCAATCGATCGTATTTACTGGGTGTAATCCACAAATATGTTTAAACTAATGTTTACTTGTGTTTTGAACACATACATCAATGTCAACAATATGTAAATGTACATTTTTCCCAATATATGTTATATGTACATATTTTGTATGTTTCTTGTAGATTCCTGAAACCAGTCCCAAGAGGAGGCACTCCCTAGCAACGCTTCACTCCTACCAAGTACGGGATGAAAGCCACACCCATCGACCAACAACATTTCCATCATCTCCAAATGTAAGTCTGATACTGATTAACAAGGATTTAAACTGTAATTTTTTCCCATTATCCCTTTCGTGGTTTCTAATTGTTTGAAGGCAGACAGAGAATCTATAAAACAAAAGAAGGAATATGTATCCTAGGGAGCATTAAGCAGAGAAGATGCACATTTGTTTGTAGTAAATACGAGAACATTTTTGAAAAATAATAATTTAGCTGTGGATTACAATCCATTGTGCACATATTTTTAGACTTACTGTATAGAAACTTCCAGAAGTTACGTTGACTAGAATTCATAAATGAGGTTTATTTTAATAAATGGTGTAATTTTCCTTAAACCTAGTTGTACAAAGTATAGTAAACAGGCTTTAAATGCAGAGACATATATAAACACACATTTTAGGCCATGATGAGGTCAACATTTTGGGTTATAAATTGGTTGATATTTGAACCTACACTGTACCCGGCCCAGCCCCCTAGCGCCCACCTAGACCTTTACATTTGAATGCCTCAATCATATTTTGTGATTATTTCAATACTCATCCACATCTACAGGAGAAGCATGGACCATCCGAGTTTGACGACGTGTTAGGAGACGAGGATGAAGGATGCGATGTGGGTCAGTTTGGGAAACGACGCCACTCCATCTCAAAAGCCCAGTGTACACGTGGAGACCACTATGACAGTGATGTCCCAACCGTCCCTCTCTTTGTAGAGATGCAGGGACCTGGTAAGTTTGTTTAATAAGCTTTGCAGACATGACGTTTTATGGAACAAATGATGAAAGAAAGAAAGATATAGGAATAGGATTGTGAGAGTTGAAAGTATCCCCCCCCCTCCCCGAAGAAGAACAAAAACCAAAATATTAAGAGGACACTCATAATTAAGTACTCATTTCAAGGTATTTTATCCCAGACTTAACTGACTATGTCAGAGAATTTAGCATGCCTCATGATTATTCAAAATTTATTGCCTTAATATCAATATGCCCTGGATCAGACCAAATATATATATAACAAAATGACACATTCTATGTAAACTTTCCTTATCATTTCAAGGTTCATTGTGATGCAAAGGGCATGAAAAGTCCTAACACATTGGAATTGCCTCCCAAATATTTGTGACTGGCTCCTGACATAGCAGTTTACCCAATGCAGTATTAATCAAATTTACTAATTGCAAATTATATTGCATATTGGATTAAAGTACTTACCAATACATTTTGACACAATTGAAGCCATTAAATGAGCATAAAAAAAAATATAAGAAACATTTCCATGCTTTGCTTGTATGTGTGTATTAACATAATTCTACCAGATTTAAAATTAAGGTTGTTTGTTGCTGAGATGTTCATGAACATGGCTGTAAAAAATAATATCATTAAATGTAAATCACAAAAAATGCATCATTATACTATAATTATACTATTATCTTTTCTAACCTTATTTTTACTCTACAGTTATGTATGGAGGTTGGTAACTGTAACATTTTAAACTCATTATGCATGGCCAATATTTAGGTAATGCATAGATTAAAGGTAATACAAAGTTTTGGGAAATTTTGAAGATTGGGTGGATAGTGAATCTTTACAATTTTGATATACTTGGATGCCCCTGTGGATGTATTATAAGCACTAGAAAAATTAAACCCTAAAACACTTCTGTTTTCGAGAAAAATTGAATATAAAAATTTACCGGTGCTCCCGGTAAATTTTGATAAATTTCAAATAGCGCCTACGGCCGTACAATCGTAGCTGCGACCATGAAAATTTCAGAATATGTAGTTGTGATATATAATTTCCAAACAGGAATAGCTAATCAGTCGATTTTAGTCAAGAAACATTGTTTCATAGCTAAATTGATATCTTGTCCTTGAGAGGGAGCTATACAACATAAAGAGTTTATTATTTATAATTTCATAACTTTAGACTCGATTTCGACCGGGACAACGATCAATGAATATTGTAGGAATGCATATGCTTCCAATATGTTAATTTGAACCAAATTCATGACCCCATACCAAAACTTTGTAATACCTTTAATGTGCCTCACTCATTTTGCCAATAAGTCAAGAATAATGTCACACAGACAATTTAATACTTCATGTATAATTCATTCATCCATCGTAGCATAGCTACAGTATACAGTCAAACCTGCTTTAGCGACCATCTGTCTATTATTTTTTTTATTCCCCTGTACTAAAGGAACCTGTACATAAAAACAACCTGCCTATAAAAACCACTTTCATATTTCCCTTGAGTGGTCATTGTAAACAGGCTTCGTTGTAGTATCATAGTTGTCTGCATTGTATGCTTAGGTTAAATAGTAGAAGATACACTTGGTCATACACCTTGGTCATACACCTTGGTCAAGCCAATTGCTGCTTGTAAATAATTCTTGTCTGAGAATATGAGCTTAGCTTTGGATTTGAGTGCTAGTTATCTTCAAATTGGACTTTAATTGACCCTGATATTCAAGAAATGTTGTTAAACTGAAGAGAAATATCACTGCATTTATAGCAAAACATACAGTGCTTTTCTTTCCCTGCTACATGTATGTGTAGAGTAGCTGCCATAACTCTCATTTTCATATACATGTATCTGTATACAGTGTGCACTGTAAATTTTGTAATTTGCTCTAGATATAATGCAATTCAGCTTTGTCATCACTGTCTCTGCTCCCATGTCCATTGTTCTTTCATATTTCTCTTTATATTTAATCTTGTATTAGGAATACTTTATTTAGATAGATGTAGATGCATATATAACCAATATAGCTTCAATCCATTTGCTAGTAGCATCGCATTCTCCCATAAATCTTTTCCAGTATTATGACCCGTTCAAAGTAGATTAATTAACTCGCTTTATGATTATCTAGTTTGGAAAGTGTATAGAGACATTACCGTACCATTCACTATGAAAACATAATTTTGACATTATTTGTAGTAGTATTATGATTATTAGTGCTGCCTTTCTCATTAGGGGTAGTTGTGTGTGTTGTAGATGTGGATCAAACTTGTTGTGATTTTGATTTTAGAGTCACAGCGGTAGAAATTTCATATATACATGTATTACCATCATACATTAATTTATTCATTTCATTTAGTTTTATTGATGAAACAAAACAAGTTTGTAGAATAACTCTAATCAATCCCCATACTTTGTTATGAAATTTGAAAATAAGGAACAAGTTTTTTTTATTCTAATCACATACACGTGAAATTGCAGTTATTCATTTGTGTCAAATTGTTAGTGTGATAGAGTAATTGAGAGGAACTTTAGAAGGCATAGAGGGTAGGGGTTAGGGGTGTGTTTTTGCTACAAAAAAGTAAAGAGAATCCTAAAATCATCATTTTGTAGGTCTTGCAATGCTTGTTCAAATTTGTTTCCCTAAGGTTTGTTTGTTTGATTGATTTTTCAAAAAGATACAAATTCAAATTCAAAGTACAAAAATTTGAACAATAACAAATACAATGAATAAGGTCACCGCGATGATACCTACGTAAGTGTGAGCATATATTTTAAAGGAAAGAGTTAATTGAAAAGTGAAGTTGTGGAAGAAGTAGAAGAAAGATGATTGATTAACAAAAATCTGCATCATAACACGATTGCTTTGACATTCACAGCGATGATCAGGCGCCCAGCTTCTCGGGACAGTCTTATGGACTCTCTAGAGTTCAGTCCCCTGCAGCAATGGAGCTACAAACCCGAGCACTGTGGCTATGTCAACTTTGACTCCAGGATGGTCCTAGGCAACGTCAACTACAACTGCTTCATGACGGTCAACGCAGGAGATGCCCTTGCGAATCCAATCCCTGATAGCCTTAAGGTATATGTCTAGCTGTATTTGATTTGATTTGATTTGTTTATTTCTGTTTGATTTTCTTTTTGTTTTACAGTTTTACAAATATATAACGAACAAATCATTGTAAATTGTATATATGATAAAAAAAGTATATGTACATGTAGAATAAAGTAAGGCTGGCTGTAACTAATAAAAACATCAAACAGGAGGGTTGACAAAGTAAGCAAATCAAGCTTGATAGCATGACTCCCCTCAATGGATACATACATGTTATAATACAAATATGGAAGAAAAAATATTGGTAAAAGGGGAAAAAGAGAGATAAAAAAAAGAAGAAAAGAGAAATAGGGGGTGTACATCATGATTCACAGATGTATGTGGTAGTAGGTTTTCAATTTGATATATGAATATAAAAAAGAAGACGCACATTTGAATATTATATAATTAGTGGGTAATTCGACATGGCCGGGTGATAGCGGATGTATAAGATGGTTCTAGCTGATGTTAACTGTAACTGCTTGATAACAATCAACACAGAGATGCCCTTGCACATCCTATCCCTGAATCACTAAAGGTACATGAACATAAAGTAACATACTCACGTATAGCAGTATTTATTAGTAGGTAATTCCACAATAGACCATTTTCGTAATGTACCCAAATCTCATGCATACGTCTTTGTTAAGTGCCTCGATACAAATTATCTCATTCATCTGTTACACTTAATTGTATTTCAATAGTCAGAATACGAACTACATACATTAGTTGTTGCTAGGTAGGACAAATAATTATTACAGGTTGCCCTTCCTACCAACACGTAATGTATGCAATGAAATAATACGGATTTGAAAACAATAAGCTAGTTATCATAGCAGGCAATAGGTGGAAGTCTCTTAATTTCAACTGTTGTTGTTACTCTAAATGAACTATTAGTATTCACCATGACCTTTCACTCATGAACTCTAAATGACCCATTGCCTTGTAAACCTTCATGAAGTTATACTTTACACCATGCTTTCCTCTGTGACCTTTAACCTTAGAACTCTATGCGACCTGTTGCCATGGTAGTGCCTGACCTGAGCATCATCCTAGAGACCGTTTTGATCTATAATGGATTCCTAGAAGCACCCATGCTAGCTGCCAAGCTGTGTCAGCTCTGCAAGATGATCAAAAACGGGGTAAAGTGATTTGAAATAATACAAAAATATATGTATATTGTGCACAGATAGAAAAAAGTAGTCTAAGAATCATTTGCTATGTATTTTTTTAGTGTCTTTGTTTCTTTATTGTGCAAGTCACTTGAACAAAATTTAAATAGGAAGGTCAAGGGTAAGAGGGTAAGTGAAAACAAGGATCATCACAATTATGAAATCTTGATGTTGCGGTTACATTTATATGCCACATCCTTAAAATTGATGTGTGTATTTTATTTTTAAAATGACTGATCTAAGTTTTGAGCTTTGATCATTGACACATTTTTTTGGAAAAATTGATTATTGGCTGGAGAACTCACAGAAGTGAATGAATGTCATATGCATCCCGGATGTGCTCCATGAAGTGAGATGATTTTGGATGTAAAAATGCAGAATTCAACGTGTGTCATACAAATGAAAATTGGGTAAGTATTTCATAAAGTGAGGTTATAATTCATGCACAAAGATGCCGAACATTGCATTTACATGATTACTTTATCTCTCCAACCATCGCTTAGTTCCCTGAAGAATCTGATTACCACTTCAGTGTTGGAACCCTGAAAGGCATCATCCACCTAGCAACCTCCAGGCTGTACTCCAAGAGGAGACGTTATCAGCTATCAGCTAGGAGCAGTGTCAATGAGATGTCTAGACAAGCCAGTGAAGGTATGTACAGTCAAACCTGCTTTAGTGACCACCTGTATAGAAAGACCACCTGTCTACAAAGACCACATTTTGTGTTTCCCTTGAAAATGGTTTCTCATTGAAATATGTACTATAAAGACCACTTTTCTTGTCTCCCTTAGGTGAACTTTATAGACATGTGTGTGTGTGGGTAATTGGGTTTTTACAGTGTATCAATCAGATATGATTATTTACGTCTGGGGACTGACCTTTAACGTCACCATCCAAAAGAAGTGACTCAGTTTTGAACCAGAGTCGCCTGAGTCAGTTTGTAGGCGAAGACAGAGAGCTGACCAAGTGAATTTGCCGCTACACCAACTCACATCTCCCTTTACAACCAAGATGATCTTTTATAGGAGGTGGAGGGGGGGGGGGGGTATTCGTCTACTTTTAGCCTGTTGACTACTGAATTCTCTCATTCCCAATGAGCTTGCTTTTCTCCTCCATTTTTAATGTTAAGGCTACTAGTATTTATTGAAATAAACATGTATGATAAAGGAATTGTAGATTTAGACAAATGAAGGATGTGATGCAAAATTTTTAGCTCAGGATTTCTGTTTTGTTCATTGGAGTCCTTTTTTATTTATCTTATTTTAGGGGAAAAGTAGATTTCTTAGAGGTAAATTCAATTCATTTAGTTTTTAGAAAAGAATAATAAAAGAATAGTAATGCTCGAATGGGCTTTTGCAAGTTAAGTTTTTCCCCAGGGAGTGGAGATATGCATACATTTTGTGTGGGTAAGCCTGAATCCGATGACCGGGGTAATAATATATGTATGTAAAGCGCTTTGAGAGGGCCTGCGGTCCTAAAAAGCGCTATATAAGAACGAACTATTATTATTAAAACTCTTGTTTGTATCAGTTGAAATCTTGGAGCCTGGTAAGGGAGATGACAGTGACTTCATCTCTGGTCTGGAGCAGGACGACCTCCATCGGGAGGAGTGTGCCCTGGTCTTTGCCCTCCAGCTGTTCCTGACCCCACGCACCCGTTCCCTGGACCACGCCACCACCCTCAGGAACACCCTGCGTAGCCTCTTCCCCTGGGGGATGGGCAGGCTAGGGAGGGGGTTGGGGGCGGAGCACGACCCGGTCCTGGTGGATGCCATTCAGAGCCAGTTTGTGGCCGACAGCCTACAGGCGACGCCTCTCCATGTATCCAAGGTATGTCATTGGTTTCACGTGTATGAGTAGAACACCTGTAAGAAATATTGTTCAAAATCATGAATGATGGCTGGTGTCTGCAACAGTAAACTTTTGTTTTTAAAATGCAAAATTTTATGAAGCACTTCATGGGGTGTTTCACAATGATCCTAGGTTAAACTTATCTCCAAGTTGAACTTAACAGTTATGGAAAGCTGTTAGCATCATTGAAAATATTTTGTAAAAGTTATTTCAAAATACATAAAATGTTGATTAAAATCATTCATAATTTCTATTATCAAGGAGATTTCGTGTTCTTGATGTGGAATTTATGAAAAGTTTAAAATACTTCAGTTATTGCTTTTGGAAATATTTAATTTTAAGGCTAAAAATGGCTCTCCATAATTTTTAAGTCCAACTTAGAGTTAAGTTTGACTTAGGATCTTTGTGAAACACCCCCCAGGCATTTCAAGGTATGAAACTTTTCTTGACCAATCTTGAATTTGCACACAAAACTTTTGATTTTAAATTGTGCGATAACATGTTCTTTTATTTCCCATTCACTAGGTTCTAGAGCTCTATGAGTCCCTGCGGTGCAAGTCGGGTGTGGTCCTGGTAGGCTTGGCAGGGAGTGGCAAGACGGTGTGCTACCAGACCCTCTGTAGGGTTCTCAACAGTCTTCAAGCTAACCCCCCTACTCCCGATGGGGGACCCACTGCCCCCATGCATGGCCCCAAAGTACAGGTAAGTGTTGAGGGGACTTGTAACAACATGTGTCCAATGATGTATCTTAACCCAAGGTGTTGCATTACATTTTTCTTTCAAGAAAATGGAAAGTTATGAGATTTTAGTCCATAACGAAATGATGGATGCTCGCAAGGGGAATAAGGGGGTAGCCAAAATTTGCTTTATTGCCCATAATTAAAATTTTAAAAAGCTTGTGCAATTTAAATTTCATTTTCCTCAAACCATAGCTCATCCGTTTCTCTCATATCTGGCTAGTATTAGATGCAAGGTGGACTTCAAATTTATACAAAGCAACCTTATCAAAAACAAGGATGCATGAACATGATTGTACATAAAGATATAGCTGTAGTTATCTGGTGCAACATGATAAAAATCCTGCGGGGTGTATACAGGGGTAATACCAATCTCTACTTACCATAAATTCCAGTATAGTCGGTATGGCATATCTTGTCTTCACTTCTTGCAACCAAAGAAGCCTGCCAGGCAATAAGGTAAATGTAATGAGATACACTTTTTAAAGTGACTCAGTAACGAATTGCCTCAGATTCTGAAACAAAATCCTGGATTTAGCTCATGCTGCAATCAACCGGTGTGTTGGCTCAGTCAGTAGATTACAACCGGGAGGTCGTGGGTTCGAACCCTGGCCGCGTCATACCAAAAGACGTTAAAAGATGGGAGTTGTTGCTACCTTGTTTGGCGTTCAACAATAAGGGATAGAGCAACGTCGATCTGGCGCTGCTCAGTGGCTGCCAGGCTCACGATCAATTGGGCAAAAAGAATTTCTGTTTCGGTTTAATAAAATTTGGAGTGGACTATTAGGCTATTATTGTTATTATTATTATTATTATTATTATTATTATAATTATAAACCTTTAGGTCAGTTAGGAATCCCATGACTTATACAAGCTGATCCCCTGTCTGCTAATCAAGATAATTTTGATTAGAAATCAAAATTTCAAAAAACTTTTTCCTAATGGTTTTTATAAAACTACAGTTTATTGGGAAAACGAGTGTGGTAAATCTGGTCACTCAAAGATTTTTACTTTTAAGGCACTTCATGATCATTTTGAAGCGCAATTTTTTTAGGGCTTCAATATTACACCATATTTCATACACTGATAAGAGGTAGGACCATGCATTTCAGATTTAACATTGTTAAACGATGCCTTTAATCCATGTGCAGGGCTTGGAGGGGATTCCCCGCCATCAGCTCTCCCAGCCGATGGAGCGGTTACGACGTGCAGCAGAGGTGGTGTCTTTCATTACCATGCACTGGATGGACACCGCATCCCGTGGAGCAGAGAAACCATCCTACCCAAGAGTGGATTCCTCCGTTATCTACCCAGCTACTCTCTCCATGAAAGAGGTTGGTTCATTGCAGTTTTGTTTCAAAACCGAAGATTCACGGTAGATGTATGGAAAATTAATTGTCAGCTGTGCAATATATCACTCAAACACAAAGTTTTGAGGAAAAAAAACACACAAAACCTTTGGATAGATCAGTCAGTTTTTCAATCAAATCTAGCTTTGTTATCAAAGTCACTAACAAACGCAGCCAATATGTAGCCCTTGAGCAGACACCCATGAACAACTGGGCCCTATGTACTTTAAGATATGAGTTGCAATTAGTTTAAATTTGCTATTGATTTTAATCAATCGCAGCTCTTTATAAGATAGGGGTCCTGGATGGAGAGTGGTAAATGCAGATAAATGTCTTGCCATAGGTGCTGAGCTGGGATCGGAACCCTCAATCTTTTGATTTAAAGTCAAGTGAATGAACCACCATATCACAATTAACATCTCTGCCCAATAATACAACATGATATCATGGGCATTTCCCTCTATTGCTCCTCGCCTGTGGAATTCCCTCCCATCATTTCTTCGCAAAATTCACAACCTGGACCACTTCAGAGCTTCGCTCAAGACTCACATCCTCCTTCAGACATTTAAATGCTAGCTTTATTGGAGGAGCTCGTGCCTTTGAATGTTTTTTAAAACAGACATACACTGTATGGCGCCATACACATGCTGTGAATCATCATCATCATCATCATTATCATGAATTTGATTTGCCTTGCAGTTGATTGGTGAGTTTGACCCAACCAGGCACCGTTGGAGGGATGGCCTGGTCACCTCCCTTATCCATGACTCCGGTCAGTCCATGCAGACCGCCGAGGAAATGCAGAAAGAACTCCAGGAGAACAAGAAGAAGAACGCCAAGGGAATGCTCAACCCTCCAACGATCATCCAGAAATGGGTCGTCATGGACGGGGTGATAGACCCCAGGTGGGCGGAGACGCTGGCCGGTCTGATTGGGACAGGGCGTGGCATGGCCAGTGGCAGAGGAAGGACCATGTTGTCCAGTGGTGAAAGGCTTCCTATGCCCGGTAAGTTACATTGCATTTTCTCATGTTTTCCTCATTTTACATTAACCCACTTTCTTATTGTTGAAAATGTTTTAATCATCTTGATAATACTGTTTCTAATACCTGTATTTTACCTAAAATTCTATTAACCTATGTTGAATTTTAAGAAGAAAGATGAGCATTTCGTTATCCAAACATCGTAAACAGTATGGGCAGACAGGGGCCTTATTGTTAATAAAATAGGACCAAGAATATTTTTCGATCCAGTTTTTTTGAATATTTATTTGTATGTGCGATGGAAATCGTAACCATATCCTCTTGAGACATTTTCAGATTTAAAAATGTGCTGTATCAGCAGACTCTCACTAAGAGATCAGTTTGGTAATTCAATCAATTCACTGGCTCTTTAATTCATAATTGGACAATGCATTCCATCGTAGATTATAAATATCACCAACACTGATGTCTTTCTTTTCAGACTGTACTTCACTGATATTTGAAACTAGCACAGTGACCAATGCATCTCCAGCCACTATGGCCAGGTGTGCGGTCATCCACTTTGGCTCCAATGTAGTCAGCTGGTCAACTATATTGTAGAATATAAATATCACCAACAATGATGCCTTTCTTTTCAGACTGTACTTCACTGATATTTGAGACCAGCACAGTGACCAATGCGTCTCCAGCCACTATGGCCAGGTGTGCGGTCATCCACTTTGGCCCGAATGTGGTCAGCTGGAAGTCCCTGGTCGAATCCTGGTTTTCAGGGGCTCAATCCTTCTGGGAGATCAGCAACAACAGGTATACAGAGCTAGGGGTGTTTCACAAAGATTTAAAGTCGATCCTAACTCTAAGTTGGACTTCAAAATTTTGCAGAGCCATTTGTAGCGCCATTTGTAGCCTTAAAATAAGATATGTTCAAAAGCGAAAAATCAAGTATTTTAGATTTTTTATAAATTTCAAATCAAGAACATGAAATCTCCTTGATGATAGAAAATATAAATGATTTGACTCAAAATTTATGCCATTTAAAATACCTTTTACAAAATGTTTTCAAGGATGCTAATGGCTTTCCATAATTGTTAAGTCCAACTTAGAGATAGTTCGACTTTGAATCTTTGTGAAACACCCCGTCTGGTGTTTGAAACAGTACTAAAGGAGAGGTCACTTATGATATGTTGACAAAATAAACAGATCACTTACAGTTATAGCGCTTATGTCCTTTGGCAAGGCATTGATCTACATTTGACACCTTATACCCTGGAGAGAAATGGGGTCCTGTTAAGAGTGATGAAAGCCTTTGTGTTAGTAATTGCCATATGCCCTCACGGTGGCTGGTGCACAATGTGTGTGAATGAATCTGATGACTAGGGTAATAATAGCTGTAAATCACCTTGAGACAGTACTTCATATTAAGCGTTATATAAATCCAGATTATAATTATTATTACAGTTTACTTATCCACTGAAGTTTGTTTTATTCATGGTCAAACACAAATTTGTAACTCTACAGTTTTTTTTTTATAGCAGCTCTTAGTTTGTTTTATATTGAAAATAATTAAAAATATTATATATAAGACATGTCCAATAACATTTCTAGGGCAGAAAAATAAGAAGAAAATTCTTTGTACACCTGTATGTCTTCTAGTTTCAGCCCTCAAATTTCTTTTTGTTATAATGTTCAGTTTGCAGCTTCTGCAAAACCTGATAGATGACACCTTCGCCCGTACCCTAGACTTCCTCTCTAACACCCACTGTGTCCCCGCCCTGGAGTCGGACCTCCCTAGGGCGGGAGAGTCGGGCCAGCGCACCGGGGACGGGATCAGAGAGGTGGGGTCGTTCCTACGCATTCTGACTGCCATGTGTGATCATCACCTTGTTCGGGAGAGAGGCGATGGGAATGGGGCTTCTGCAGCTCCCAGTGACAACAAACTGGGTAAGATTTGTGGACCTGCTGGGGGGTGTTTCACAAAGATCGTAAGTTGAAATTTTTTCTAAGTTGGACTTCATTATTATGGTAAGCTGTTAGCATCTATGAAAATATTTTGTAAAAGATATTTTAAAAGGCATAAAATATTGATTCAAATCATTCATATTTTCTATTATCAGGGAGATCTCATGTTGTGGAATTTATAAAAAGTCTAAAATACTTGGATCTTCGCTTTTGAATATATTTTATTTTGATGCTACAAATGGCTCTCCATATATTTTAAGTCCAACTTAGAGTTAAGTTTGACCTCAGAAACACCCCCAGGAGGGGGAGGATGTTGGAGCAGGTCCCTGTCTTATAAAGAGTTGCGATTGATTTGGATCAATCGCAATTCCTCCAATCAATTGCAAGTTGGCATAGGGTTATGTTCATAGTATGTTCATAATTGTGACTGATATCAATTGCAAATACGTTGCAATTAATATCAAACTCTTTATAACATAGGGCCCATGTACTCATTTGGATGTCAAGTAAGTAGAGTTGTTATGCCTAACGATGTATAGCAATATGTACTTTATTTTTTAGCAGAAGAAAAGAAAAGGTGAAAGACATTAGGTGGAAAGGGTTGGTGCAAAAACAATTCAGAGATGAGAGAAGAGCGAAGAGATCTTTGGAATGATAATAAGAATTACAAAGAAAGAATAATATGACATGTTAAACACAGAAGAAAAGAGGAGGATTAAGGATTTTGATAGGAAGAGAACAATGATAGTTGTGCTGAGAGTAGAGGCGCTATATTGTCTAGTGAGAGCCAGAAGGACGTTACTACACTTCTAAGTAAAACGTAAATAAGTTGGACCATTTCTGACTGTACGCAGGCAATATGGATGTGATGTAAAATGAGTTGCACATAAGTCATATGTCTTACATGGTATTTTCGAGTACAGAATCACAATACACCCCTTCACGGTTAAGGCATCCATTTTAAATTAAGAGTAAACTTTGCGCCATCAATGTTTTCAGATGCGCATATGTATTGTTGCGTCACTGCCTGCGCTGCGTGCTCACATCATTTCAACATGGCGCCATTTTAAATTACGAGTAAACATGAGTTTACTCGTAATTTAAAACGGTGGCCAAGTTGTCGCATGCGCACTCTTGTAATGGTGTAAAGGTGTTTTACAATGTACTTTACACAAGAGGATGACCTATGATGACGTCATTTCATGTTTTTACAGATGACCGAAGGACCCCCCACCCCACTCCCACACCCACCCCATCCATGAGTGTGTGCAGCATGTCGAGACATACAGCCAACAAGACCACCATACTCACATCCATGTTCACGTTTGCCTATGTCTGGGGATTCGGTGGCCATCTGCATGATAGGTAAGACAAGCCGCAGGCTATGTTAAAGACCTGCCATTTTGAGGTGGAATATTGAATCAAATTTGAGTGCCCCCTAGATTTCATAAATTATTAATTTTGTAATTGTGAGGTTCAAATGTAACATGAATAAATATGCTGTACATGACTGTATGAGTATCATCATCACCCCTACACAGTAAGAAATACCAGATGTGTACAGTTACTCTTTTACCTCTTGAAAAGGAAATTGTAGTTTAAAAAACCAAAGTTGTGCAAAGTAAGGAACTACATGTAGCAGAAGTTTCCCTGTAACTTCTTTGCTGACCATGATGTAGAGCACTTAACGCCCATCATTCTTTATTTGTTAACCCTTGGAATGATTTGTTAATATTCTAAAGGAATGATTTAATGTCTTCATAGACATAGAAACTTTTTGTTTTTTGTAATTAGTCCTCCTGAATGATTGCCATCACCTTCTTTCCCCCCAAAACAAAAGGATGAATGAAGTTCTCTTATCCATGTTGTATGTTCTGCTTCTGTTTACTAGGCATGCTGAGATGTTTGATCAGTTTGCTCGTCAGCTCCTGGGACGTGCAACGCATGACATCATCCTGCCTCCAGAGGGCACTGTCTATGACGTCCACATCGATGCAAACCTTGGGATCCTTTTATCCTGGGCGGATTCTAACAGAGAGAAGATGAGAACTATCAATGCTAACTTCATTGTCACACCAGAGGTAAGGCAGCTTTATTAATCATTTTTAGGATTGTAGGCACTTTAAGCCACCTAAATTTTTGTATTTTCTCAGATTATTCCTCTAGTCTTTCCTCTGTAAATTCAATATGGCCTCATGAATTGTGAAGTTTGATAACACATTGTACTTTTATTCATCAAACTGAACAATGAAAATGGAACCAAGCTTTAAGATTATTTTGAAGTATATTGTACATGTAAACAATGTAAAATCTTATTATTAAGATCCCCCCCCCCCCCCTCATTGAAATTGCACCTTCCCTTTGTAGCATTTACCATAAGTAATAGTGCTGCATTTGAACAATACAATTGGATTAAGGCCCAAAGACAAGGAAGGGGGTGGGATTGATGACAATGTCACGGAATGACCAAAGTATTCTTCAAAGTTGGTATTATTTCCTTAATTATTCTTTGTGTTTGTTTGTCTTTATGTGTTCATTCTTAATTTACGCTTGTGATTCATCTTAAATCCCACAAGTTTGGAATGGTCACCAAATCTGTTATTTACTGGGAAAATTCTGCAAGTATGGCAACATACAGAAGTAAAACTTTTGGGGCATTTGACATACATGTAAAATGTTTAAAATTGTGACTTAAATCTTGTTTGTGACATGACAACAGTGCTGGTTTCAGGCTGATTACCTGAATTTGGTTCCTTACATCTACCCACTTCAGGCCTTTTCATTCTTCATAGTAGTTATGGCCTCCCATTATGGGCTCTCTTTACACCTTTTGAGTAAAGTCAACTGGTATCCTTAATATGATTTTGAATGTGTTTTGTTTTGTACAGGCCGAGAGGTATTTTCATCTACTGGACATCTTAGTTGGAGCAAACCAACCTGTGCTCTTGGCCGGGGCACCAGGTATAGGCAAGACAGCTCTCATTCAGGTTCGTATTAAGATGCAATATCTACTATAATAATCATAGTTGTTCTGCTTCTTCTCGAGTCACTACGCCACAACATTCACTCTTGATTAGATTGTCCAAATCCAGTGTTGGATGCATTCCATCGTGCAGGGGTCAGTGCTTTCAGATTGACAATAAATATCAATTATTGACTGTATTGTAAAATAATAATAATATTGTAAAAAAAAAAAAAATTCTTTCTAAAGTGGCAGTTTTATTGTTCCATTATGTTATGATTATTATTTGATAGTGTCTATATATATATATATATATTTGATTTTTTTTCTCAAGAATGTGCATGATTGTATTTAAAAGCAATAAATTTAATGCCAATTTGAGGAGGCAAAACTTCATATTCTACGTTATCAGAATATGGTTCAGCAATAGGATCATTTCCTTGCTTTGGCCATGTCATATTCTTGTTGCTGGTGTAATTGTTGTTGTTCATGTTGTTGATCCTATTTTTAAAATATTATCAGTCATCATCTTATCCCCACAGACTATATGGTTCAAGCAAGGTACCATTTCCTGTCCTTCGCCATGTCCCCTGCCATAGGCTGTGAGACAATGAAGAAGATTTGTACTGTTAAAGTTTTCATCATCGTCGTTGCTGTCATCGTAATCATCATTATCATTAATCATAAATCACATTTTATCTTGACAGAATATGGTTCAACCAAGGCACCATTTCCTGTCCTTCGCCATGTCCCCAGTCATGGGCTGTGAGACGATGGAGAAGATGATCGTCAGCAAGCTCCGCCCTAGTAGCTTGGTGAACGTAAGCTCCCAGCCGACGAAGCCAGGTCAGGTGACCAACGACCCGCTCTTCTTTATCGATGATCTTAACTGTGCTGGCATGGAGAAGACAACAGGTACTGAAGATATCTTGAGCTCTATTAATGATATAAAATATTTTTTAACAGGATTTTGTAATGTTGTTCTACATGTATGTGTTTGTATACATGTTGGCAATTTTAAGAATATGTTGATTTTTCAATTTATTTTCATTTTTATGGCCTAAAGTATTTCACAAATTCCAATATCATGAAAGGTTTTCAAAATGATTTTTAACATTTTCTTCTGGAAATGAAGCTTCATTGCAAGTAATCCAAACAGGCTTTAACATGTTATTCTAACTACAAAATAGAAAAGAATTTAAGCCATTTGAAATTCATGAAAAAATGATATTTCAATGTCCAGACTTCCTGCAGTAGCTTTAGTGAACAGAATTTCATTAGTGAAAGATCAGATAATGGTGTCTTTCAATCTGTTTTTTACAATTTACTTCTTGATTACATAATCAATTTATGTTGAGATTCATAGAAATCTGTTATAGATTTATATTTGAAATGAATAATCTCCTTAACCAATCATGGATATCATTAATGTACTTATTACATTATAACAATTTCAAAATCATTAAAAGAAAATATTTTGAGAAAATTTTATTTTACATAGAAATATACAGGTATTTTACAGAAAATATTCTTCTCCGCAGGGGAGCAACCATGTATGGAGCTTCTTCGCCAGCTGATGGCCGAGGGTAGCATTTATCAACGCGACAACCTCTCGCATTACTCCCTGGAGAAGACTAACTTCCTCGCCGCGTGTTACCCTCCGGGTACGCAGGGTGTCGGGAGCGGCGTCTCGTGCCACAGCCTCAGCTCCAGGCTGGCCAGGCTCTTCGTGGTCCTGACTTACTTCACGCCCTCCGCCGAGTCCCTCAATCTCTTGCATGCTGGGAGCCTTCAGAGCTGGCTGGAGGAGTTTCCCGCCTACTCCCTCAACCACCACTATGAACTTGCCCAGGTAGGGAATTAAAGCCCCACTGTACTACTTGTAGCGACATGTACTTGCTCCTTTATATAGAAAAAAATGCCTAATCGGTGCCTGTTGGTCCCCCATGATCCTCTTTTTCTTATGTTCATTGAGAGCTGAGTTGATTAGATAGGCACCTGTCAGTGACCTTCCTGTGTGGTCTAATCCCCCTGGCCAAACTAGTAGAGACGGCCTTTAAGTCAGTTGCCGTAGATTGGAATAGATTGTGTGGAAGCCTGAAGGATTCCATGTAGTAAGAAATATTCTTTTCTGCCGTTATACCCTTCATCTACTACTCCTATGGCACCACCCATATATGAACGTTTTCTAATTATTAGGGGCATACCAAATTTTCTCCAGGATTTCTTTTGTCAGATTTACAGGTTTAGGTCTCTGATTGGATTTGGGCTTAGGTTTAAGGGTTCCGTATTGCATTGAGTGCATGCATCGATATAGTTAAGAATTTGACTAGTGTAAGAATAGTCCACAGACCATGTTGTGCTGGAGAATGTGTAATACAATCTAATTAAAAGGTAGTAATGAAAGTATATATTGCCAGTCACCTAAGTATGCATTTAAACTCGTTATTTAAGTGAAATTGGATGAAGCATGGATGTCTTCTTTACCCTGTATAGTGATCAAGTTGGATTATGACAAAGTGAAAAGACCCTAATGGATTGCCCAGTTAATTTGTTTATGCGACCTTCAATTGTGAATTTAGTTCTCAATTCAGATCACACTTTTAAAGGCTTAAATATATAGTCTAGTTTTCAAGTAGGTAACAATAACTTGTATTTATGTGGTTGAAATTATTTTTTGTTGCCATTTTGTTGTTCTGGGCCCCGTTTTACAAAGAGTTGCGATTGATCCAAATCAATCGCAAGTCCTCCAATCAATCGCAACTTTGCAGTCTCCTATCTCTTATATACATAGTTGCCATTGATATCAATCGGAAATAAGTTGCGATCAATATTAAATCTTTGTAATACGAGGCCCAGATGTGTATATGATTGTTGTGTGAAAGAGGAGAAATTTACATAATGTTCCTTTACTTCCTCTTTTCTATTCCAGGCTATCTTAAAGGCCACCATCAGCCTGCACTCTCTAATCAAGAGACAGCTGATGACTAGCCCCGTCAACCCCCACTACGTCTTTTCTCTCCATGATGTCAACCGTATCGTCCAAGGCATGTTCCTCATGGCCAGCAGGTCAGGCAGGTCAAAGGGCAGGCATGGAAGGAGAGGTGGAGGTCAAAGGTCACAAGCTAAAGGTGAGTTCATATGTTTTTTTACCGATCCTTCAAGTTGGGTCATTTTCTTTTTGTGTGGATGCCTTATACTTGTGCATGTATGGTAGGGCGCCTTAGCGAAATGTAATGGTGCGAAAAGACACGTCCGAAATGCAAAATGCATATAATAGTTAGTGATATTTGCTAATTAGAAGTTACTTTTTTACACATCAGAATGTAAGTTTTACATGTATATTTACCTGCTCCACATCTGTAATGATGTAGGTTTATGTCTGTGTGATTAAATTGTGATTTTCAACAATTATGCATTTTGCATATCGAACCTTAGCTACCTAAATTGTTTTGAAATTGGTGGAAAAGTCGTCATGTGCCAGCAAAAAGGCACTTACCGATACACAACCAGTGGATTTTCTATTTGCAGAAATATGCCTATAAGGACCTGACCTTTCTTTGACTTCGTCTGTACAACACACACTTCAATCACTACATTGGCTAAATTGTAATGAGTGGCAGGCTTAATTAACTTCTCCATGAATTTGTGTTTGCAAATTTTGCCGGGCACAATATACCAATTTTATATTTTGAATCGATTGTTGATTTGAGAATTTTTGTGAACGCTTTCAGAGCTGTTAATAAAAGTTATATACCGTTAAGAATGTTTTACTTGACTGTTAAGCAAATGCTGGATACATGTATGTATTTATCTGAGCAACTTATGGACCTGTGACTTTTAGTCCTATCTATTAGATAGTTATGCCTCGCCAATAGACAATTTGAGTTGATAACTTTATCATTAATTTTCCTGATTAATGTAAAACATTACCCTGCACAGGATGACCTCGATCGGAATGATTTGCATCTTTTACACAGATCCATTGAAAAGAAAGCTTTCATTTATCATTAATGTCAGTTACGTGTATATGAGTTCATACCCTAGAAGTGCAGAGAGTGTTTTAACAGGATACCATTATACCAGCAACATTAACCTCTCTGTATACCCCTATGGTCTAGTACATCTGTGGATTAGTTTAGTCTCACTCCACTGATTTCAATGCACAAACACAGTACAAGCTAGACAGGTAATTCCTGGCCTACCGGTACATGTATATGCCTGATGGATTGATGTCGGATTCGCCTTTACAGGTTCCTAGAAATCCTTGAAATCGGGAAATCTTGAAAATGGGTTTCATCTATTCAAGCAGGGGATAGGGAATGGAATTTGAGAAAATAATTCACAAAAATCATGGAATTTCATCAGCCTCAAAAGAAGGTAGTTGAGTCTCATACATGTACACGTATCTGCGCTATAGGCTCATACATGCCAACTGTTCAGATTAAAGAGGAACATTCCTCTTTTTGGGAGAAGATAATTATTATTTTAATGCAGGTGTTCCTCTTCCTGTACAAATTTGTCTGTAGTATTGAATAGGAGAGTTAGGATTGTTCCTCTTTTTTTTTAAATAGCATAATTTGTACAGATTTCTGATTTTCAAATGTTGGCATGTATGTTCGCATAAGCACCGATAATACATGTTTTTAGTGTCATGTTCAAGCAGCGTATCCACTTGATCATTTGTGAAGCTGGCATTGTAGTTTTATTGTAGATTCTTGGAATTTTGAATCTCCATTAGGGAGGGAAGCTTGCTTGCTTTAACACATGTGTTTGCTATGTAGAATGTTTGACTTCCCCCTTCTACAATGTTTTTTTGTACCATTGTGTATGAATATCAAGGGGGGGGGGGTGGATAAACGTATTATTTTTGAATTATTGCAGGGGTAGTATTCTGAAAACGATGTTACCTTTAATGCTTATGTAAAAACAATGTTCATTGTCATAACAATAGAAAATTTAGGACAATTCACTGGTTAATACATGTACTTGTATATGCGCCAAGCTGGCTATAAAGTTTGCATAAGCTTGCACCGATAACACATGTTTTGTGTGCAAGTGTTGATTCTGCACAATTTCATTTTGTAATGACAATTAACATTGTTTTCCCTAACATTAAATATACCATAGTTTTCAGAATATGACCCCAGATCTTAAGACAGCACTCCAGGCAGAGATCGGATCTCAAACTCTCTTTTATGTATATAGCCATGTACTGGTTGTTGAAAGTATATAGTGGTTCTGATTATATAGATGAAATGTGATGACAACTGAATAGACAACACAAATGCATACTGTAATGCTTTATAAATGTGAAAGGAAATAAAATAAATATTTAATATACTGTAACTTCAAAATCAGTAGAAAAAAAACAAGACTTGCAATTCCAGGCCATATACCATCTGTTAAAAGTACACCAAATGATAAATTGTTAGGAAGACAGAAAAAGTATCATTCAGTGATAAATGTATGATAACGAAACACCATTATTATAACATAATTTGCATATAGGCTTTATATGCACTTGTACAAGTACATGTACAGTGCGGTGGTATACAAGACATACCGGTAATGCAACATACAGCAACAACTGAGAACCCATCGTATGTCAACTCAAAAACTGCTTGGCTATCTGCAGATAACAGATATAAGGTTACAAGTCCAATTTGAGCAAGTAGATTATAAAAAGTAAATGTATTCACTTTTTGTCCCTTTTTGTCAAAATGTTTCCAGTATAACTGCAGAAATACGTCAAGAACGACAGAATTCAGCATTAGAGCTTGTATTTCAAGGCAGACTAGGTCCAATTTTTCTTTCTGACCCTGTCAAATAGAGTTCTTTTTAGAATTTATACTTTTTTCTAGTAATTTCAATAACATGATTCACAACATAATTAAAAATACACCGTAATTCTAAACTTAAAATTACAATAATTGTAGTATTGGGTACTATTAAACAGACAGATATTTGTTTTTCATGTTTTTCCCCAAAAAATCATATTGATACTGTCAACCCTTACCGGTATATGGATTAACTTTGTTGGAAGACAACCTGTCTGTATAACCCTATAAAGACCACACATTTTCCCCTTGAAGTGTGTTCCTTATATTCAAATATGAATTAATGGAACTTGTACATGTAAATTATAGAGATCAACTTTCCTTGCTTTCCATGATTGGTCTGTATACATAGATTTCACTGCATTTGATTAAAATAAAACGAAAATGTATGTATGTCTACATATTTTAAAATATTTTTTCCTTCTTTTTAATAGCATGTTCTTATATACATGCCAGTTCATATAAATGGGCTATACATGTCAACAAATGGGAAATTCAATTGATACAGAAATCCAGTTTTGTCAAATTTTCCTTCACCAAAGATTCTCAATTCAATATTAATGTATACTATTTAGTAGGTTATCACCATTTAAAATTCTTTCTACAAAATGAATAGAATTTTTTTTTCTACACCTATTTTTGATTACATTGGCAGCTATCAGCTGGTTATCAAACTTTTACAACAGAACCATTTTGGAATACCACCAAAGATGATGCAAAAAGACATAAAATTAATATTGTAGCGAAATCACCGGATTCCATAAAAGGATAACACAGGTACAGTTTAATGCAGATACATATATAATTAAACTTTATCTGCATAATTCTTGTATATGTGAATTATGAAACTTGTTAATAAAGAAGACCACTAGAGAAAATTAAAGGTTTGCTTTTCAGAAGATAAATACAAAAAAAGGTATATTTGTTGAAGCAAACTGAGCTTTGCAAATACATACAAGGTAGTATAGCAGCAATAGAAATTTGATTGTAAAGTTTGGTGACATCATCCATTTTATTTAGCTATTTAAAAAAAGTTGCTTACTGTAAGTAGGGACAAATAGTTTTTGCCTCTAGAAGTTAATCATTGCAGTTAATTTGTTGCAGTTTACATGTTAGATGTAAAACCATATAAACTGTAGTTCAAAACGTCAAAACTTTCAGATTACTTGTAAGTGTCTTCATTGGCTCATTAGAATAACTACAACTGTACAAGAGTTGGTAAATAAATTCACTGATACAAATCTCATTGTATAATGGGATATTCAGAGAACCTCACTGACGTGTATCGTATACTATGTTCACATGTATAGTACATGTACAAAGAGTATGCATATAAGGCCGTATCTGCACAAAACGTCACTCCTCCAATATGGCCTCTTTGCACAATGAATGTATACTCAAAAAGGTGTTTTGTTTTTATAATTTACTACCAGGTTTTTTTTTATTGATTTTATTTTACCCGGCATGAGTGAGGTGACTGTAATGATTAGCCATGTAGGGTTACATGTTCATGTGTACACATACATGTATCGTTATACGAGCATAGGTTCTGAAACTATCTTGTGTGCATGTGGGCTTGACAGCTGCTTCAAAACTCTTATTGTGAGCAATATGCAGCATGGCAAATGGAAAAAAATTGAAATGTTTCTGATGGCTTAAATACAGAATGTGATGAATGCTCTTGGGTATATGCTGCTTTATGTTTCCCAAGAATATGTGTGGTGGGGTAGTCTAGTTGTTCCGCACTTTCAAATACAGTTAAAATACAGAAGGAGCACATTGTTTAAAAAAGTAGAATTACTATCTACCAATAATCAATAACTGTAATTCTGTAGAACCCTGTAAAGGGCTATACATATACCGGTACATGTTTTTGAAATAATTTCCAGCAGAAAAAAAATCTGTGCATACATGCACGCACTGGTACCTGTTCTACACTTGATATCTAAGAATATAGGTTTGTGCAAATTATACCATAATTTTTATGGAAGTAAGAGTACTTGTAATCTGAGTCCATGATAAGAAATTCATTTACAGAATCAGTTGTTATCTTCCAGGAACATAATTAAGCCAGAAATCTCCAGTGGTCATGTTATATGATCTCGCACAATAAACAACACATGTCAAGTTCTATGGAAAGTCTTGGGCATGCTATCCTACCACCTCAAATTCATTTTGACCATCAGCAGTAGATGTAGCTATGGCAGGATAGGTTTGACGTCTTGGAGAGTAGTAGGCGTACCTGTACTTCCTCAGACAGCCTTTCTTACGGTCCAGCTTGATGAAGCAACCGTCAGGGGTCACACCAAGATGCTCAAGGAAACCAACAATACCATGGACGTCAATAGTGCGGAGGACATTGCCACTCCTCCTGCTGACAACGTAGACAACCTGAGAGAGCTTCTCTTCGTGGATCAGGATGTAGCCATCAGGGGTGCAGTCAACGGAACCGATCTGATTGAAGGTCTCGGGAAGACCGATGGTTCGCTTGAAGTCTCCCTTCCAGGTCAGGTTGAGGATTGTACCCCCTGTCTTGTTGCTGATGTAGATGTTGTCCCTAGAGTCCAGACTCATGGAGATAGGGTAGCCTAGACTGAGGGCATGGTTGGTCCCACCAACGGTAGTCTGGAGGAATCCTGCAGAGTTGTACACCAGGACAGAACTGCTGAGGCATTCCAGGATGAGCGTCTCCTCAGCGGATGTGACCGCGATAGATACAGGATTAACAACTTGAGGCGTGTCAAAGAAACGAACCTGCTTCCCCTTCTGAGTGTAGAAGATCATTACCTGTCGATAAGGGAACAGCAATGCAAGGTTTTCTTTCCTGTCTTTGGTTATCAAGGCATCTCCCTTGTATGGTGTCTTGATCTTAGTGAAGCATTCACCATGTCCAGTGAAACCCAGGATTCTTTCATTCTGGATAGTGTCTGCAAGGAAAATCTTACCCATGTATGTCACTGTCATCCCAGAGATGTTCTCCAGAAAGAAAGGCTTCTTATCCAGCCGACAAGCGATAATCCTGTGGATGGGCACCATGATAGGGGAAGACTTGAGTGGCACATTGTTCAATTGTATTGTCAACTTATGCTCACCAATACTGTCTGGACGGAAGACAATGCCATGGTAGCCATATGGGTAATAGTATATCTGTGTTTTCAGTTCCTCGTGTTGAGGATCAAGGACATATGCAGAGAACTTGAGGTCTTTGTCCAATGGCTGGCGCTTCCCATTGCAATCGCTTGCATAGATTTCAACCATGCATTCCTCATCTGTGTTCTCGCCCTTGATTTCTGTGCAAAGAGCATACACTGGGATTGTAATTGGTTGCTCTCTGATAGGCTCATGACATACCTCAACATATAAGAGATGGTCACCGGGATCAGTAGACAGGTACCTAATGATGTATGATCCATCCAAGTTATCTACAACAGTACATTCCAAGTTCTCATTGAAAGGAGTCGTCATCTTTGCAGACACTGTGGTTCCACCTTTTGTGCTACGTTCCCCATTCAAGGAGGTCATTTCAAGTCTCACAGTGCTTTCCTGATTGACAAAGGACTCTTCGGGACTAACAACAGTCAAGAAAGGCACTTCATCACCATTAGCCACCTTGCCTAGGTCCTTCACTGCGTAGTCCAAATAGGTTAAAGCTTCATTATGCTTGTAAGTGAAGTCGATGCAGCTATTAGCCAGTGGTAGAGGATAGAACACCCCATTAGCGACTTCCTTGAAGAACCCTTCCAACTTATTTTGCACCCTGGCTACCGATACTGTACTGTTCAAGTTATTGTTGGTGTTTGCACAGTCGGTCATGACAGCAATGTTGGAAAGCATCGTCTTGGTGTCATCCTTCTGCTGTTTCAGCCCAAGTTGCATCTTGGTGTGTGCATCTGTGACAGCTTTCAGGAGAGCCTCTTCCCTCTGCTGCAGGACCTTGCGACATCTGCTGAAGAGGGCTTTGATCTGATGAGTTGCTTCCTCAGCATTGCATGTGAGTTTCTGGGTCACCATGTCAATGTTCTGTAACAGCTCCTCGAGCAACTGCGTCTGCCGCTCACTCATGATGATAAGTTCTTTAAGTTCAGCTTTCAGCTGTTCAACAACCGAAGACAAGTCTTCTATATTGTGACCTTCAGAAATATGATCGCTCTTGCAACAGGACAAGCAGACTGGCACATTACACGCTTCCCCAGTACAGTAAAGAGTCAGTGCCTGACTTTGGTGGACCACACAAAAGCGTTGCTGACGTGACAGTACTTCCCAGTCTTCTTTGGTCAAATCATTCACCTCGTGGAAATGCTGATTTTCGTATCCTACAGTATATTGATGTCTGATCAGACACTCTTTGCAAAGGAATCTGATGCAGTTGGAGCAACAAGCAGTGGCAAGCTTTGTGAGAGAGTCACAGCCTTCACAAAGCCTTACAATCCCTTCAGTATATCCAAGGTACTCCGCGAGGTAATCAATATGAAAGTCTGGAGAGATAGAGTTCCTTGTCAGGACACCTTCTGTGGATGGTACCTGTTGCTTGCAAGATGGACAAACTGTGCAGAGAGTCTCACTGTCTTTGGCTGTTGAAGCGTCAAAGCAAGTTGGACAGATGGAATGCAGGCAGGGAAGCAGCGTAGGGGTGTAGACCGATGTCACGAAGCGCTGCTTGCACCCGGCACAAACCAGGTGCTTATCACGAAACTCTGCTATATGGCTGTTGCTAGTGTCGTCACTTTTGGAGAAGAATAGATCTTTAGATGAAACTTTGTGGTTGAGTCCATTGCCGCAATGAGCCATCACTTGAATAGCAGATCTCCCATGGTACTCTGTATGTTAGTCTATCTGCAAGATTTGAAGAGAGAAATGGAAGATTTAGTACAATTGTAATACATCTAAAATCAATAATGTAAAGGTGAAAATAAAAGCTTTTTCAATAAATGGTAATGTCCCTTTACATGCCATTGAAAATAGTGTGTCTTGTATGAATAATGATTCAAATTTGTCAAATTTACACTGAATTATGCAGCAGATGGTGTTGACATGCACACTTTTGTATGTCTATCCCTTCTCAAGTTGAATAATTGCCTTGTGTAAACATGTTAACTTCCCTTTTGCTCTACACTGTATGAACTTCGTTCACATGCCTGCATTGTATTATATCACTCTCACTCTCAATTATAAGGAGTACATGTATAAGTTACCAGCGGTAAAATCTATGATACTCACCGATGTGAACCGAATGATCCTATATTGCATGTGTATGAAATGATGTGAAGTACTGTACATATAGCTACTTGTTTTACTTCATGAAAACTGCTGCCCTTTATTGTAATGCATACCGGTATGTACAATTGTACGTGGTAAGTGTACATTGTATGGTATGATAGATTACTGGCACAATCTATATGCCAAAGGATAGTACATTTTTGCTGGTACACAAGTCATGAGACAAGTCAAGTCAATTGCTGCTATATTATTTTCAGACCTCAATTTATGAAAAGAGAAACCTACCTTTTTATTTGTGTTTTCAAAGTCATTTTTCCTGTCATATTGCTCATGAGTGACATATTGTTACTGTCGTTACTTCATGACTTTACAATTTCAGTCTGTTATACATGTAGGTCATATTTTTGAAAGACAAGCACAAAGTTTGGTAAACATTTTCTTTTGGGGAATTTAGTAGTCTTGATCTTTGAAAAAGTGCCAAGATTTATAGGCCATTGTATAAATCATATTTTTGACATTGATTTTATATTACACAAACGTTACATATACAATGTACATGTAGTCTGACTTCAGCGTTTGCTGAAAGGCAGAAGGATGTTAATTCACATATAATAACATAAATGCCCTTCTGGCTCTCAGCAGGTACATGTATGTCAAGATTCACTTCTAGACTGAATGCATGTAAAACTTGTGCAGTGAATTAATAAAGTCTATTTGTGTCATGTGGGAAGACTTGTTTAGGTTATTATATAGTTTAGGCACACACCTATATCGAGGGGTCAGTGACACAAAGACGTAACTCCATTTTGGCCATTTTGAGAAAAAGTGGTTTATGTGTCATTGAGCACTTGGACCTCACTAGCCATTGACTTTAATGGGGTGTTGGGTGGAGTTAAGTCTTTGTGTTTCCTGAGAAGCCCACATTTTCCTGAACATTTTGATATCAAATACTTATATTGGCAAAATATGGAGTTATGTCTTTGTGTCACTGAACCCTTTAATATGTAAACCTCTGCATTAATGTACGCTGTATTATGATAATTGATTCATTGTGTGTTTTAACACTAAACAAGTGAGCTCATTCACCTTAGAGTTTATTTTGTCATTATGATCCATGTGCATCTATCGAATGAGGTTTGCTATATCTGTGCTATCCCATTAGCATTTGTATATCATAATAATTGATTGTTATTCAGACATAGTTTGTTTGCTCTGTCAACACAGGCATGTTTGCTATTAAAGGTGAAAATTACACCAGATTAACATCTAGTATTTGTTTACCACGTATGGCTTATTCATCAAGCATATTCAAACTATCCTAACATGCTCAGTCATTTGGATGTAATTACTTATTACTTTGTTATTGATTTGATTGTATTATTTGAAAAATGTCTCAAATATGTTTGTTTTCTCCATTGTTTGTCCCACATTACATAACACAGTTAGATTAGTTTTCCATAATATGGACCAAAACAAAATTTATACTCCTAAATTGCCAAAATACTTGTCTTTACAAAATATTTAGTTATAATAAGTTATATCCTACAATTAATAACACACCTTATACATATTATCAATTTAGGGGCAGGCCTTAGGTTACCTTAGGGTAAGGCACAGCTTAAATACTATATATATATATATATATATATTTTTTTTTTTTTAAATGACAAGTACCCATATAAACAGATGATCCCTTTCCCATTAAGTTGGTCTAAGTAATTCAAAGCAGCTAAATTAAGAGATCAGTGTGAGAGTTGGGCAGTTGAATTAAATCCCTCAAAAAGTTAAGATCAACCATGGACATTTAATATCACAGGGTTTCATTTCTACAAGCAATTCCTAGAGTGTATATAGATGTTATTTGTTGACTTTGACATGCCGCCCCCCCCCCCCAAACGATATAAGCTATTCATACAGAAATATGTAATTTCAAAGCCCATAGAGAAAAATGTAATTCAATCCCAATTCCCAATTGTTGACCTGCAGTCACTTCTGTTTGACCTCAGAGAGAGAGAGAGAGAGAGAGAGAGAGAGGGAGGGCACAATCTGCTCTGCAATCCACTTAATCAGAGTTGACTTCCCTTTAAAGCTGCTGCTGTACCTTCTACATATCCTAACCCACACACCAGTGCACATGCATTCAATGAATATATATATATATATATAAGCATAGAAATCACCATGAAAAATATATACTTACCATATGTTGCAACCTGTCAGACTATATACTGTATCACAACCAGAGGCAAATTATATTTTGTGTGCTAGCTGTATAGGCTTGTAGTCTGCTCTGTAAAGCTGTATATATGCACAGCTCCAAACCCTATACATAGAGAATGCACACTCACTTCTTTATCCAGATCAAATAAAACTTGCAACTCTTTAAATAGAAGCTTATTACAGGCGAGGCCCAGCATTCACACAATACAGGAGTCTTGGCACTCAATAATAGTTGTGAGAATAACATTTAAGTCCTTTCAATACTTCTTTAGGATTCCTTTTGTGAGACTGCTCCAAATGGATGGGTGCTCAATGCTGTGTGTTCATTCACCTGGAGTGGTGGACATGCATGGCTGATCACCCATACCGAGATTGGTTTCAATATGCAGGCTAGGGTGGGGTGGGCGTGGGGTGAGCGATGGTAGAGATCGAGGGCTTTGGTAATACAAATCAGGGGTGGGCCAATAGGCTTTTTTTGTAATGTGATCAAATTTAATGCTCAAATCTTTGTTAAGTGTCTGTTACACATTATTTCACTCACCTGTTATGAATAATTATATTTCAATAGTCAGAATGTGAATTGCATACATCAATTGTAATTGCTATAGGTAGGACAAACATTTATTGCTTGTCCTACCTACAACATGGAATGCATACTATTCGCATTCTGACTAATAAAATACAAATATTTGTTACAGGTGAATTTCTAACGAGGCACTTACAAAGATTTATGCATTAAATTTGAATAATTTATGGGGAGTAAAGTATTGCAAGTTTAATAGGGCTGATCACTCATGCAGTGAATAGTTTCTTATATGAATATGTATCTGCAGGGTAGGGTGGGGTGAGTGATAGAGAGAGCTGAGATGAATCTGGGGTGAACAATTATAATTTTCTTAATGTAATTAAAATGAATGCATAAAATCTTTATAGTGCCATAAGTTACAAATTATTTAATTCACATTTTACAATTAAATAATTGTATTTCAATGGTAAGAATGCAAATTGTATACATCAGAGAGAGAGAGAGGGAGAGAGAGAGAGAGAAAGAGAGGAAGGGGGAGATGATGGGAGTAATGGTATGAGGGGGGGGGGGGGATAGAGATGGGTAGATAAAACAATATACAGCTTATTAGATAATTGTAGTCAATTAGGTCATGAACAAGCATATAATGACAAAGATGTAAAATGTATGTTACACAATATCTATACTCATTGAGAGAATTAACAGTAAACAACTTCTGCTTCATAGAGAAGTTGAATTCTAAGTTTCATTTTCAAGTACCAGTGACTATATGTGTCATATATCATGTGATAGCATAGATTGGAATATCTACATTATGTAAATGCAGTTCTAACACATACACATTTTCGGATTGAGTGTATGTAATGAATACAACAAAAATATATATTATTTTACTAAAATAAAGTCTTTTCTCTTCTCTGCGTGTCAAGGAACGAATCAAACAAAGCCGGAGAGTTCTAACACATGCACATTTTTGGATTGAGTGTATTTAATGAATACAAAAGAAATATATATATATATATATTATTTCACTAAAATCAATGTCTTTTCTCTTCTTTGCCTGTCAATTAGGAACCAATCGAAGCCGGAGAGGGAGAACAGAGAAGCTCCAGAAAGAAGGTCCGCCGCCGATGATGAGAACCGTCATTAGACTGTGGTGCCACGAGGCTTGTAGAACATACTATGATAGAATAGTGTCTAGAGATGGTAAGATAAAAAGCATATAATGTATGTATGTATATAGTAGATCTTCAGCAACTAAAATACCTAGACCAAAATATGCATGAATATATATATAAGAGTTCATGCAGCATTATTTAATTTGATATATAGTTTTGTAGTTACAATGTCTTTAAATGCCTTAACAATAGTTGATACAATATTGTTATTTGTTACATCTGTGCATGAAAATCAATTATATTGTTTGAAAAGAATGTGTGAAAGAATATATTTTATGTCAAATGATAAATTGGTGGCAATCTGTTATACCACGTTTTTCCTTTCCAGTCTACTTGCTAGTAATTTAGCACAGTCTATTGACCATTTTTGTAATGTATATAATCAGATTTAATGAATACATTTTTGTTAAATGCCATGTTACAAATTATTTTATTCACCTGTTACAGATAATTTTATTTCAAAAGTCAGAATGTGAATTGCATTCATTAATTGTTGCAAGATAGGACAAACATTATGGCTTGTCCTACCTATAACACCATGTAATGTATGCAATTTGCATTCTTACAATGGCCTTGTGAAAATGGCCTATTGGGATTCAATTGGGTGACCATTTTGTCTTTGTGTATACATTATCATTCTGTAGTGTCGATGGAATATTTCTGTTACTATTTTTTTTCTTCAGACCAATCCTGGTTTCGGAATACCCTGGAAGAGGTCATTCAGACTCATTTCTGTGGTGGTCCTCTTAAGAGATACAGACCTAGCCCACCTCCCATCCCAGTTCCAGATCCTGTTCCAGATCCTGTTCTAGATCCTGTTCCAGATCCAGAGAAAGGGGAGGTACGTTTCCCAGAGTAGAAGTCTAAATTTCAATATAGATAATAAGTTGCTTTGAGTGAAAGGAATGATGGAAGCGATACAACGTAATGAAACTTTGTAAATATGAAATTATTTAAACTGCAACACAAAATGGGTGGGAATACTGAACTGAGAAAGAAGAAAAGTAATTTTTTACATATATGTACATGTAAGGATAGACGTTTACTTTCACTGAGATATTATTGTCATGATCATCATCATTATCATTATTTGACTTAACCGCTTTTATAAACCTTTGGGTCACTTCTCTGGATATAACTGATTTGTGTTTGCAAGTGGACCACTACACTAGGTTTTCGCCCTGGTGCAGTGGGTTCTAAAAGTACAAAGGTGACTCTCCACTTTTCACTAAAATCCAAGATAAAATAGTTATCAGAATACCATACTGCTAGAACAAAAAAAAAGAACTCCATGTGGAATTCTATAATAGTATGGTCAGGGAAAAAAGTACATTTAAATTATGCATTGTTTTTTGTGACTAGGAGACTGAGATAATCGAAGACCAGGATGACTCCGCCCAACCATCTACCCCTCCCTTGCCGGTCTCCCCTACACCCACAATGAATACTGCAACGGATGAAGCTGAAGCACCAACAGAGGGCGCTACAGGGACCAACGATGGGGACAAAGAAGGTATTTTCATTTAAAACATCTCTCATTTTCAAATTCTTCTTTATATAAATGTAATCATTACATCCAGTTGAAAATTTGTGAAATTTTCATTCATTTCCTTTGTACTGAAAGAGAAATGTTGTTTTGAATTTTTAACGAAAGGATCGATCTCTGAAATTTACACTACTTCATTAAAAAGTATGATCATTCATTTACAGCAAACAGTATTAGATTTTAGATTTCATATATCCTAAATGACTTTCTTTCACATTTCTTTTGGCAAAGCACACTTTTTCATCCAGTACACTCCATCTATCCACACAAAAAAACACTTATTGGTGATGGTGTCATGTCTTATTTCTGATCACTTTCATTCTTCAAGGGGTAGTAGGCCAACTGTTTTGTATCCAGTGTGCTCAAAAGACTCTTTACATTATAAGTTTTTATAATGAAGGCTTTTAACAGTTTGAAGAAAAAAAAGGTAAAAAAAAAGGGGGGAATGTAAGATTAGGACTTGAAAAAGATTTGTTCCAGTCTAATGTGAAGTGTACATGTACATGTGCCTTAATTTGTCTTGTTCAAGGTCATTGCTATATCTGATATTTCAAAATCTTTCATGTGTGTGTTTAGCAAAGATATTTTCATCATCACCTATTATTTCTTCTTTGTTGCTGAAAAGTAGAGGATCATTTGCATTTGCCATTTATAGTCATTATTTATTCATTACCATGTCAATCAAAAATTTTGGTACGAAACAGCTAGTATACATATTTATTGTTTAATTGCATGCCATTGAATATTTTGAATGTACACTGTATGTACAATGTGTAATTGCATGCATATGCATATCTGCAACCCTTTATATATCAATAATACATCCAACTCTTGCATGAAAATTACAAGTGAAAAATGTATTTGCTTTTCTGCATAAAATATAACCTATATTTCATAATCATATTTGTATGTTACTCTTTCTGTCCCTTTGTCTCATGTTTTTGCTTTCTTTTCTGTCTTCGTATCTTTGTAATTTCAATGTTTATTTCTCCTGTACCTGTTCTTCTTCCTCTTATTACTTTCTCTTTTCCCTTCTCATCTCTTTCTTTAATCTTCACCTTTCTTCTCTTTGCTTCTTACTTCTTTTTTTTATTCATCTATCCTCTCCTCTCCTTCTCTTCTTTCTTGATCCTCATCTGTTTCTTACATTCTCTTTTATCCTCTCACTCTCCTCTTTTTTCGTTTCATATTCTATCATGCGTACATATACTGTCTGGATGTCAATGTAATCTCTGTTTGTGTGTATAGTGTTTGAAACCAGCACCCCACCCCTCTCATTTCCTCACACTGACACCCCTATTGATGTGAATGGTGAAGGCCCGGGTGGATTCGATGCCGAATCAGAAATCAGCATAGCATCAGGTCTGTTCCACTTTTTATTCTTTTCAGTGATATTCACTTTGCATGGGTATCTTTGGGATTCTTTCTATTCTCATCATTATTCAATCCTTTATCATTTTTGTAATGCTCATAATATTCGAAGTGTGCTAATAATATGGTAAAGGTCATGACCCGCTGTAAGAAATCATTGTGAAACAATTGTATCAATATCAACAAAATTAATTTTGATCAAATTTAAAGATACCTGAATCAAATATAAACAGTTATTTTTTTTCCACAAATTTGTTATATGGTTTGGTAGTATTCATACTTCATAATTTCCCTTTGCAACTGCTATATTTCCACTGCTTTGGCATTAAACACATGGATATATGCATGAATTGTATATATATATATATATATATATGTATTGTCCATTTTGTCTTTAAAGCATAATTGTATTGCATGTAGCCACTTATTGCTTGTAAATGAATCATTGCTCATACTCATCTGATCTCATTTAAAAACCTCAACAGAATGTTGAAATTAACATTTGAGCTATGGTATTACTCTTTGTTTGTTTTACTTTAGATAAATCTGTTTTCAGTTATGACATTGCAAAAAAAAAAAAAAAAAAAAAAAACATCTCCTATTCACAAATTTATCAGTATTGGATATTATTTTTTGGAACAATGGACTGAAAAATTGAAAACATCCTTAAAGGATACAAGATGGTGATAGGAATGAGCATTGAAAAATGATTTGGTTTCAGGTAATAAAAGCAAGTGTTTTATATTCATCATCATCATCATCCATGCATGCTTCTCTGCAAATGCCCTTTGAAGATAATGTTGAGTTCTGGAAACTGTCTGAAAGAAATTGGAAAGGATCAATTATATCCCATATGAGAATGACTCTATACTCTGAGGTGTTCAAATCATCAAAATTATAGAATATTAACTCAATCTTGCTTAAAGTCATGGATACATAAATGTGTGCATGGGACTACACACACACATGTGACTTTAAAGTTTGGTCCAAACATGTCAGCTATTTCTTGTCATATTTTGAATATGAGCTAGGTCATTTGAAGAGCTTAATTTCAAAAGACAGTTTTTACTTTCCTATTCTTCCACCCTAACATGAAAAAAGAATGGAAAAGCTCAGAAATTATTTTCACCTTTTCCAGAACTCAACCTTCTCTTTAAAATTGTCTCTGCTTCATTATACACTCTCATGCTCTTAATTCATCATTATATGCCTCCTTCATGCATCTGCTTAGCAGTGAGTTCTTTGGATGTGCCTCTAGAGCTGAAACCAGATCCTACCAGTACCCCTGCCCCGGTACCAGCGATAGTCATGGGTGAGCTATCCATTACCCCCGTGTCCTCCTCGTTTGTTAATAATACCTCGTCTTGACCTATAGCCTTTTCGTATTACAAGAAATTCATACTCTTTAGGGACATACATGTACACTTGTATGTGGTCGAGGAATAAAATAGGGGATTTTTGAATTATACGGGGCAAAAAGGTTAGGGAGAGATTTATATCAATGAATATAGTTATTTAAAAATACACTTTTCATACTAAAAGAAAATCATTCTCTTAAGGAACATATACTTGTATGATGTAGTCTAGAAGGAATAGGAATAGATATTTAATCATACAGGGCAAAAAGGTTAAGGAGATAAATACTAGTTGATGAATATAGGAAAAAAGAAAATGTAAAAGTTGCCGGGCAGGAGCACATTGATAATATGGCAATATATGATGAGAAACTTCAAGCACCCGGTTTCACTTGATTTCTGAAAAGGTTAGGTCAAGTCAGATGCCAATTCAGTAAGGGTTCATTCTTTAATGTCATACATGTAGTATTCATTTCTATGTACTTTGAAATGTGGAACTTATATGAATTAAAAATCATCATTTGTATTGAAATTTCATACAGAATCTTGTTAACACCAATGTGTATCAAAGTCCATACATAAATAGCATTAATTGCCAAATTATATGTTTTACTTTGATATCTGAATCCTCCTAACCTTTCCATTTTTTCATGCATGTACATAATTCATAATTCAACCCCCCCCCCCCCCCCCCCCCCCCCCACAAATATAGCTTCATGAATTTGCATGCCTTTTAGTGCATCATTGATCCATTGCCACTCCGTTGTTACATAAATGCATTCAAATTATATGCCACCATTGCAATTATCACCATCTGCTACAGTGTGGTAAAGTTTTATCAGGTGTTGTGCTAGTGTGATGGTTCATTTTTTATAATGTAAACAAATGTTAATGCATTCATCTTTGTAAAGTTGACACAATGTATTTCATACACCTGTTACTAATAATCGTACATTAACAGTCAGAATGCAAATTGCATACATTAGTTGTTACTAGTGAGGACAAACATTATGACTTAATTGTCCTACCTAACAATACCTAATATATATGCACTTGGCATTCTGACTATTGAAATAACAGGTGAATGAATTTGTATCGAGGCACTAATTCACAAAGACATGTATTCAAATTTGGTTACATTACAAAAATGGCTTATTTAAATAAATAAATAACATGGGAGTGTTGAGTGTAAACCGTCTGGAATACTCAAAAAGTATTTTGGTATAACTTAAAAAGGGATAATAATAATGATAATCTGGATTTATATGAGTGCATATTAAATATGAATTACTAACAAAAATGCTTCCGTCATTCTACCAGGTCCCCATTTTCCTCCTGGGTATGTAGTGGCAAATGTAGATTAATGCCTTGCCAATTTATATCTAAAGAACATTTAAAAATTGCATCTATGAAATCTCACTTTTACATGCATGTATTAAAGTCAATCAAAAAAGAGGATCCATATACACACACACACAAAAAAACAATTTTTACATTTCAATAAAATACACTGCTGTATCTAATGGTAAAGAGAAACAACAATGACAGAAACATTTTAAAATAGCTTGAAATCAAAGGTGTGACATATGCCAAAATTGCATTCCCAAATGAATGAATGAAAGATTGATATTATTTTTTAGTTATTTTAGGGGGTTATTAGTGGTTTATGGAGTTATATTTTTAAATATACCGGTTAGGCATACCGGTACCAACATTTGTTTACATTTGTTACGGACTTGAATGACTGAATACTTTCACTTTTGATCTCCCTTTGAATGATTTGAAGTAGGAAATGTACCTACATATTTCAGTGTGACTTGAAGTCTTCAACCAAAAGCAGGTTAGGTACTTTATTGTTTCAAACCATGTGACAAATGTATCTACATGTTTTTTGGCAAATTGATATGTTTTTATTGAAGATTAATCTCTAAATGATTGCTTCTAGACCTAGCCCCAGACACAGAAAGCTCCCAGTCCCCGAGGACGTTCCAGCCTTTCCCCCCTCCTCCGAGAAACAAGGCCCTGCAGCCGACGCCCCCCTCCCAGCCCATGGTACACCCTGCCATCAAGAAGGAAGGGGATGATAGTAAGACAAAGGTGGGGCTCAAGAGAGGGGTGACGTTCAAACCAGGATTGATTCTTACCGATGCAAAGGAGGAGGATCTGGATATCTTTAAGGGACCATTGATTGAGATGAGTCAGGTGAGTGATCAAGTGGTGATGTGAAAAGTCAGGTGATCTTTTAGCAATCAGGTGATCTATATAGTAGTCTAGGAGTTAGATTCAAACCAGGATTGATCTGTTCTGATACAAAGAAGGATCTGGATGTCTTTAAGGGAGTATTGATTGAGATAAGTCAGGTGATTGATTATATGGTGATGTGAAAAGTCAGGTGGTTTTTTAGCAATCAGGTGATCTAGTAGTAGTCTAGGAGTTGGATTCAAACCATGATTGATCTGTTCTGGGTGCGAATGAGCATCTGGATGTCTTTAAGGGACACAATTTAAATATTATGAATATTACAAAAAAATGATTTATCATCAACAGGTTTTTTGTCAACATGTATGTGTTAAATTTTGTTTTGTTTTGTTTGGTAAGCTCATACAATCCAGATTGTTGGAAAAAGTTAAAAATATGATGTTCTATTTTTTATGCCTCCGCCACCGAAGGTGGTGCCGGAGGCATCATGTTTTCGGGTTGTCCGTCCGTACGTCCATACGTCCGTACGTCCGTCCTGTTTGACCGTTATCACAATATCTCAAGAACCATTTAAGATTTAAACTTAAGACTCGGGAATAGTATTTATCACCATAGGAAGACGATCTGATTAGATTTTGGAGTACGTAGGTCAAAGGTCACAGGTCACAGAGGTCAACTTATGAAATTCCTTGTATTGAGTTTGTTAGCGCGATATCTCAAGAACCATTTGAGATTTAGACTTCAAACTTAAGGATAGTATGTATCACCATAGGAAGACGATCTGATTAGATTTTGGAGCACGTATGTCAAAGGTCAAGGGTCACAGAGGTCAACTTATGAAATTCCATACATTGAGATTGTTATCATGATATCTCAAGAACCACTGGAGATTTAAACTTCAAACTTAGTGATAGTGTGTATCACTATAGGAAAACAATCTGATTACATTTTGGAGCACGTAGGTCATAGGTCAAGGGCCATAGAGGTCAACTTATGAAATTCCATACATTGAGATTGTTATCATGATATCTCAAGAACCACTGGAGATGTAAAAACTTCAAACTTAATGATAGTATGTATCACCATAGGAAGACGATCTGATTAGATTTTGGAGCGCGTAGGTCAAAGGTCAAGGGTCACAGAGGTCAACTTATGAAATTCCATACATTGAGATTGTTATCATAATATCTCAAGAACCACTGGAGATTTAAACTTCAAACTTAATGATAGTGTGTATCACCATAGGAAGACAATCTGATTAGATTTTGGAGCACGTAGGTCACAGGTCAAGGGTCACAGAGGTCAACTTATGAAATTCCATACATTGAGATCGTTATCGCGATATCTCAAGAACCACTGGAGTATTTTCACTTCAAACTTAATGATAGTATGTATCACCATATCATAATATCTCAAGAACCACTGGAGATTTAAACTTCAAACTTAATGATAGTGTGTATCACCATAGGAAGACAATCTGATTAGATTTTGGAGCACGTAGGTCAAAGGTCAAGGGTCACAGAGGTCAACTTATGAAATTCCATACATTGAGATTGTTATCATGATATCTCAAGAACCACTGGAGATTTAAACTCCAAACTTGTTTAAATTGCTCTATGGCGGAGGCATCATTTTCGACTGCGCGCAGTCAAAATTCCATCTAGTTTCCCTTCTAAATTCACTATTAAACCTTAATCATATCTTCTTTAGAAATATTTACTGGTAACATATCATAAATTAAAGCACATAATGACCCAAAATTAAATAATAATTATCATTTTTGTCAACAGATTTATGCCAAAACAATGTCAACTTCAGGAAAACTGTAACTCATTTGATTTCTATATTGCTCTTTCCTTAGCTGAAAGAAACAGATGAAGATTTATGTGCAATAACCTTCGCCAAATTTGTGCCTGGAATCGGGAAAGAAGGAAGTAAGTGTTCATTTTCATATTTTGTAAATTTCTGTTTGATTTGTCAAATCTATCTATTCCAAATCTACCAATATAAGTAGATTGCTTTAATATGTTAAAAAAGAATCAAATGCTATGTCAAATTTAAAAAAAAAAAGGAATAAAAAAAGATAGAAAGATGTTATCTAATGTGATTGTCTATATAGTGTACATCATTGACTGTATTGATTATCGTAGTGCATGTACATGTACATTACGCAACTACTTGGAGATGTCTTACTTTCTACAAAGCTAAAATATACCCATACTGTCATTATCTAAACAACTGATTCTTGTATCTGAAGTAATATCGTGATTCTCTTTCTGATCTATGTTTAGACTATGTGGAGTACACTGAATCTAAGCTCCAAGCAGGACTAGAGATATGTCTAGCCCAGTACAATGCGACCGCCCAACACAAGATGGAGCTAGTCTTTTTCACAGAGTCCATCAGACACATCGCAAGGCTGACTAGAGTACTTGTAAGTGGTGTTCCAAAATATCTACACCTCATTTTTTACACATTTGCGATTTGATTTGAACCAGTTGCAAATTTATCTATTCCAACTGTGCGCTTTAGAGGTACAGTAGGAGATTTTTAATTCGCTTTTAAAACAGCTGTTTCCAGAAGGGTCAAATACATTGATGTGTAGGTTCCAGAGCAGCTGCACTTGCTACTATGATTGTATGACAATATTCCTTTAATAGATTGAAAATGGTTAGGTTCCGAAACAACAGAGGCAGCGACTATGCGACTCTGTGACAGAACCTGTATGGGTCAAAGATATGTGTAGGTTTTAAAACAACTGGACTAACCATAACACTGACACATTTTGATAGGGTTCCTGAGGATCTTAAGATTCAAAATAGCTGGACCTTTTGACTGGGTCTTTTTTTAGTCAAGGATACTTCAGGGTTCCAATTGGACTAATCACTGAGACTTTGATGTGAGAATATGTAGAACATTCCTGTAATTTGTAATTCCAAGGCAAGTAATGTACTTTTTAAGCTAAGACCATACTTTAATCTGTTTCCTGTTTTCAAGTCTGTGTGTGTATTCGGTTTGTACAGACGTGGCTCAATCAGATATGATTATTTATGTCTAGGGACCGACCTTTAAAAGTCACCATCCGAAAAACGTGGCTAAGTTTCGAACCTGCGTCCTCGTCTGAATCAGTTTGTTACTTCCATTGTTAGCTGGATTACAAGTGCACGCCACAACCCCTAGTTAGATTTATTGTCCTTCCATTTGTCTCTCCAAGGCATCTGAAAACGCCAATGCACTGTTGATAGGTCTTACCAATGGCACAGGACGTTCCTCCCTCACCCACCTTGCCTCCCACATGGCCCGCTGTAAGCTCTACACCCCACAGCTGACCAGAGATCCTGCTGAGAATCGACAAAGGCTCCGGCACCAGATGAAACGAGCCAGCAAGACAGCGGGGCTGGTCGCTAGGCCGGCCGTGCTACTGGTCAAGGAAGACATCGGACCGGAAGTCATGGAGGACGTCTGCTGTCTCATTCAAGAAGGTGTGTATGGGTTTGTTCAGTTGCGTGATTATAGACACTCTAGGCACCCATAGGGTGTGCAGTAGTTTGACTACTTGACGGGAGGTGCAAGGTTTGTAGCTTTGCAATGAGCCCCTTATGTTATACTAGTATATATGTCACTCTCAAGACAGTGTGTGATATTGTCATAAGTGGTAGGATATGTCCCTAGAAATGTAAAGTGCTCTGCTAATCAATACACTTAATTGTCAGGGCTAATTAAAGCTACATTGATACTTCTAAAAGGAATTTTACAGTACATAAAGACATTATGTCACAATTTGATACACGTTAAATAGAAATCATCTAATCAAATATTTTAATGACATTTTTGTCTCGCCTGCGTAGCAAAAAGCGAGACATAGGCGCCGCTTTTCCGGTGACGGCGGCGGCGTCAACATCAAAAACTTAACCTAAGGTTAAGTTTTTGAATTTTTTATATAATTTTTAAAGTATAAGTTCTTAGTCAATGAAACTTTAATTATAGGGTAATCAAGTATCCCCAATCAATCATGTGAGTAGAATTTCAGATCACAAAGTCAAGGCCAAAGGTCATTTTAGGTCAACAGACTTGGAATATGTTGTAGCATCATCATCATCGAAAACTTAACCTAAGGTTAAGTTTTTTAATTTTTGATATAATTTTGAAAGTGTAAGTTCTTAGTCAATGAAACATGGACTATAGGATGATCAAGTCTCCCCAATCATGTGAGTAGAATTTCAGGTCACTAAGTAAGGTCAAACGTCATTTAAGGTCAACAAACTTGGACTTTGTTGTGGCATCAACATCAAGATTTCAAAATGCTTCTTCTTCGTTATTTTTAACCGATTTTGATCCTGATTGTTTCATATGATAGGGCTAGGAGGGGAATTTAAAATTTCTACACAGAATCGTGAAATTCATTATCTATGCTAATTTATGCAAATTTATTCGAAATAACAAAAAAGGCTTCTTCTCCTTCATTTCTCGACCGATTTTGATTTGGTTTGCTTTATATCGTAGAGCTAACTTTGGTACACTAAACTTCTACACAGAATTTTGAAATTGTTCTCCATTAACTAATTATGGTAATTTATGCAAATTTATTCCAAAAATAACAAAAATTGCTTCTTTTCCCTCATTTTTTGACTGATTTTGATTTGGTTTGCCTTATCTGGTAGACCTAAATTTGGAACACGAAACTTCTACACAGAATTGTGCGATTTTGCTCCATTGATTATTTATGGTACTTTATGCAAATGAAATGAAATTATGTCCCTTCCAGGGCATCAAATTTTTATTTTTTGACCAGTTCAAAAGTGTACCACTTAAAATTTACGATATTTGTTGTTGCGAGATGCGGATGAGCGCTACGTCATTGACGTTCTGGTTTATCATATTGAATTGCGTTATGCAGGCGAGACCGCCGAGAGCGTTTCCCTTGTTCAATGTTTTACCTTCTCTGACCTGTTTACTGGGGAGGAACTTGAATCTATGGCCTCCCATATGTTGATATAGGCTTCAGTTTTCCATCATCATCATCATTATCATCATCATCACCACCATCATCGTCGTCATCATCATCATCATCATCATCATTATCATCATTATCATCATTATCATCATCATCATCATCATCATCATCATCAACTGCGCTCCTCCTCCATGTCATCATCATGACCATTACTCTTTCATCTCAAATATTTTATTTCATATGTTACCCTGTAGGCACGTGTCCTGACCTGTTTACTGGTGAGGAACTTGAATCCTTACCCTCTCAGATGTTGACATGGGCTTAGGTTTTTGTTCATCATCATCATCATCATCATCACATTCGCACCTCCTTGTCATCATCATGACCATTACTTTTACATCTCATATATTTTATCCTATATACATGTATTACCCTGTAGGCACGTGTCCTGACCTGTTTACTGGTGAGGAACTTGAGTCCTTTGCCTCCCAGATGTTGACTGGAGCCAAGGTGGTAGCAGGACAGCGGAACCAACGTCTTGAGATGGCACAGGAGAGATTCCTGAGGACCATTATGAAGAATCTTCATGTTGTGGTCTGCATGGATTGTCAGAGTAAGTTGATGGTCATTTTTTTCTCTGTCTTAATTCTGGTCTGTCCTCTTTGCTTCTTTTGACTTGTAGTCTGTATGTATGTTTGTACTGCATGTCTGTTGTCTATCTGTCTTTCTTGTTTGAAGATGCATGTTCTTGTATGCCTCTCTTTGTTCCTCCATGTCTTTACCTCTCTCTTTATCTCCCACTCTGTCTCTCTTTTTTTTCTTTCAATTTCGCTCTTTGTTCTTCAATCTATATTCCTTCCAAAGCCTTTTGGTTTTAGTACTCTCTTCCCTCAAATTTAGTGAAGATGATGATCTGATATTTACCTAGCCAATGCTTTATGGAAGTAAATGAAAATATGAATAAAGTCTCCTGTGTAGAAATCACACATGTAACAATTTTTGTAGTAAAATGTACACCAACATATGAATTAACTTAACTCTCTTTGTTTAGAAATCACAAATGTACATTTTTGTTATAAAAAAAAGGTAAAAAGTGACATCATTATTTTTTTTTTGTCTTCTTCCAGATCACAATTTGGGAAGTCTTTCAGATCGTCTGAGAAGGTATCCAATCCTGCTGAACTCCAGTCACTGTGTTGATAGCTATCTACCCTGGACTCAAGAGGGCCTGGCAAGAGTAGCGCAGCACTGGCTGAAGGTACCCACCAGAGATGCTTACACTGATAAGGTATGGTGGCTGCTAGTATGCAGATGATAGTAATGTACAGAGATGACTACTCGTTCAGTTATGACTTAATGGATGTTAGCATGAGAACAGGAAGATTATTCTCTCAATAGGTATGTCTTCATCAGCTCGAGATTTCCAAATAGCCCGCTATTTCTGATTGGGGAAATAAGCAAGAAGTTACAAATCGCGTCCTCATCAGCTCAAGACTCGACCTCTAATCTTGAAACTCGAGCTCAAGATATTTTGCTCAGCGTTCATGCATAGTGCGAGTCTTCGGGCTGGTGAAGATGCACCGGACAAATAGTGGGATATTTTGCAAACTAGCCCAAGAGATCTTGGGATGATTATTTCGACCAAATATCCTGCTAATTTTAACCGCGGGCTGATGAAGACAGCTAGCCTAAAGAGATGGTAGTCACTTTCCATGTGCAGTAGGTCATAATTCGCTGACACCAGACTTGGTGGAAATACAATTGATGGGTGCACAAGTCTTGCACACAGCAAGCCCGTAGTCCCATCAAGAAGTATTCCCTAGTCTATCTCAGAGTCTTTGGGTGAGGGAAATGTAAGATAATGACTTTTCCATATGGGGCGTTTGGTGGAAAATGCAGAGCATTATGTAAGGCCTACTAGTCGTATAAGTGAAGGCTAGTCCTGGTGAAGACAACACCTGTTACTGGGTAAACACCAGAATGGTGTCGAATTCCCCATGAGAGCCCACTACTATGTATCTTTAAGTGGTTAATGCACTTAAGTAATGAGTGGATATTTTCTACGGCAACATTTCGTCATATATAGGGTGAGGGCTTGGGTCATGGCTAGGCATAATTCCATTTCATTCTGTGTGTCAAAATCGCAGCGTAAATTCATTAAGTTATAATGGCAAATTTGGGGGGACAAGATCCTTCTTAGAAAGTGGTGAAATTAGCAATGTATAATTCACTTTTACAGTACCATGTCCAGAATCAGAGGCAACAAACCAGAATCTGAACTATACATACATCAATTGTAATTCTAATGAACCAATTACTCTATCCATTATCTATGCAAATTTGAAGATAATTTGTCTACTGAAAGTCCAAAGGGTTATAATAATGCCTATCATTTTACATTGTGTCAAGTTTTGTTAAGCCTGTCTGCACTAGTTTGGCCAGGGAGGATTAGACGTCCTTGCAATGTCACTGACAGGTGATTATCTCATCAAATCAGCTCTCAATTAATATAAGAAAAAGGGGACCATGAGGGACCAATGGTCGCAAGTAGCTGCAGTGGGGCTTTTGGCTTTGTTAGCACCCTTCTTGCTCTAAGATTGTCATATCATAGTTTTCTACTGAAATAGAATAATGTCCTACCACAAGAAATCATATGTCTCCTCTACCTGCCTCCTTCCCTCAGCGTATTCGACTTCCCTGGCCCTCTCACTTCCAAGACCAAGGAGTGGAAGCGCTGTGCCAGGCCATGGCCTACGTGCATACCACGGCTGCAGCGACCACCGAGAGGCTCTATGTCAAACCTTTCAAATTCTTCACTCCGAGGAACTACCTGGATTTCCTGGACCTCTTCAAGAACCTGACCTACAAGATCACCAAGGAGGAGAGGGTAAGATTTTCATTTATTTATTTAACATGGATGCTACAGACCTGGTGGAACCATTAAAGACATCGTTTAACAATATAAAATCTAAAATGCATGGCCCTACATGTTATCAGTGTCTGTAATATTGAAGCCCTAAAAAATTTGCGCTTCATAATGATCATGAAGTGACTCAAAAGAGTAAAAACCTTTGAGTGACCGGTTTTACCATACTTATTTTCCCCAATAGACTGTAGGATTATAAAAGTCGTTAGGAAAACAGTTTTTGAAATTTCTATTTCCAACCATAAATATGTTGATAATCAGACAGGCGATCGGCTTGTAAAAGTCATGGGATTCCTGACTGACCTAAAGGTTTATAATTATGATTGCAGCATGAGCTAAATCCAGGATTTTGTTTCAGAATCTGAGGCAATGTTACCGATCGAGTCACTTTAAAGGGGAAGTCTGGCCTCCCTGATATTAAGTTGGTTTTAATACAAGCAGAAAAAAATGAGAGAAAGTTTGAGCAAAGACCAATCAAAAATAAGAAAGCTATTGATTTTTGAAGGTGCTATCAATCAAACACAAATTTACAACTCTGTGATGTATCTTGGGCAGCATAAGTCTAATATTTCTCCCTTTGCTATCTGGTTGATATCTTCTAAGGGGTTTTAACCAGCTTAACTGGAGTCTTTCCTCTCCAAATCAGAGTGATGAAATATAACAATGATGATTGGTGATAATCATACAATATTGGCTTCTAGATATTCAAAAATCAAACTCGTTCTAGAAAATAAGCAGGAAAACGTGCCCTCATCCCTCCCTCTCAAGTCTTTGTGTAGTTAAACTAATACGAGGGGAACTTAAAACGGGCTTAATTGAAATGTTCATTTGTTTTATCACACTGACACAGGCGAATGTGGATAAGTTTGAAGAGGCACTGGACAAGGTGAATGAGGCCTTTTCCAGCATATCTGATTATCATGCCGAGATTGCTGCCCTCAATCCACAACACCAGAAGGCTAAACAACGTACGGAGCAGATTCTGGAAGAGGTTCATGAGTGCGAGCAGATATTTGCAGATGTGAGTGAATTTTCTTGGGCAACTTTTATGTATTTAATATGTACATACAAAGTTACCGCATACTCCTGATGTAAATAAATTATCATCAAACTGATGGTATGTTGCCAGATATTGCTTTGAAGAAGTCTGTAATGTTTTGAATACCAAACCGTAGCAATGGAATGATATTATTTCTTCAAAGAGCATCTAAATATCCATGAGTTTGTGAAAATACCATTGTCAAACTTATCATAATATGTGAAGTTATTGAACCTCTTGAAGCTACGTGTATATGTACATGTATATCGTATCTTGTGTGTCCTTCTGTCCTATACACATGAGCACCATATATACAGTTGTTTAACTTTACACATAAAAGCACTGTATTAAACTTTCAAGTTTAGAACATGTCATTGTGTAACTCACATGCTTTAGATCATCCAGGATAAACAGAATTTAAGGTTCATCATGATTTTTCTTTTTTAGTTTTAGAAATCAATGTGAGAGAACAATTTCCTGCTTTTTTGTTAAAAAGTTAAATGTTTGCAGCTTATGCCACTTTTGGAAGGCGCAAATCGTTCAATGGTAGAGCAATATGGTCAACTAGGAGGTCCCGAATTCAAAACCAAGTCAATGGACTTGTAAGGCATTAATCCTCGTTACCAAGTCCCTTGGAGAGGACTTAAAGCTGTTGGTCCCCTTGTTGTTTAGCAGTCAGGTAAAACGATCATCATGATGTGTTTTGAAGAAGTATAATTATACATGTATGTTTATTTTAACAGGCAAGGGGTAATTGTACTGAGGATGAAAAAGAGATCACGGCACTGCAGGAACCTCTAAATGACATGAAGAAAGAAGCACAGGCAGAGCTAGATAAGGTAAGTTGAGATCTAGGCTGGTATTCAATTCCATACTTTGTTTAAGTAAAACTTTTACTAAGCATTCGGCTTGGCTAAGTGAAATTCTTAACTCTTATTCAGATTACATTTAAGCAATTGACTTTCGCAAGCTGACTTTAAGGCAAAAATACTGATAAGCATTGTTACATATCCCGGTCAATCTAAAGTAATGCTCAATTTAAATTACCCTTCACATTAAATGGGCGCTAATATTATTATGCAAAGCTTATGATGACTGCGTGAAAACCATGAGCCTGCCAATCAATACTTCCAATATAGTTGGCTTAAGTCTGCTAGGGAGCTGTCTTAAGTTTAGGGTAAAATACGTAGCCAGATCAAAGCATTGATTGAATTCCGAAGTTGGCCAAGTATTTTTTAAAGCCGAAAAATGATTAAATACTCTCATTTCTGACTGAAGTATTGAATTTAATAAAGAAAAAGCTTTAGATGATAAATGATCAAGCCAATTACCAACATATAACTTTCTTGACATCCCCCCCTCATGTGATCAGGTGAACCCTGTGTACGAGGCAGCTCTCCATGCCCTAAGGAGCTTGGACAAGTCTGCCCTGAACGAGCTACGTACATTCCATGCTCCACCAATCAAGGTCATCAATGTCATCAATGCTGTATGCCTCATGTTCAGACAACAGATGAAGTAAGCCGCCTCTCTCGATCCTTCCTATCTCCTTTTTCTTCTTCATCTCATTCTCTTTATCTATCCCCTCCTCCCCTCCCTCTTCCCCCTATCACTTTTCATCTTGCTCTCTCTCTCACAAATTTGTGAGTATGAGTATCTTGTCTCCCCCTTTTTTGTTTGTGTCTAGTTCTAACTCTTGAATTTTTTCACTCTTTCTCCATTTCATTGTGTTGGTGTATGTTTCCAACCTTTTGAAGTCTCTATTTTTACATCTTATAATTGTTTCCCCCCCCCCTTCTTTTTTTTTTTTTATCTCTATACAATTTTTAATGTACATTAAGTATATACATCATGTCACCTCCTTATTCTCAGCGTGATTACGTATCTGTTTTTATATACCCTTATCCTTATGTTATTGAGACTAATGAATACGTCTCTTCAGTGTTGCAGTCATCTTAAACAAATGATATAGTTGCTTGCTACTGTTGGTGGTTATAACACACTGATTTATGTAGTGTAAGTTATGATTGAGATAATGAAAGGTGTACATAAGGACTTTATCTTTCCAACTCCTTACACTTGGAAATTCTCATTTTGTTCAGCTGGTCCAATGGCAAGGTCCTCATCAACCGGAAGAACTTCTTCCAGGAGCTTGAGTTCTACGACAAGACCGCCATCCCCACTGACATCTTCCACAAGCTCAACGTGCTCTTCATCCAGGATCCGACCTTTGACCCCGAGGTCATCAAGACGGCCAGTGTCGCGGCCAGCTCGTTGTGCATGTGGGTGCATGCTGTCTATGCCTATGCCGTCATCCATCGCAACATGAGACCCAAGCTGCAAGGCGTGGAGGAAGCAGAGGCTAAAGTTCAAGAGGTAAGATCATTAGTCAGTTCACGTATGTAACATGCTCACGAGTAGACTAGAGTTATTTGAATTAAAATATAACATCAACTGAGAAAAATAGTGGAAAAGTGGTTATACTAACAGTTACATGAACATTGTAATCATTGTGCATATGCACCTACATTACTCTAATTCAACCGTAAACAGTTGGAAGTAAACATTTTTATGCCTCCGTTACGAAGTAGCCAGAGGCATTATGTTTTTGGGTTGTCCGTCCGTCCGTACGTACGTCCGTACGTTCTTTAGATAACGCGATCACGAGAACGGGACGTACGGACGTCTGTACGTCCCGTTCTCGTGATCGCGTTATCTAAAGAACCGATTGATGGATTCCTGCCAAACTTTGGTCATGTATGTATCTTGCAGAGCCGATGAACTGATTAGATTTTGGGGTCACGAGGTCAAAGGTCAAAGGTCACAGGGCTCATTATGTATGCAAAAACAGCTCGTGATCGCGTTATCTGAAGAACCGATTGATGGATTCCTGCCAAACTTAGGTCATGTATGTATCTTGCAGAGACGATGAACTGATTAGATTTTTGGGGTCACGAGGTCAAAGGTCAAAGGTCACAGGGTTCATTATGTATGCTGAAACAGCTCGTGATCGCGTTATCTCAAGAACCGATTGATGGATCCCTGCCAAACTTAGGTCATGTATGTTACTTGCAGAGCCGATGAACTGATTAAATTTAGGGGTCATGAGGTCAAGGTCAAAGGTCATGCAGCTCATTATGCATGCAAAAATAGCTTGTGATCGCATTATCATTAGAACAGATTGATGGATTCCTCCCAAACTTAGATCATGTATGTTTCTTGCAGAGCCAATGAACTGAGTAGATTCTTGGGTCATGAGGTCAAAGGTCATGGGCTCATTATGTATGCAAAAATAGCTTGTGAACGCATTCTCATTAGAACTGACAGATGGATTACTATTTTACTCGGGACATCTTGCAGAGCCAATGAACTGAGTAGATGTTAGGGTCATGTGGTCAAAGATCAAAGGGTCATATATGTATATGAGAAATTGCTTGTAATCACGATATTCTGAGAACCTGTTAATGGATTACAATTGAACTTGAATTTGAACAATTTCTTCTGTTTTGGTTTGTAAAATTGCTCTATGACGGAGGCATCATTTCGACTGCGCGCAGTCGAAGTTCCATCTAGTTAATGAAGCATCTCCATCTCTTTCGGAGTTCTAAACAAAACTCCTCCTAGTAGAATCTGTAGCTATGCATGTACAGGTATTTGGGGTAATTACTACCGATTGCCAGATATGAACCAGGACCCTTCTTATAAAGAGTTGATATCAATCGCAACTTATTTGCGATTGATATCAATGGCAACTATGTACATAAGAGGTGGGAGACTGCAAACTTGTGATTGATTGGAGGACTCCGATTGATTTGGATCACTCACAACTCTTTTATAAGTCTGGGCCCTGATCTATTTGTTATCCTCTTGGTAGTGATCTTTTCAGCTTCCTCCCTGCTTCCTCCCTGCTTCCTCCTCCCTCAGGATGAACACCTTTCATCTGCTTGTAAATATTCTTATCTCCTTGCCTGCCTTCTTACTTATAAAGATCACAAGGGACATAGATGTATAGTTTCAATAATGTTACTGAATGTCATTCAGACACATTTCAAGCTTGTTTAAAGACGCATAGTGGGCTCTTACAGAGAAATCGACACCAATTGGGTGTATATCCAATAACAGATGTTATCACCAGGATTAGCCTTGCCAATAGGGGCCTTCTGTAATGCTATGCATTTTCCACCCATTCCCCCATATGGCAAAGTCTTTATCTTCACCCCAAGACGCTCCGAAGACCATCTGAAGACTCTCCGAGAGACTAGGGGGTATTTTCTTTTTTTTTAAGACTACAGGTTTGCTGTGTGCAGACTTGTACATTAATGGCATTTCCACCAAGTCTGATATCAGCGAATTATGACTTACTGCTCAAGAACTGATGACTATCTCCCTTTAACATGAAATGTCATTCCATTACTAGCTTTATTTACCTGGCTTTTTTGGTGTGTATGCCAACCCTTTGTATATATAGGCACAAGGTCATCTTGGCAGCAAGCGAGTGAAGGCGCAGGACATGAAAGGAATTCTGGAGCAGAAGCGCAAGGAATATCAAGAGAGTATCAGACAGGTCAAACTCTATGAGAAGAAAATGCAGACCATTGAGACCAAGATCAAAGTAGCTACAGATATGATGGGCAACATGGAAGAGCAGCACAAGAGCTGGAAGGACAGTCTGGACCTGTCTAACAGCCACCTCCAGACTGCTCCTGGTGACTCCCTCCTGGCAGCGGCCTGCACCACCTACATGGGCCCAATGGATGAGACCACCAGAGCTCTGGTGCTTGCCGATTGGCTGCATGCCTGCAGTAATGGGAGATACCAAGTTGTACCGGGGAGGGGCAGCACGCCGAATGGGAGGGAGAATTCCTTTGCAGCAAGTCCTGCTCTGAATGCGGTATGAGCAATGTTCCTAATTGAATTGAATGATATATCTTACATCGTTTATTTGGTAGACATTAGTTTCTAGCATGATGACAAGCCTTACCAAAAATATGCTAAGGTGTTCTTGAAAAAGACATATATCTGTGATCCATTTTATTCCCTTTATCCATTTTCTTTGTGAAGCAAAGTACTGTAGCATAGTTAAAATGGAATCAATTAAAAATGTATTGATTAAACTTTTCAGGATGATGCATATAGCCATGTTTTTAATGATATGGAGTGGTTAAACAATGCAAAGGGACAATGACAAGATAATAGAAATGAGAGCAAGTTTTGAAAACTGCAAGGAACATATTTTAATCAACAAGACCCCTCTCTCTTTCCTAAACTAGGCGCGAGAGGTCAATGGTGTCCTACCTGACAACGACAGCCCTTCAGCAGAAGTTGATCTTCCTCCGCAGCTGTCCATCATTGACGAGGACAACGATGATGGCAGCCACGGTTCGACGCCCAGGAGAGAACAGCCAGAATCTGAGATTAACCCTGCTGTACCCATCAGACAGAATTTCAGTGTAGAAGGTACGTAAGCAGAGGAAAAATATGAATGAAGGAAAATGTTTAGATTGAGGTTAAGAGCAAGTCCGGTAGGTAGGGATGTTTTGTAACTGCAAACAGCTACAAGCTATGTACTGTTGGACTGGTACATGTTTGTTTCAGATTGCATACTTGTAATAAGTGTCGTAGTCGAGTGGTTTAAGCACTTGACTTGAAATACAAAGGTCGTGGATCGATCCCCGACACGGCACTAATGTCCCTTGGCAAGGCATTAATCTACATTTGCCACACTCTACCCAGGTGAGGTAAATGGGTACCTGGCAGGAATTAATTCCTTGAACTGCTAGAGCGTTGAATGGCAGTAAGACTAAAGGCGGGGTAATCACTAATTGGTGCGCTTTTGGAATAGAACTGTCTAGAAAGATGGTGCGATCTAAAATTGCCTGTTATTATTAATTATTATTGTTTATAAAAGATGAACATTCATGGTAAGTTTTTTTAATGAGTTAGGCAGGGTTCAATGCAGGTATTACCCACACAGAAAAGAAAATGCTCTTGCCTAATGTTTGGCACATACATGTAGTTGGGTATCCAGGGGGGTGTTTCACAAAGCCTTTTTTCAATGACAAATGACAAAAACCAGTGACAAATCTGCTGATAGCCAATCAGAAGTAGCTTATGACAAAATTGTCATTTGTCACTGATGACAAGTTTTGTGAAACGCCCTCCAGATGTTTGTTTTTATTACATATTTTCCCCCTTCAAATTCCTTTACCATTAACCTATGGATTGACTTCTACAATTATTTAGGTGTACTAAATGGAATATGAGACATTGACTATTATGTAAAGAGTATATCAATTTTGTGCAAAGGTCATTGCAAAAAATGTTTTACATGGCTGTATTCAAGATTAAATGTTGTTTGTTGTTATATTTTCAATTTTATGACATTTTTCTTTTTGTCCCTGTTTTCCATCAATGTAGATATCCTTAGTGATAAGGAAGAGCTAGACAACTGGAGGCACAGCAGCAGCGTGGTGTGCGATCAGTTCTCAGTGGACAATGCGCTATATACCCGTGCGTGTATAATCGGAAGACGGCGTCAGTGGCCACTCCTGATCGACCCAGATAACCAAGCTCTTAGCTGGATAGTGCAGCTGCAGGAGAAAGGATTGGCTAGTTTCCATGAAATTGTATATGAAGAGGAAGAAGAGGGTAAGAAACACAGTGGTAGAATAAGGGTTGGAGGCCACAACCAATCTTTACCCTCAACCCACCTTTAACCCCCACCCCACCTTTATCCCACACCCACCTTTACCCCCACCCACCTTTACCCCCACCCACCTTTACCCCCACCCACCTTTATCCCCACCAACCCCCCACCACCTTTATCTCCACCATTATCCCCAACCTTTATCTCCACCCACCTTTATCCCCACACACCTTTACCCCCACCACCTTAATCTCCACCTTTATCTCCACCCACCTTTACCACCACCCACGTTTACCCCCACCCACCTTTACCCCCACCCACCTTTACCCCCACCCACCTTTATCCCCACCAACCTTTACCCCACCACCTTTATCTCCACCATTATCCCCAACCTTTATCTCCATCCACCTTTATCCCCACTCACCTTTACCCCCACCACCTTAATCGCCACCTTTATCTCCACCCACCTTTACCACCACCCACGTTTACCCCCACCCACCTTTATCCCCACCCACCTTTACCCCACCACCTTTATCTCCACCATTATCCCCAAACTTTATCTTCACCCACCTTTATCCCCACCCACCTTTACCCCCACCCACCTTTATCTCCACCCACCTTACCCCCACCCCCCTTTACCCCCACCCACCTTATCCCCCACCCACCTTTATCCCCCACCCACCTTTACCCCCACCCACCTTTACCCCCACCCACCTTTACCCCCACCCACCTTTACCCCCACCCACCTTTACCCCCCACCCACCTTTACCCCCACCCACCTTTACCTCCACCCACCTTATCCCTCACCCACCTTTATCCCTCACCCACCTTTACCCCACCACTTTTTTTTACCCAAACCACCTTTACCCCACCCACCTTTATCTCCACCCACCTTATCCCCCACCCACCTTTACCCCCACCCACCTTATCCCCCACCCACCTTTATCCCCCACCCACCTTTATCCCCCACCCACCTTTACCCCCACCCACCTTATCCCCCACCCACCTTTATCCCACACCCACCTTTACCCCCACCCACCTTATCCCCCACCCACCTTTATCCCCCACCCACTTTTACCCCCACCACCTTTATCCCCCATCCACCTTTATCTCCACCCACCTTATCCCCCACCCACCTTTAACCCCACCCACCTTATCCCCCACTCACCTTTATCCCCTACCCACCTTAATCTCCACCCACCTTATCCCCCACCCACCTTTACCCCCACCTCATTACCCACCTTTTTCAAAATTGTGCCCCCCCCCCCCCTCCCTGATGCACCCCTGAAATATGTTGACCCACAAGGGGTTTTTGCTTGCTCTGCTTCACTGCAGTAGATAGTTCAATCCACTCCAATTTTGATTGTTTATATACTCTGTAGGGGCAAGGAAATGCTTTTCTATGTTATTAAAATCGAACATGGATTTATGCATTAAAAGTTTTAAAGTAGCTATCATGAATTTTAAAAAAAAGTGAAGATGAACCACGAAAAAAGAAATAAAATATAATTGACAATTGAAAGGAAAAAGTTGCCTCATTTTTATATCAATGTGATAGTCATTTGTAAACTTAATGGCACTCACCATAAAGGATTGATTATGAATTTCTGTCTTATATCACATAGAGTTTATCCACATATGCATTCAAAGCATCACAAAGCATTGATTATTAGATATTCTTGTTATTTTGTTATCAAAGCATATTTTCTGTTCACTCATGAAGTTCTGTAAATCTTATATGTATATCCGGGGCATACAGCTTTACAAGCTTGCTTTCATGTAGGTCCCATGATATTTCTCTCAGTTAAATCAGCTCCCTATATTGATTAATTATCTTTGTTATTTATTATGTATTATTGATTGTTATTTTATCACAAAAAAACAAACAAACTTGTACTTTATTTTAATATGTATATGTTACATGAAAATACATGAAATAAATGAAAAATGAAATATCTCTTGCTTGATTACCTAACTTTTGACCTTTGACCTCTCATGTGACACAGAGGAATCTTTCGTCCAGGATGGTGGTCTGGAGGAAGAACTGAACAACCCCCAGCTGACGGAGGAGCATCTGATGGAGAGCAGGAACCTGGAGAGTGTAGCGACCTCAAACTTTGGTCTGAGTAGGGCCGATCAGAGCTCTCTTGGGGGAGAGACAGACTATGGCACGGAGTTTCCTGAAACACCTAGGACACTCACCACGTAAGTCATAGTCCTAAGCTAGGTAAAACAACTCTTAAAGCCCCACTGCACTACTTATAGCTACTTGCGCCTTCTATATAGCAAACAATGCCTAATCGGTGCCTGTTGGTCCCCCATGATCCCCTCTTTCTTATGTTAATTGAGAGCTGATTTGATGAGATAATCACCTGTCATTGAGGTCTATTCCCCCTGGCCAAACTAGTGCAGACAGGCTTTAAGTTCTCAAGTATCAGGGTTCAGTTTCAATTAATCTGAATCGATCACAAGACGTACAATCAATGAACTGCAAACTTATTGGGGCTCATCGCTTAAGAACAGAGTTGCAATTACTATCAATCTCCAGTGAAGGCACATGTGATGCGGATGAATTCCAACTCTTCATAGGACGAAGCCTAGGGCAATGGCTAATGATTCAAATGTAGAGTATGTAATAAGTGCATTTTTCTTTAATTTCTTAAATTGCATATTTTTGAAGTAAACTCACTGTAATGTGTAGATAATATGCAAAAGTGTTTAAGTATAGCTCAATTGAGTAGTGATAATTAATTTGTAGTTTGTTTCATCGTCTAATAGTGCTTCATAATTAGTGGAAAGGTACTAAATTCAGTTGACCATATTTTACTATTTTCATTTTACGATTGTTCCATGTTTATAAAGGAATGGTGGAGTAACTCCTAAGGACAACATGAGCGAGAAGGACTTTGACATCCACAGTATGGGCACCAGCAACCACTCCATGACAACCCATCCCTTGTCCGTCGACCTCGACGGTGCACGACCCTTCTCTAACCTCTGGGTCGTGTCGGCCGACGACTTCCTGCTGGAAGAGAGGTTGATCCAGTCCGTCGTAATGGGACTGAGTTTGGTCGTCACGAACCTGGAAAGGAAGGACTTGGATGTGAAGTTTAATGACGTGTTGAGTAGGAATGTAGTGGAGAATGAGGAAGGGGAGAAGTCGGTGAGGATCGGAAGCCACATGTACAGCTATAACACAAGATTCCACCTCTATTTGACAACATCTGTACCTCTAGAGTTGGATGGTAAGCATAATGATCTTTTTAAAAAGTATTATTTACTAACATTACATTTCAAAAATATCTTTCCCTGTTCATTCTCACTATTTTGTTACCCTGAAATAACCCTCCAGATATAGCCTACAACAAACAAGCATTGCTTTTACCTTGGACCCCCTCATCTCCACTTTTATTTAGTCCCTAATTTGCAAGTAGCTACAACTGTACTAGCAAACCAAAGTGATGTTATTGTTATATTATTATAATCATTATACTTCTTGTAAACAACACTGAAACATGAAATGTGAAATATGAAAATAAACTGAATTATATCTGGACTGCAGAACTGTAATTTAGTATAAATGGATTTCTTGTCTACAAACGGTCCTCAAGTAGTTCCATTATTGTACCACATATCAATTCTCAAATAAAGTTCGATTTGATTTGATTTGATTTATTTATTTCTGTTTGATTTTCTTTTTCTTTTGCATTTTTACAAATATATAACAAACAAATATTGCAAATTTACACATGACAAAAGAATATATGTAGAATAAAGTAAGGCTGGGTGTAACTAATCGAGAACATCAAACAGGAGGGTTGACAAAATAAGCAAAGCTTGATAGTATGACTATCCTCAAAGGATACATAATAATACAAATATGGAGGAACAAAATATTGGTAAAAGGGGGAAAAGACAGAAAAAAGAAGAGAAAAGAAAGAGGGGATGCACATCAATATTCACAGACTTATGTGGTAGTTGGATTTCAAATTGATATATAAAGATTTTAAATAAGAAAAGAAATGCAAATTTGAATACTGAGTGGCCAACTTGGGATACAATAGAATGAGAAGACTTGCGAGGTTCGGTCAGTAAGAATGTGAAAGTAAGATCAGCCAGCTGGTTTTAAACCTGGGCCTAAATATTTCATTTTGGAAGTACCCTAGTATTATCATGGTGCTTTATGTAATTAGCAGCTCTATATGATTTCATTATTATTACCATTAAATTTCTAGTACCCAAGTTTCATTTTCCAAGTGCGGTAAAGAATTTTATTTCACCCTGGATTTACCATGTATAAATTTCTACCTTTGTGAACAAATGATCATATGTATAAACAAATTTAATCCAATCTTTTTCCACGACAGGAGAGGTGCTTTATTAGGATTATTGAGAGGGTTCAACCACATACATGTGTACTTACTAAAAAATGAAATATTTCACTTTCGTGATGTGAATGTGTTTCTTTGTGATTGATATACAGTCAAACCTGCTTTAGTGACCACCTGTCTACAATGACCACATTTTTCCCCCCTTGAAAATGGTTTCTCATTGAAACATGTACTTTATCAGGAACCTGTACATAAAGACCACCTGCCCATAAAGACCACTTTTCTTGTCTCCCTTGGGTGGTCTTTATAGACAGGTTTTACTGTATCACGCTAAGATTTGAATCCCAAGCTCCATGTCAATCCCATCACAGGTGCAGGCTTCCTGAAGCCCCACACGGACCAGTTCTCTATGATTGACATGTCGGTCAACCAGGAAGGATTGAAGACCCTTCTCCTCATCGACGTCATGGATGCGGAGAGACCTGACTTCGCTAACCATCAACACTCTGTCAAGTCTGATATAAGAGGACATAATAAGATGCTCCAAGAAACACATGTAAGAAACTCTCCTCCCACCTTTCCTTTTGACCCCGACCCCTTCCCCTTTGCCCCCTTTAGCTTCCCCTTTGCCCCCCCCCCTTTTTTCTTTCCCTTTGCCCACTTTGCTTTCCCCTTTCCCCCCCTTTACTTTCCCCTTTGCCCCCTTACCTTCCCCTTTCCATTTGCCCCCTTTACTTTCCCCTTTGCCCCCTTTACTTTCCCCTTTGCCCCCTTACCTTCCCCTTTCCATTTGCCCCCTTTACTTTCCCCTTTGCCCCCTTTTCCATCCCCTTTGCCCCCTTTACCTTCCTCTTTGCCCCCTATACCCTCCACTTTGCCTTGTTTACTTTCCCCTTTGCCCCCTTTACCTTCCCCTTTGCCCCCTTTACCTTCCCTTTTGCCTTCCACTTTGCCCCCTTTACTCTCCCCTTTGCCCCCTTTAGCTTCCCCTTTGCCCCATTTACCCTCCCCTTTGCCCCCCTTTACCATCCCCTTTGCCCCCTTTGCCCCCTTTGCCTTCCCCTTTAGCTTCCTCTTTGTCCCCTTTACCTTCCCCTTTAGCTTCCCCTTTGCCCCATTTACCTTCCACTTTGCCCCCATTACCATCCCCTTTGCCCCCTTTACCATCCCCTTTGCCCCCTTTACCCCCTTTACCCCCTTTACCCCCTTTACCATCCCCTTTGACCCCTTAACCTTCTCATTTCCCCCTTTACCTTCGCATTTGCCCCTTCCACCTTCTTTTTGCCCCCTTCACCTTCCACATCACTTTCCTCCTTTTACTGTACTCACTCCCCCTTACCCCCCTTTTCCCCTTTTTCTGTACCCCCATCATCATTCCATTTATTCCCTCCTCCCCTTTTTCACTGTATCTTTAGCTACCCCTCTCATGTAAATTTGTACATATACCCATTAATTGTGTATTTAGACTTACTGGACTGTAGTTTGTAATTATTTTTTCATGAAAATGTGATTTCATTTTATTTTGTTGAGATCTATATGATATTGTGTTGTGTTTTGTTTATTCATAGAATAGCACAACCATGCATTTACATAATTTTGATAGATTTTTTTCCATTTTTTTCAGAACGTGGGGGGGGGGGTCATGATCATAAACATATAGGCATATACAAAATGGAATTAGTAAGTATAAAATGGATGCCGAAATATTGCAGGTAGACCCCATAGAGTTCTATTCGTTTCAAGCTAGTATGTGATACAAGTTTGTAAACTGATAATAAACCCCTGATTTGACTAAAAAGGAATTTTAAGCAACTTTATTCATCACAATAATGTTACCTCATTGTTCACAACTTCCACCTATCTTCGACTCTGTATCCACAGCTGGATATTCTGAACAAAGTGATAGAGTTGAACCATGGTATTCTTGAGGATGCTGTATGGGGCGACACCCTCACCACCCATCACCAGACAATCCAGGACACCAGCTCCAACCTCAAGGAGAGCTGCAACCTCCTGGAACAGCTCCTGGTAAAGCAACATCCTTATCAATCCGTCGCAGAGCACGGTACCCTCCTATACTCCACCATCAAACGCATCTGGCAGCTCCTCCCGACGTACTACATCCCTCTCCGCCGGTTTATTCGCTGGTACGCCAAGACGCTCCGTGCCCGCGAGAAGGACCGCACAGATACCGCCTCGCTCAAGGCGCGGGCGGTGGAGCTCTGCAATGCTCTCACGGAGGAGATTCACGCTTATCTTTCATGCGGACTCTTCCAGCATCACTCTGATCTCTTTGTATTTCTGGTTGCAATGGAGAGGATGCGGTCGTCAGGGGAGATATCGCAAGCCGAATGGGGTCTGCTTGTCAATGGGCTGGATGGAGCAGTACCTAGAGAACGGGAGACTGTGTTTGATGATGCTAATGATAGCACTGTGATTCCAGAGTGGCTTACTAATGAGGTAAATGCCCAAACTCTCTTTATCATATTTAACAAAAGGAATATGTATGCAGAAACCTTTGGATTTTGTATACAGGGACTAGAGCTTTCAGTCATAATAAAATAAAAAAAATTATCTGTTTACTCTATCAATATGATCATCCTAATAACTTTCACATTTTATGCCTACTTGAATACTGTGTTACGAAAAGAGATGGTTTTCAACAACATGTTACTGTCATTATTACAATGATATTATTATCAGAAGTATCACTCTTACAAATAATGATTTACATCTGTACTAAGGATATCACTTGCTCTATTAAACGCAAATAAAAATGAAAAAAAGATATATACTGTATATCTTTTAGCTTTCCATCATACAGTCCCTTTAAAAAAACTACTTATATCTCAATATGTCAGTGTCTGTGTTTCCCCGATCAGATTTGGATCAAGTGTGGTCACCTAGAGCAGTTGGTTCCAGCCTTCCACGGTCTGAGGCAATCCATGCTTCGTCACTCCAGCCAGTGGAAGGAATACTTCTCCTGCAAACCCGTTCTCCTGGCTCCCGTGCCTGGCCCAGACCTTCAGAACCTCAGCTTCTGCCAGAAAGCGCTGCTGTGGCGGGTGGTCCTTCCCGACCGGCTGGCTGTGATATGCAGGCACCTCGTGGTCTATGAGCTAGGAGCCCACACGGCACGTCCAGAGGTGTACAACGCTGAGGAAGTCCTGCAGAGAACCTCCAGGAATATCCCTCTGATCTTTGTCCTTCCTGCAAGCTACCATGATGGGGAACAGACTGGAATGGAAGGTAACTAAGAGTTCACTTTTCTATGCTACCAGTAAATTTTAGTTACTAATAGCTGGAGATATATGTTTTACTGGTGACTCAACCATTTCTCTGGCAGTAGTTGCTTCTCGCTATACTTTGACAAAGATATGCGGTTAGGTTGGGGCTGCAATTGAGTATTACATTACGATTAGGGATATGAGTAGGGTTAAGTGTTTGGTCGAATGTTAATGTTAGAAATTTGGTTAGTGTTGGCTCTGAACAAATTGCCACCGGGGCATCTGTCCGAGAACGGTATGACAGTCATAGATGTATGCTCTGTAATGCATAATGTGAACATTTTGTATAATCGTGTTTTATATAATTATGTATCTACTGATTTGATTTTATGTGTTCTCAGTCCCTTGGAAAGGACCTTAAGTTGTAATCCCCTGAAGCTTGATTTTAAGAGTACACCCTGCTCTATCAATCACACTATGTAATACAATCAATCAACCAGAAGTTCCTCTTACGTTTATCTTATTCTGAAATACCACCTTCAGGTCACTCAGTAATAGAACCCCTTCACAAGGTCACTCTGTACTGCAAGCAGAATACTGTAAGAAGCAGATGTGCCAGCTAGACCCTTAATGCCTGCGTGGCAATGAAAAACTTAATAGAATTCAATAAATGAAAATTTTCTCTCCTTTATGTCTCATTCTGAAATACCACCATCAGGTCACACAGTAATAGATCCCCTTGCTGAGATCACTCTCTACTGCAAGCAGAAGAACGTCCGCACTGTTATCAACACCGTCTCGCTGGGCAATGAGAAGCAGATGAGTCAGGCTGTGGATGCCTTGCAGGAATGTGTCATGCATGGTCATTGGCTGATTCTCAACAACTGCCAGGCTGTCGACCAGTGGAGTGAAGAGTTCCTTCAAATCATCCAGGTAATCATATGTGCTCTTGATGTATTAAAGTACTTGCATCTTGATGTATTCATTAAACATTTTGGTGTTTACACTTTTCTTAAAGGTAAAGACCAGTATTGGAAACGCCCCAATTTCAAAAAATGAAATGGAAGCTCTCATTACCAATCATGTGAAAGAATATGTTTTGACTAATACATGATGATAAAAAAATTTGCCGGGAAACCGCCTACTAATTCATATATTTGGTAAATTTGTTTCTCTCATGGTCTGTGAGAGATATAGGGCAGTCCCATATACATCTTTCTGTGTATAGTGCTTGTAACTTTACGAAGAATGGGCCAAATTTCTTATCATTTTGATGATTCCAGAACCTTGCAGATGCTAAATGCTAGATGATCAACCTTTTCTGATCGATTCCACAACGTTTCGTTCACAATGCAATCGCATGACCATAACTGGTCTTTACCTTTAAGTTTTAATGATGGCTTTGAAAAAGATTTGTCATTGTTTGACAAAGCTGAAACTTTGTATGTCATCTTCCTCTCACGGTTGTTTTCTTTACTTATTGCTTTCTTGCATACTTCAGTGTTCAGCACGTGGTCTGTGAGGACTGTTTCTATTGACTCTTTACTGTCTGCCGCTGACTTATGAAACAATCTTTGGACTGCCACAGTCGACTTGTGTCATACATACATTGTAAATGAGCTTTTTATTATCCCCTTGCCGATGAAGTCGGAGGGGATATAGTAACGCTCCTGTCCATCCTTCCTTCCGTGCGTGCGTGCGTTCGTCCGTTGGTAACAAATTTGGTTTCCGATCGATAACTTAATTAATTTTTTGTTGTTGAATGTAATGCTTCCTGGAAGAAATTTCAATTATTTAAACATATTTGTGGCTTACACCCAGTAAATAAGATCGATTGATCAATCTGTTTTGAAAAACCACTGATGGCCTGGTGGTAGAGTCGCTGCCCGGCAAGCAGTAGATGGCAGGTTCAAGTCCCGCTGGTTCCAAGATTTTTTCTGACTTGTTTTTCAATACAGATCGATCAATCAATCTTATTTACTGGGTGTAAGCCACAAATATGTTTAAATAACTTCAGTAATGTTTGACGGATTTTAATGAAATTTGATATGAAGGTACATGATATCAAAATACAGGCTAAGTTCGATTTCGGAGTATGTAGGTCATACATGTAGCTCATTAAATATGCGAAAAAATACACATCTGGTTTCCAATCGATAACTTTAGTAATGTTTGACAGATTTTGATGAAATTTGATATGAAGGTACATGATATCAAAATACAGGCTAAGTTCGATTTCGGAGAGTGTAGGTCAAAGGTCATAGCTCATTGAATATGCAAATCTGGTTTCCATTCGATTACTTGAGTAATGTTTGACAAATTTTAATGAAATTTAATATGAAGGTACATGGTATCAAAATACAGGCTAAGTTCGATTTCGGAGAGTGTAGGTCAAAGGTCATAGCTCATTAAATATGCAAATCTGGTTTCCATTCGATAACTTGAGTAATGTTTGACAAATTTTAATGAAATTTAATATGAAGGTACATGGTATCAAAATACATGTACAGCCTAAGTTCGATTTCTGAGTATGTAGGTCAAACGTGAAAGGTCATAGCTCATTAAATATGCAAAAACACCTAATTATATATGTGAAAATGTGGTTAACTTCCTTGCCTAGTAATATAATAGTATAGGCCATTTGTACCCTGCGAGGGGATGCTACGCTTCGCGTTGACTTGTCTTTTTTATGTAGCACCTTGTGACACCAGCAACTAACGTTGATAAGACTCTGCCTGCCAAGCTGGTGGAGAAGACCAAGCGAGACCACTCCACAATAACAGACATGATGTGGCAGTCGAGGATTGTTTGGCCCATAACAAATAAAGAGTTACTACAATGTTTCAGTACAAACCTAACATACATTGTATATCAACTTTTCTTTTTCATGTAGCACCTTGTGACTCCTGCAACTAATGTTGATAAGACTCTGCCTGCCAAGCCTGTGGAGAAGACAAAGCGAGACGACTCCACAATAACAGACACTACGTCCCAGGCATCTCGTTGCCCGTCCAGTATGTACGAGGGTATGGAAGTCCATTCTAACTTCAAGCTTATCTTCATCACTACGGCTGACAGCAGGACTCCTCTTCCTGGTATGAAGATTATTTCATTCATAGTCAATATTAAAGCGGAACTGCACTACTTGTAGCTACTTGTGCCCTCTATACAGCCAATAATGCCTAAGCGGTACCTGTTGATCCCCATGGTCCCCTTTTTATTATGTTAATCGAGAGCTGATTTGATGACACCTGCCAGTGACCATGCAGGGAGGTCTAACCCCTCCTGTCCAAACTAGTGCAGATAGGTTTTAAATAGGAATAAGCTTAGGGTACATTGTGTTGTGTCATTGTACAACCATTATGTCTGCTTAAGAAAATATACTCTACATGTCATAAACTTTCTTTTAAAAAAATACTTCAAATTTGTAGCCCTTAACCTGTTGAATACTGAATTCTTGCATTCCCATAGGCTTTACACAGGGACCAACCGGTTCCCGTAGACAATGGGTTAATCTCTTATTATGAATGTTTAATCTTTGAAGAAAAAATCTATTTAGGAATTATATATGTTTTTGTATGATGATCTTTCAGGGTTAGTGATTCAGAATGGTATGCAGGTGGCTTGTCAGACCAATACTAACTTCAAAGCAACACTGAGGACCTTCTTCAACCAAGCCATGGCTGCCGTAGATCAACATAAACACATGGTTACCACTACACAGGCCAAGGTAAGGCACCAGGAAACCAAGACACCCTTACAGTTCAAGCTAGCTGGTTTAATGTTTTGTCTTTCACTTTAAACTTTACAGATTCAAACCACATTAGTACTGAATATTCTATAAAAAAAAAAAAATTGCCAACAGCTTGTGGTAGAAAATATATAAAATTATATTTTGCTATTTGGTGTGACAAAAACCAACAGAAGCAATTGCCGTGGTATTCATGTCGTTATTTGTTCAGAGACAGAAGGGCGTTAACTCATATCCTGCTATAAGGCTGCTTGCACGCTACCGTTATAGTGCTTTGTACACACTAGCGCGCTATCGATTGGTTGCTTCATTCCTGCGAGCGAGCTACGTACCGCTTATCTGCTTTGTGCATGCATGCTCACATTCGTAATAGCAGTTATTGTTCATGCCCATTGCACTGTGCCTAGTGTTTTGCACACGATATTGATAGTACCATCGCGTTAATCCGATTATCTCAAAATTAACTTGGCACAGGGGATTTGAGGCTTGGCACAATGGGGATTAGCCCTGTGACATTAGGCTGTATTCATTATGGCAGGATAAGAGTTAATAAATACATGTACATGTGTATGAGATGACACACTATTCTTGCTTTGAAAAAACAAGTTATTGGAATTATGAAAAGGGTTGAGAAACTAATCCTGTGGCATCCGAAAGATTTTTTAAATCAGTGTTCTTTTGATATGTTATGATACGTGATGTTCTTGATTATGCCTTCAATATTTTTAAATGGTTGCTTATTTGACAACCACGTGCATCAAAAGCACAAGGCTCTTTTCAAGCTCTTTGACAATCACACTTTTTTACGTGTGAATTAATAATCATTTATTGTATTACTTCTTTGTCCCTTTTTTGTGTTAATTTTTTATGATCATCTTCCTATAAGTTTTTGTAACTTATTTGATGATCCAACCACTTTGTTACTTCCTTTTGGGTATTTTCCATTTTATTGGCTTATCTATGTTTGCAAGAAATATTTTATTGTAGTCTTTGACTTTGTATGTTTTTACGAAAGTGGTGAATAAATTCAATTCAATTCAATGTTATATACATGTATGCTATAGTATAACAAAATGTAGTATGAAAGCATCAGTATATTAAACATTGAATATTAAACGATGCTGATATTAATTTGTAATATTTTATTTTTCAACAGAGTTTGACCGAGTTGGTGTTCTGCATGGCCTTGCTACACACTGTGCTCTCACATAGAAGGCTGTTCTATCAACTTGGCTTCAACAAAGACTACTCATGGTAAGTGAATTTGTGTGAAATTGGGTTTTTTTACAGACGTGAATCAATCAGATATGATTATTTACGTCTGGGGACCGACCTTGGACGTCACCATCCAAAAGACGTGACTCAGTTTCGAACCAGGGTCCAGTGGGCCAGTTTATAGGTGAAAACGAAGAGCTGACCAAGTGAATGTACCGGCCGCTAGACCAACTCACATCTCCTTCTTCATATCATAATATTCAATTTCTTTATTAGTAAACTATCTGTAAATTCATCAACTACATCAAATTTCTTCAAGCACTTTCCCAATGCCTGGTTTACCATTTCAATTTTCATACACGGCTTACATGTAAATAAGTGTTCACAAATATAAAGAGTCATGAAATGTCAAAAGAAGTTCCCCCTACCATCATACAGGTGTAACGTGTAACACGTTCTTTTCATATTTTAAGGAATGTACGGCCGATTCAATAATTCATTGAAATAGGATTCTCGAAGTGCTATGCATTTCCAGATTCATTGATATTTAATGTCATGAGATAAATGTATGTTAGTTTGATCATATGCATAAACTCAGAGGCAGCGCCTTGCTATCTCCAAAGTAACCCATCGACTCCGCCAAGGACGCCAAAGAAGTTTGTAATTTCCAAACCAATGCAACTCCCTCAAAAGCGATGCATATGAGTTATGAGACCCATCGTAAACACACATACTTCAAAATAGCAAAGAAATTGAAGAGATAATGCAATCTATAAGCACATGATTATCCCCACAAATTGTAAATACACTTCAAAACAGAAAACAAAATACATAAAGGGAATGTATATGAAACACTCTCTCTAACCTTTTCAATCTTCAGGGGAGTATCAGACCTGAAGGCTATGATGTCATGTCTTAATTGGTGCAACAAAGGGGAATCCCCCTGGCAGAGCATCCAGACTCTGAGGACCTTCATCAGTCACCTGGTGTATGGTGGTCATGCTGACATCTTGGATGACGCTGAGATTGTGGATTCTTTGATTGACAGCTTGCTCCAGCCATGGGCAAGTCTCAAGGTAGGTCATCACATGACTGCTTTTCAGAGTTCCCAGCTATCCTAGTGAAAACCAGGAAAATATGTTACAATTTTTTCCTGTCGGTCAAAAGTTAGGGATTCTTTTTCTTCAGTTAAAGGGGGTGTAGCATGACGAGATTACATCTCTTTTATGTGGCCTGACTCAGGGCCAATCGGGTATAATATGACTACGGACAACGCGACCTGGCAATCACGAGCGTGCAAAAAACGCAAAACCGTAGCGTGAGGAGAACTTCAGTCTGTTTCGCGAACGCTAGCGCGTTGACCATGTAGAGATTAAGTTGCTGACTACTGTTAATCAAGTCCATTCATTTACGGGCAGTTGTCAAAAAGAAGACGTAGATGGGGTTAACCAGTATTTTCCAAGCTGCACTCCCTTTAAAATCACTCAGGAAAAAATTTCATTGCCCCCAAAAGGAAGTATTCAGTCTCTTATATTTTCTCTCAGATCCGAATAGCATATTCACTGGATAATTAGCTATTGTGGCTTGTTTGTGTGTGAAATGACTCCTTTTATAATGCTGGAATTTCGAAACTCCATCAGAGAAAAATCAGGGAAGCAACAGGGAATTTGGTTTTCATGAACTGCTAGAGACTCTTTTAGCTTTTTAGGGACATTTTAACCCATGCAGTGCTATAGTTGCATTTAACCACCCAAATGGTAAATAATCATGGGTATCTCACAGTTGTAGACTAAGAAAACTGTCTCTAAATATCCTCTTGAAGTTCAAACTGATTTCAACTGGTCCAAATCTAAGCTGAAGTAGAACATCTTGTCTTAGGACACTCATCTACATCTGCTACTAGCTACTGTACAGTAATTAAAGGGTACCTTGTTGGAAGAAATGCCCTGAAGCTGATGAAGTGATTTTAATCGGCACCCTTCATTTTCAGAAATAGGTACTTCAGATTCTTTTATCTAGTTTATCTGCACTTATTTGGCCAGAAGGGATTAGACCTCCCTGCATGAGGTCACTGACAGGTGGTTATCTCATCAAATCAGCTCTCAATTAATGTAAGAAAAAGGGGATCATGGGGGACCAACAGGTACTGCTTAGGCATTATTTGCTATATACATGTACAGGGCGCAAGTAGATACAAGTAGTGCAGTGGGGCTTTAATGACAAAATAATCAATCCATTGTAGATTTCTAATGAGTTATTTTTCTGTTCTTCTTTGATCAGAAAATGCCCTCTTCCATGGGAGCCGAATCTCTTCTAGCTTCTCTAGTGACCGAGATGAGTCGAGGGAGGCGCTCTGGTAGCTCCGGTGCTAACATGGTCGCTAGGAGATTCCAGCATCTTTTCAATACGATGCAGGATGATGTGGAGCCGGCTCATCTTGGGTTAGCACCCAATGCACAGAAGCTCCAAGAGAAAAGATCAAGCAGGTCAGTTTAAATCAGGAGAGATGAGAACAACTTGGCTCACATTTTGAAAGACACATGCATGTGCTTTAGAATGAAATAAATGTACTTATGACTGCTAGTTGATACTTCAAACTGATTAAATCTTGTTAGCAAGGCTCTTTAGGAGTATTAAATTGCAAATCAAAAGACGATTTATCTTTTAGTTTAGATATTCTATTTAGAATGCACAATATTTTACATTTACAATGGATGTCATTCCACCATTAATCACTATCGGTTTGTCCCTTAAGTTTCATCTCAGATCAGTAGAGGTGAATTACTGTAAGTCATTAAAAAACAAAACAACCACCCCCCCCCCCCCATACATATAACATTTGTAGGCTACAAGTAATGCTTCGAAAAAAATTGCTTTGACAGCAAGTAGTGAGAGATTGATTGAATCCCAGTAAAATTGAAAATATTTAAAATTGAGAATAAGAGAAATGATTCGTCAAATCTATGTCCAATGTAGATGTATCCATATTTTCTAGTGAAAGCACATCTAAATGCGACATTCTCTCTGATATTTTGCAGATATCTCTCTGATGCTCTCCAAGCTCTTGAACGTTGTAGACCTGTCCATCAAACCTGGTGTTGCCAGGCCCTTCCTAAGCTCCTCCTCTCCCTGGAGGAAGAACTCTCATGTATCCCACCGCTGCCACCTGCATCTCCAGAATCCCTCAACCATCTCCAGAACTTCATCTCCGCCGAGATCTCCATCCTGTCCAGTCTCCTTGACCGCGTCCAGACCGATCTTGACCTCCTCCTGAAGGCGGTCGTAGGAGAGGCAGCCCTCGCGCCTGACGTCCATGACATCCTCACCGCTCTCAGCCGCAACGTCATCCCCAGCAGGTGGGACCTCCTTCGGGGTGGTGTCCCACCGAGTAGGACCTTGTTGCCGGACTGGATGAAGGCGTTGAGGAAGACGGTGGAGGCCATGCGTGGCTATGTGGATATGGGTGAAGCGGTGGCACCGTACTACAGACTGGAATCCTTTTCTCATCCTAAGGCGTTCATGGATGCTGTTATGCTGGAACATGGGAGAAAGGAATATCTGGAACTACACCAGCTTCAGATGAACATTGAGGTAAAGAAACATTTGTTTTCCTCTCTCTATTTCTCATTATCATTATATTAACTTATCTAATGTCAATTAACTTTGTCATATTTGTGATGTACCTCATATTGTGATCAGATTCTAGTACAGTGTACCTCCCACGTTCAATTTTTTTCTTCACACAACTTTTCAAGGTGTTAGAATGGAGAAACAAAGTCTGATGACATATTTTGAATAAAAACTCCTTATTTGTTAGGCTCTATAAATCATTTGGTATATTTCTCTTGATTTTTGTGTTTTATGCTTTAGATTTGTAAAAAATCAGACATATATGTTTCATGTATTAAAGAGTGTCTTATATCTTCTTTTCAACAATGTCATACAAGAATATGCTTTATAACTACAAGTAAAAAGAATAATTGCTAAGGCTTTGGGGGTCAATAACCCTATTAATGAATGCTAGCTTTGATTGTTTGTTCTTTGCAGTACAGTGTTTATTGATATTATTAAAAAATTCTTTCAAACTTCAGGTTACAGGCATGGAGAAATGCCCATTGAAGGCCCCTGCCCAAGGGGTCTACCTGTTGGGTCTTGCCCTCCACAACGCAAACTGGGACCCCAAACGGTCTCTCATCCAACTTCCCAACTCCACCTCTCCATCCCACCACTCTTCTCCTCTCCCTGTTGTGTGGCTCAAGCCCACAGCCATCGAGCACCACACACCGACAGGAAGTGAGAAGGGATCACCACTCTCTGTCTACCCTTGTCCAGTCCACATTGGAGATGTGCGCACAGAGGAGCTTTACAGGAGCGAGGCAGTATTGAAGGTTGATCTGGCCTGCACGTTAGATTCCAACATGTGGAAACTGAAGAGAGTCTATGCTACGTCTTCATGAACATATCTCCATTGAAGCAAGGAAAACCATACCTTTCTTATGATAATCTATTAATTTTACAATATATATGTAGAATGAGTAATTAAATAATCTTGTGTGCAAGTAATACATCAAAATGTTGTATAACAGAAAGTAAGATATCAAAAACAAAAGATTTAACATTGTTTTGAATGAAACATCGTACAGTAGAAGGCTGTATAATGGAAAATTATATAGCATAAATGAAGGTTCTGACATTTAAAAAAATGAGAACTTGGTTATATAAATATCAAGGTTGAACATTGTATTTTAATTACCTAACATGAGACTTCTCCAAAATGAGTTCCATATAATTATACTATAATACAATAATAACAATATTTAGCAATATTAATGATAAATGTTTCTAAGCGCTGCAATTACTCAGTGTACATCTACAAGACTGTACTATGATTAAGGGAGAGCTTTGTTTGCACTGCACACACTATGTATGTGTACTTGGTAAATGAATAGCATCTAATGACATGTAAACATTACTTCAGTTGTTCTTGAGATACTGTAGTAGTATTGGTTTATGATGTCATAATTATTTAAATACAAAGTAATGGTAAGGGAAAGTGAAGTATGTGATGCATTCAATCTTGTGACAAGAATATTTAATCCATCATAATCATTCCTCTACACATTAAAAACAAAAACCAAGACTCCATTCTGTCTACACATTCCGTCCAAGTTTATGCGTATTCAATAGCACTAGTACTATATATACATGTATATCCTATTTAATACATTTATAAAATCGAATAGAATCTGATGCAAAATGCAACACCTTGACAATACAGTGACATCAAAAATAAATTATATCAGAAGCAAAATATGCAGATGTACTTGTTGAAATTGTACTAATTTTTCATTTAGATAATACATTCTATTGATTTCCATGTACAGCACACGTTTGTTGAATTTGATGATTTGATAATGAACCATGAACTATTCCATCCATTTTTGTACATATCTGTATAGAACATTGTATATCAAAACTTACATGTGTAAAAGCTTGACAAAGTGCCATTCATACACCTTATCTTAGGAAAATGTAAATCTGAAGTGTTGTATGGTATTGTGATATATAAAGATTATTTTAATTCATTCAATAAAGCTTTATACAACAAAAGTATTCAATTATTATGAAGCAAGTGATGAAAAGTAACAGATTCATATATAATCAAATAGATATGTATATACAAGAAATAACTAGTTTTTATTAATATACTAACTGTGAAATGACATGCCATTTGCACCGTTCACTGTATGTTATATCAGTGACACATGAAAATATGAGTATGAACATGCAGTCTATCCCACCAATTGAAAGATAATTTTATCTGTCTATTTGCTTTGCTATCTTTGTAAATTAATTCTTTCAAGTGCAGTTAATTGGTTACTGTAATTACAATACTTTGTTAAGAATCATTTTGAAGATAGTATACCAGTGAAAATGGAAGTTGGCTATTGTTAACACTGTGTACATTTGTAAATACCATATGGAATTGCATAGTGAAATGAAAGTGTGATTATACATGGTTTACAATATGTCAGTGTAGCTATTGCAGGTATTTATTTTAGAGTATATAAGTATGGATGTTATGAGAAAAAGGGGGGAAAGATCCCTCACACACAAAGCACTAGCTATAAGTCTTTCTATAAAAGTGGTCAATGATTGTACATACTAAGCTTGACGAAAACATTCCATCCATTTCATCTATGCACTTCTTTCCTGTTTTTAGCTTTTTTTCCTGTAAGATAATTCAGAAATATATAATGTGTGCCTATACATGTATATAATAGCACTTGGTGTTTATATACTGTGAAAGTGTGTCGATTGTTGTGTGATAATAAACCTAAACATGGTAAGATCCGAGTAACGTGTATCATTTGTTCCTCCCTTTGTTGTGTCATTTATTAACCCATATGGCCTAAAACCCCTGGGCTTCATGGGGCTCAGTCCCCTGGACCCCACAACAATAATTATTGACCTGTCGGTGTCACAAATAAGGTATCTAAATATGCTTATCTGACCGTAATAATGCCTAAAACCCCTGAGCTTTCAGGGCAAAGCCCCTGGACCCCACGCCAATTTATGGTCCACTCTCTTCGCTTGCTACACTCTACCTGATCGTTAGTGACATAAACCCACATTGTTGTCAGGACTGCATGTATAAGACATGATCATACATAAAATTTAGGGTGTCTACAGTGCGAATTCTCCGCGGTACTTTGTACTGGTTTGCAGTAGTGTTGGTCGTCTTCACCACGTATTGTTTAAAATCTTCAAACGTGCCGGGTTTCACGATGTGAACACGAGGTTGTGAAATGGCACCTTCTCTCCGTAGTCTCTCGTAGTCGCTGTTACGATCACGGAGCTCTCTGTCAATCTATACAAATATTTTAAAAAGAAGATGGGAGACAGTACAACGAAATTACACATTGATTAACAATCCTATATTTTTGTTTCTCGCCACAATGTTTATACTTCTATCATTTTGTTAAAAGTTTAAGGATACAGTTGAGTTCTGGTTACGCATGTGAAATAATGTGGAAACAACAAAGAAAGGTTGATTATTTAGTAAAGTAAATAGGAATTGGTGTATGTTATCAGGTTTTAATGAATTATCATTGGTTTACTCAATCTTGTCACGTGTACTGAACAGAAAAATGTTATGTAGACCTTACAAACACATTTGGCATGAAGTTGTCAAAAATGTCCAAGTGTCATTTGTAAACGATTTATCTGCATATATGCCACTCTTCATCCAGGTGTAGAAAATGGGTACCTGGAAAAGGCCTGTAATAGTAAGAAGATCCCTTGAATGCTGTGAGCATCGGGATTGAAAACGTAAATAAAGCCCGTGTAATAATTGTTGGAGCACCTTAAATGCCTATATATGAGCGCTAAAGAAGAATCCTGTGTTGATACATTAATGGTTATAGTAATATAATGTTGTTATACTGTTCTGATAAAGGCATATGGCATTACATATAACTTTGACTAGATTTGTGAGCCGAAAAGTGCACAAGTAACTTACTGAATTCGTGATCTCATTAACCTTCGCGGTCTCGGTCTCCTTTTTTTTGCTCGTGCTTCCTGTCTGGTCTAGTTCTAAGAACATCACATAGTACGGCATGTCTTCATTCTCTTCGAAAACTGGACAAAGATGGATTGAATATCAGTCGAAGATTTAGATGGAAAACAGAGCTTGAGAAGGACTTTAGTACCAAGTACCACTATTTTGGAATTCGTAATTCCAAAGATTTCTATACCCCCACGATGCTCCAATCAAATCTAAAAATCACCTTTCCACATAAGAGGACACTCGCAACGACTCAGCCAGCCGCTGAATAAGCGGGGGGGGGGGGGGGGGGGGGGGGACACTTAATTATTCAAAAATTTGACATTTTGTTCCATTGGGGGGGGGGGGGGGGTAAGCTCATCTTTTTTAGGTCAGCTATTGGCATAATTTTTTTTTGATAAAAAAATTAAAAAAATAAATACAAAAACTCAAAAAGGGGGGGGGGGGGGGGTCCCAAAGAACATACAAGGGGGGGGGGGGGTTACCCCCCCCCCCCCTGCGTACGCGCCTGCTCGCTACAAATACCCTTTTATCATATATACATATAAGTTTGATACTGATTGATGGAATTACGTTATGAGGATCTTAAACAGTGGGATACCTGAGGATGCTTCCGGAATAAGTGTGCTCTCAGCCACTGCATACTCGACTAGCCTAACATCATTCCACTGCCCCACGGCAGCCTGGAGTCCAGCTTTAAGAACGACCTGATTCATCTTCTCGTACCGCAAGTTCAGCATCAACCCCATTCTGCCGAAGAAGAAAAGTAGTAATAATGATGATATTAATGATAATAATACTAATAATAATGATCATAATAATGCAAACATTCCGTTTCTGCAGAGCGCACATTCTTTTGTGATATAATGTTTCTGTGTGTTTTCAAAGGACTTTTGGATAAATGATATCCGTGCCAGTCTTTGGTAAGATGGTTATGCTATATTTCTCTACTGTACCAGCTTTTTGAATATCCAAAGCAAATTGATAAACATGCTATGGCTGGCTTTCCCTACGATAATTATACAGATGGTCTTATTTATCCTTAGCTCTATTAGCCAGAGGCAGCTGTAAACTGAAAACGTCGTTATCTCTTATGCTAGCTCATTGTCGATCATAACAGACTCGAAATGCGCGGAACTTACACTTTCTAACACCACAGACTAACACCATTGGTGCGTTCGTACATATCTCTTTTTTACCCAAACGCAGCAAACTTTGCGAATATATTAACCATGGTAATAATAATAATAATGATAATAACAATATTTATAAAGCGCAACATATCCATCTCTAGAGATGCTCAAGGCGCATACAAATAATTTAAATTCATACTCAACATATTCAACATAAATTTAACATTATGCATTGAGCATCAGGTGAGTTTTAAGCCCAGTTTTGAAAGAAGAGAGAGTGTTGGCCGTCTGAATAGAGAGAGGTAACTTATTCCACAAAGAAGGAGCTGCTGATGCAAATGCTCTATCCCCCCAATTTCTTTTGGTAGGATGGTAGCCAGTGAGTTGTCCCAATTTAGATTTGTTATGACAAATAGCATCATTTTACTATCATTAAAGATGGCATCGTTTTCAGAATATACAACCCCTAGTTCCTCTCGCGGCCAATGGACATAAAATCCTACTCACCTATACATAAATTCGAATGTAGGACAGTTGTAGTGATAGCCAGTTATCCGAATGACATCTCCTACTCTGTATCGATAGAGTCCACTGTCCTGGGTAAAGACGATCTCGTACTCCTGCCCGATCTCGAGTTCGTCAATCAAGAGCGTTTTAGGTTGATTCTCATGCCTGTTGAATTGATGCCAAATAGTGCGCAATAATCGATTTCAATGTAGACATGAAATAAACTTATTGAACATTGTCTCTCCCTCTCTAATTCTCTAGTATTTTAGGTCTACATGTTTTCAATTCAGACCCAGTTAAGGAGAGAAAAAAAAGTTCCCTGATGATTACACACACTGGTCGAATCACAGAGATCCTAGCAATGGTAGAAATTCAACAAATTTAAATTACCTTTTCCATGGTGGGATTCCTTATAGTTATAGATACATATGAAAGAAGCACATAACATTCCCATATTAATTCACCATCTTAGAGTTGTGTGCGCGCACGTGTGTGTATGGACGTGGGTGTGCGCGTGTGATTAGGCTACGTGTATATGAGTTTAAAACTGTATAAAATATATACATATAAATACACACGCACATACGAACGCACAGATGATAGTCATGTATGTATAATAATCAAATGCACTCACGAGTCTTCATGTCTGATGAATTCGAAGAAGGAGTCCGTGATCCAGAAAGCCAGGCCATGATTGTCATCATATAACCATGGGTTTAACCAGGCGCGGATCCAGGATTTCTTAGGGGGGGGGGCCCAAATTTGAAATTATGCGAGCCAAATATTGGTACGTAATGACCAACAGTGGCGTAATGCGGGAGGGGGGGTCGGTGCAAGGGGGCGAGTTTCCCCCTCCCAGGCTTTGAAGTTTCATTATATTATTAGAGAAAGAAGACGATTCGTTGTACCGTTCTCGAAAATAATTCTCGTCTGAATTTAGTTTTTCCCCTCCCGCGCGAAGCGCGGAAAATTTTACGATTTATTAAATTATTATAGATAGAAGACGATCGTTGTAGAGTTCTCGACTCTTAATCCTTGTCTAAATTCAGTCCCCCCCCTCCCCCTCCTGCGCGAAGCGCGGAAGCTTTGACGTTTAATTAAACTTTTAAAGAAAGAAGACGATTCGTTGTACCGTTCTCGACCCTTTATCCTCGTCTGATTTCAGTTTCCCCCCTCCCGCGCGAAGGGCGGAAGCTTTTACGTTTCATTAAATCATTAGAGAAAGAAAACAATTCGTTGTACAGTTCTCGACTCTTAATCCTCGTCTAAATTCAGTCCCCCCCCTCCCCCTCCTGCGCGAAGCGCGGAAGCTTCTACGTTGCATTAAATCATTAGAGAAAGAAGACGATTTGTTGTACCGTTCTCGACCCTTTATCCTCGTCTGATTTCAGTTCCCCCCCTCCCGCGCGAAGGGCGGAAGCTTTTACGTTTCATTAAATCATTAGAGAAAGAAAACAATTCGTTGTACAGTTCTCGACTCTTAATCCTCGTCTAAATTCAGTCCCCCCCCCCCCTCCCCCGCCTGCGCGAAGCGCGGAAGCTTCTACGTTGCATTAAATCATTAGAGAAAGAAGACGATTTGTTGTACCGTTCTCGACCCTTTATCCTCGTCTGATTTCAGTTCCCCCCCCCTCCCGCGCGAAGGGCGGAAGCTTTTACGTTTCATTAAATCATTAGAGAAAGAAAACAATTCGTTGTACAGTTCTCGACTCTTAATCCTCGTCTAAATTCAGTCCCCTCCCCCCTCCCCCTCCTGCGCGAAGCGCGGAAGCTTTTACGTTTCATTAAATCATTAGAGAAAGAAAACGATTCGTTGTACAGTTTTCGACTCTTAATCCTTGTCTAAAATCAGTCCCCCCCCCCCTCCCCCTCCTGCGCGAAGCGCGGAAGCTTCTACGTTGCATTAAATCACTAGAGAAAGAAGACGATTTGTTGTACCGTTCTCGACTCTTAATCCTCGTCAGAATTCAGTCCCCCCCCCCCTCCCGCGCGAAGTGCGAAAGCTCTTACGTTTCATTAAATCATTAGAGGAAGAAAACGATTCGTTGTACAGTTCTCGACTCTTAATCCTTGTCTAAAATTAGTCCCCATCCCCTTCCCCCTCCTGCGCGAAGCGTGGAAGCTTCTACGTTTCATTAAATCATTAGAGAAAGAAGACGATTCGTTGTACAGTTCTTGACTCTTAATCCTCGTCTGAATTCAGGTTTTCCCCTCCCGCGCAAAGTGCCGAATCTTTTAATCTTCATTTAATCGTTAGAGAAGAAGACGATTCATTGTACCGTTCTCGAAAATAAAGCTCATCGGAATTTAGTTCCCCCTCCATCCCGCGCGAAGCGCAGAAGCTATTACGTTTCATTAAATAATTAAAGATTCGTATTACCGTTCTCGCCTCTGAATCCTCGTCTGAATTCAGTCCCCCCCCCCCCCCCCACCCCTCCTGCGCGAGGCTTTGACGTTTTATTATTAGAGAAAGAAAACGATGCATTGTACCGTTCTCTATACTCTTAATCCTTGTCTGAATTTCAAAGATGTTCTTTGTCTGCTCCTTTTTCTTCCTACGTCCTCTTCCGATTGGAGGGGGACCCCCCCCCCTGGCTACGCGCCTGCGGTCAGATAAACACATCTTGATACCTTGTCCGACCCCGCAAGCTCAGGGGTTTAAGGCAATAAATTACGATCAGATAAGCATTCAGGGGACCGCCTTAGGGCCCATGGTGGGGTCGAGGCGGCGGAGCCGGCCCCGGAAGCTCAGGGGTTTTAGGCGTTTAATAAAGGTCAGATGAGCACATTTTTATGAATACTTTATTTATTTGTGACACTGGCAAGTCACTATTTGGCGTGGGGTACAGGGGGCGGAGCCCCAAAAAATCAGGGGTTTTAGGCATTAAATTACCGTCAGATTATCATCTAAGGGCCCGCAGTAGGGCCCTAGATGGAATCCAGGGGGCAAAGCCCCCGGAAGCTTAAGGGTTTTAGGCATTTAATCACGGTCAGATGAGCACATTTTGATGCCTCATTATTTTGTTAACACTGGCAGTTAACTATTCTCACTTTCTTGCTCTCATTCTATTTTATTTCTCTTTGATATACTTTGTCAAGAAAAGTGGGGGGGGGGGGGGGAGCTCGAGGCTCTCGATCCCCGCTGTACCTCGGTACCTGACATGTACGAATCTCAAGAATCATATTTTTTGCCTAGTTGTAAATTTAGGAATTTGTCATTTTTCAACAAACACATACAAACGTATAATTTACTAAAAAGTGAGGAAAAATTTCGGAAATTATGTCATTTCAGCATTATTTGTAATCCACCGTTGTGGAACTAGAAATAAACGACGTTTGAATTTGATTTCCCCCAAGCCCCCCCCCCCCCCCTCTATCAGTACGCCAGTATCTCCTCTTTTCCTTTTTTCTTTCCCTTTCCTTCCTTCTCTCTTATTTTTTTTTGATGGGGGGGGGGGGGGGGGGGGGGGGAGGTAAACAGCCTGGGAGGCAAGGCCCTTTCTGCCCCCGATCTCCTTCTTCCCCCTTTTCTTTTCTTCTTCCTCTTCTTTCTTTCCCTTTTTCTCCTTTTTCCCTTTCCCTTCTTTTCCTTTCTTCTTTTTTTTTTTTTTTTTTTTTTTTTTTTTGCGGGGGGGGGGGGGCCAAGGCCCGCTCGGCCCCCCCCCCCTGGATCCGCGCCTGGGTTTAACCCTTGATGCATTCCTTCAGATGTTCCGTATCCAAAGTTGACAAGTGGTATACCTGTAAAACGATGAAGGAATGAGAACGGTGTAATCGTACAACCTTAAGCCTCGGTCACAAATGCCATTACGAACTGCTACGAACGCCGTACGAATGGACAATGGAAAAACAGGGAGATTCGTACAAATTTATCGTTTGTACAAACCTAGTACTTTGTGACCGTAGCATTACATTTTTTTGTATTACAACGCTTTGCCTTCTTATGATGTTTAGAGGTGTCGTATATAGTCTAGATGATAATATAATCACAGGACTATGGAATTCACAAGGTAAGGGGTTCGAGTCCATGACACATCATTTACCCTTTTCTGGCAAGAATTAACATTTGGCACACTCGACCCAGGTGAGACCCATGAGTATCAGGCAGAAATAATTTCTTTAAAAAAACTAGAGCGAAGACATAGCAGCGACGCTGAAATCGGGGTAATATTACTGGAGCGTATAACAAGCAATATGTATAACAAGAAGAAACTATCTTTATGATTATTTCTTCTATGATGAAGCTAGTGTCTTATTGTTCATGTTTCTGTTAGTATTGTAGTCAGATTGATAACGGAAAGTGCAGCAGCGTAAGTGACAATAGGACTTTTTCAAAGGATAACGAAAATTTACGAGGCGTGATTTTGTTTTTCTCTCTTACCCCCCCCCCTTCCCCAATTTTCCTCATGTATACAGAGGGTATATGTTATGCGCAGGAGGTAAACTATGAATTCCTCTGTCTTTGATTTGTGAAACCCGGCCCCCCACTCAGTGTTATTTAGGGTACGCATATGCTCGTTCCCTCTTTTTAAAAGCACCCCCTATCTGAGGACTGCCAACATTTCCGAACCCCCCTTTCGCGGGCTTTTCCTGCCTTGGAGACCCCCCTAAATTATGAAAAAATGCTCAATGTACCCCCCTAAATTCGGAATAATTTCTCAGGAGTCCAAAGAGACGAGAGAAAAAAAAGAAAAAACACCCCTTTTTAAAGAAATTTCCGGGTGAAAAGTTAATACACCCCTTTTTTTTTTTACAATTCTCGGGCCGGACTTTGTCGCACGAAAAGTACCCCTTTACCGGACATTTTGGTAACACGCATGGGGTCATTCCGACCCCGGACGGGGGGGGGGGGGGGGGGGGGGGGGGCTGGTGTGAAACGCATTGAAGCTATTTGTTAGGTTTTATGTTCCTAATATAGGACAATATTAAATATTATATACCTCACTTAAGAAATCCAGCCATCTGATTGGTCAAAATTGCATTCATAAACTTTAACTATTCCTGTAAAATTCCCAGTAACCATGGTTAAAACAGTTCTAATATCCCAGTAACCATGGTTACCGGGAAAATAGTTCAGTCTTCATGGTTACCCCATATGTTTACATGTTAAAAAATGGTTTGAGCGATCGCACCCGATGTTGTGTGCTGTATTCTTCCATAGAGATTACACGCAATGCAGTCTCTATGCAGTCTACGTGCATTGTGCGACCATGCAAAAAAAGTCAATTTTTTTTTTCAATTCGAGATTCAAACCTTTATCTGTTGTGACCCTGAAGGTGATACTCAATAAGTGAGGTGTCATATGAAAGCGCAGGTTCTTCTCTCTATTCCCCACAGGGCCGGCCCACCCCCAAAATTGTAAAAATATCTTGCTTAGACTAGAATCTAGATCTAGTCTACTCTCAAAGATACACTCATAAAAAACAACCGTGCAGATAAACTAGAGAAAGGCCAAGGTGGTGTCATTATATAGTTGACTCTTTTGTTTTCGGCATATAAAAGTATTAATGACTGCTTTAATATTCGAGAAATAGTTGTTTTTATACGCTCTCGGGAAGGTTACAATTGGGCTATTGCCCTCGGCACGCCTCGGGGCAATAGCACAATTGTAACCTTCCCTTGAGCGTATAAAAACAACTACTAATATAATGAACAACATATAGAACTATTAACAAAACATCAAACCTACAAAAAAGTGCTAATAGCCATCTACCTTTTGCGTATTTTGCTTTTAGATTCGGCCAGATTCCGACGTTTTCCACAGCTACCAGCACCTCAAGGTTTGGCCACACCCTTTTCATGATGCCGTCAAACCCTTTTACGAATTGACTTCTGAGCTCGCCCGCCCTCTCCGGGTGACCTCCGCCAAGAGCCTGTTCAAGTAAGGATCTGATGTCAGCATCGTCGAACTTAACCTTCTCATTGATTGTTCCATGCTCGATATCATACACAATGTCCTCCCAACATTGCTCAAGTTGCTTCATTACATTATCAATGGCACCAATGAAAACTGCATATATGACACCCAGGTTTGGATCGAGGAGAGCAAAAAGGAGATGGATGTAATTTGCCTCTTTGAAGGACTGAATACGGAAACCTGCATGCGGTGTTGTGTAGCAGGATGCCATAAAGCCATCTTCGTACAACGATATGCCTGGACGAATACTCCCTCCACTTTTTGCCCGAGATATTACTGGCTGAACGTAGTGGAACATTTTCTTCTGGAGTATCCCTAAACGTGGGCATACTTCATACAGACTGGTAAACACAACATCCAGCCATCTTGTCAATACAAGCCTGTGATCTCTCTGTGGGAAATACTTTGAGGGACCTGTCGTACCCGAGGTCTGTATAAATGCATTCGGCATCACCTGTGTCATCACACCTTGCTCTCCAGCCATTACCCGTTCGACATAAGGTTTGTAATCTTCGTAGGTCGTCAACGGATGACGTTTTCGGAACTCCTCTGCGCTTACGATGTTCTTGAGCTTGAACTTCCTTCCGTAGTCAGTATCCCCATTCTCCTTGAGAACTCTCATGAGAAACTGATCCTGAGCATAACGAGGGTTCTTCCATGCTGTCTTTAGTTTCCGAAGGAAATACTTTCCCTGATGTAAGACTTGCCTGCGAAGTACAGATGATGCAGAACCGATATGACGCCCTGCTTAGGAGATGGACGGAGGGTCAGGATCCACAAGAACAAGACAGAGATGCAGGACGCAGTGACAGCAAGGAATCCTGGAGAAAGATGCAAGGAATAATCATATTTATTATTATAAAATAAAATCATACATTTAATTTGGGACGGAATGTCTGAGATTGTTTCATAACGCGCGTACCGGCGGTTACTATAGTTCCATGGAATAAGTCGTAGTGCTCATAAGACATGAGAAAAGAATTACGTCTATTCAAGGACAATAACCCCGTTTCCGACAACCCTATACGATTCCTTCCTGAACACTATCCAGAGAAGCCACCCCTTAAAGCCTCACTGTCCTACTTATAGCTACTTGCTCCCTCTATATAGAAAACAATGCCTAATCGGTGACCTTTGGTCCCCCATAATCCTCTTTTTCCTATACTAATTGAGAGCTGAGTTAATGAGATAACCCCCTGTCCAGTGACCTTGCAGTGTGGCCTAATCCATCCTATAAACTAGTACAGATAAGCTTTAAATACCGTCAAAACAACATCCTCCAGATTCAATTTTAGCCTTGGCGGCTGTTGGCAATATAGGTAAAAGCAAAATAAAGGAAAGAGAAGAGAAGAAAGAAAGAAAAGAAAAAGAGGAAGGAGATAAAAGAAAGAAAAAGAAAGGAAGAAGAAAAAAAGGAAAAAAATGAAGAAAAAAGAGAAAAATAATGATAATAATAATTTAATGTAACGTCGAAGCCTCCGCGCTTCGCGGGAAAGGGGAAAACTGAATACAGACAAGGATTAAGAGACGAGAATGGTACAACGAATCGTCGTATTTCTTTAATAATTAAGTGAATCGTCAAAGCTTCCGTGCTTCGCGCGGAAGGGGAAAACTGAATGCAGACGAGGATTATTAAAGAGTCGAAAATGGTACGAATCGTCTTTTCTGTCAATAGTTCAATGAAACGTCTAAGCTTCGCGCGGGAGGGGGGGGGGGGGGACTGAATTCAGACAAGGATTAAGAGTCGTACAACTAATCGTCTTCTTTGTCTTTATTTAAAGCTTATCTGCCGTAGTTTACAGGAGGGATTAGACTGCCCTGCAAGGTCACTGGACAGGTGGTTATCTCATCAACTCAGCTCTCAGTTAACATAAGAAAAAGAGGATCGTGGGGGACCAATGGTCACCGATTAGGCATTGTTTGTTATATAGAGGGCGCAAGTAGCTACAAGTAGTGCAGTGGGCCTTTAAGGAAACGTCAAAACTTCCGCGCTTTGCGCGGTAGGGAAACTACCCCTTCCTTTACCCACCCTCCTAGGAAGCGCGCTCTTTAATATGATTTGCACACTTCGTGTGTTCACTACCACCCCTTCCCCAAAAGAGATCCTTGCTACGCGCCTGCATTTAAATATATAGTCACTATGCTGACTAAGTTGTTGAAATAAATCGTATATTTATATCGTCGAGGAAAATAACCACGAGCGCATTCGCAAGTACTTTAGATAGTTCATAGGAAAAATAATTTAGCTTCGGTCCCGGGTTTATAGGGTTTATTTGGTGGCTAGATTTGTCGGTAATCGGTGGCCTCTACACCCCCCCCCCGCCCCCCCCCCCCCCCCACTTAGTGTTATTTAGGGTACGCATATGCTCGTTCCCTCTTTTTAAAAGCACCCCCTATCTGAGGACTGCCAACATTTCCGAACCCTAAATTTGGAATATTTTCTCAGGAGTCCAAAGAGAATGATGAGAGAAAAAAAAAAAAAAAACACCCCTTTTAAAGAAATTTCCGGGTGAAAAGTCAAATACACCCCTTTTTTTACAATTCTCGGGCCGGACTTTGTCGCACGAAAAGTACCCTTTTACCGGACATTTTGGCAACACGCATGCGGTCATTCCGACCCCGGAGTGGGCGGCCCCCCCCCCCTTGAAAAAGGTCTAGCGACGCCCCTGTTCACAGACTGCAAATGAATGAGGCTCATTATAACTTCGTACAATTTTCCCTACAAATAAAATACATTTTATTTCAATTGGAAAGCTTTCGGCCATATTGCTACTTCTACACATAACTCAATGTAGGTCTTCCATAACTCACCGGACAACCATCCTCCTAATGATGTCGTTCCTGTATGGTATGCCAACCAGGCTGCTATCGTCCCAGAAATCATTGACAATAAAAGTAACTTTAAAGAAAGCATCGTAGACAAGTAAACCATTCCCTTTGTATGTATAATAATAATCACAAAGGGGAATCCCTTATAATATAAGCCACGTTAGTTACTTCTTTGATATGACAATGCGAGGGAATGACTAATCATGTAGAAAAAATGGACAATAGTGTATGTGAAATACGAGCACGGCGTAATTTCCCAATCAGTATCGTACGAATTCAAAAAAGTAAACGGAAAACTATTACGTAACGTTCCTTGACATAGATTGACATAGTACATAGTTTGACTAGAATTACCTTGAAAAAAGATCGAGACTTCCCTTTCCGAATGATACGCCTACCATTATTCAACATAGTCTGACAAACAAGAAAGAAAAGGGAATGGGTCCGGAGTTACTGGGGGGGGGGGGGGGGGGGAGCATGGCTTAATTAAATAATGTACTTATGAATCGACATCCATCACATTATTTTGTCCAGGGTTATTCCCCCCCCCCCCCCCTTCTCCCCATCTACTGTTGATGAACAAACTTCTAACAGTGTTAGATTGACCCCAGTTTTATTTACTTAAGGATAATACGTTATATCTGTATTTATTTATTATGTTTTTAATTTCTTACACAATCCTCATACCTACAATCATAAGCATGTAGATAAATGCAATATATACCTGACATTTAATGAAGGAGTGTAATACCTTATTCATACAGTCCAACCTGTTTCAAATACACTTATTTTCTAGTATAAGTTTAATTTAATAAATCCATAATTGATATGTTATTTGTATATACATTTGAAATTAATTAGTTATCACCCTTTAGTCTCATTGGCTGCCTGTGTAGGGCCTGTTGGCCTCAGATGCTAGAGCTTCTGTGAATAATGTGCTGACTGGGCTAGTCCCTTAAATTGTCAGTGAACGGAGCAGCTGGAGGGCACCGGGCCCCACTGAGGATTGAAAAGGGTCATAACAAAATATTGCAAAAAATATTGCAAAATTATTTACTTTACTTGTATCAAAGAGAACTGTTGCTGAGCTATAGCGCCATGAGTGTCCCTGGACGGTGGGTGCGCTCTGTAAGTTTACACTATTATATATATATATATATATATATATATATATATATATATATTCTTTAGTTTGACGTTGCCGGTCTCTTTGGTGTGACTGTGTTTAGTATGTGTCTTTCAGCGAGGTCGTGACTAATCATTAATGACGGTCAAAGTTCTATGACATGATTGCCTCTGTAAGATAAGGCTGAGATAAGAAAAAAAAAGCCGTTGAAAATTCAGACGATTGCATTTTTGCTATAAACTGCAAGCTAATAATAATCTGGATTTATATAGCATTCACTGAATATGAGATACCGTTTTTAAGCGCATTTCTAAGTGCTCAATGCCCTGTGGAGTATTCCTACCATATGGTCACCGTGAGACCATATGGCACTTGCTAACGCAAGGCTTTTGTCATCCTACCAGGTTCTCATTTACCTCCTGGGTATGGAGTGGCAAGTATAGATTAATGCCTTGCCAAAGGATATTAGTGCCGTGTCGGGGTTCAAACCCACGACCTTTGAATTTCAAGTCAATGCTTAAACCACTCGACTTCGACACCTCTCCTTGATAATATGTTCAACCCATTGGCCTATTTCGCTGACTTATTGCTAAAAAGCTGATATACAATCATGAAACCAAATTTAGAGTTGGTTGTTGGTGTGCCTGAGCTTTTGCGTTGTTGAGAAAAAGAGTATAACGCGAGATCTGAGGTTTTATCTGGTTTTAATTGTTGGGTTGGACCATTTGTAGTAGGTCCATGGTTGCACCGCGTCTATAGGAGGTTAATATTATTCCATCCGCTTTTAGACACAAAGTTCGACTCAGGTATTAGTTTGCCCCTCTATACTTTGTCAGGCTTTATATTTGATATATTCGATACCTGTGCATGTGGATAACTCGACTAAATCCCGACTACCATCCCGCCACTTTCAGTCAATCACGTGTCGTGTTATGATTAACTTCCTTTCATGGTAACATTCGTTTAATATGAGTAGAAAGGTATCTTTCTTTAGTCCAAGATACCCTGTTGTCTTTGCATCGACAGATAAAGCTGTACGTGCAAGCTCCCTGATCGGAGTCAGCACCGGACGAGGAAGAAACTGACTGGCATATATACAGGGGCGCCTGCAAGTTTGGGATTGGGGGGGGGGGGGGAAAACATTCCAGGGGGCTCACCTTTCCGGGGTGGTGGCGAAATGGGCAAAAACATTGGGGGGGGGGGGGGGGGGAGAAGAAAACTATCCAACACCACTACTCTTACATGTTACATGCAGGCCCCTTGGAACATATTCCAAAGTGGAGTATTTGACTCAGATAGCTCTTACACACACAAAGATGTGGACTAATAATTCGTCCATACCTCGTCACGTGATATCGATTGCGAGGATCATAATTACAAGTAATAACAAAAAATACACATAAACTAAGATGCCCTGGAAGCAAGTTGTAACCGATTTACCAGCTTTAAATGAATAATCATATAGGTTAAATGTTCATGCATGTTGTACAAAACCTTGAAGTTCACATGAGAACATTCTTGATGTAAAACCCTCGATTACGAACTTTAACTAATAGGTCAATTAATTGCATATAGGCCTTTACGTCCACCCAACAATATGGGTATAAGCCGTATAGTTTTACTTTTGATACCCTTTGGTTAGTTATCAAGTATCATAAGTAATTAAGCTACCATTTAACACCTGGGCCCCATTGCACAAAACTTACCATTGATGGTAACTTTGCCATCAATGGTAACTACCATGGAAACCTAGATTTTGATTGGCTGTTGAGCCCTGTTACCATGGTAGTTACCACTGATGGCAAAGTTACTATCAATGGTAAGTTTTATGCAACGGGGCCCTGGGATGTTTAAAAAAGACTAAGATCAACTTTAAGT